TGTATGTATGTATGTATGTATATATGCATTAAACAAGTTGCAACAGAGACACCTTAGACAACTCTTAAGAATCCGGTGGTTCCATCATGTCTCAAATGTATCGGTCCTTGAAAAAGCTAACTGCGAGAGTATTGAAGTCATGGTTACAAAATCCCGCTTAAGATGGGCTGGCCACGTATGCAGAATGCAACAAAACCGCATACCAAAATCTCTGCTTTACGGTGAGCTTGTAGACGGTAAGAGGAGGCCGGGTGGACAACTCAAAAGGTACAAGGACATTTTTCACGAAAACTTAAAGGGGATTAACATGCAGAATCATTGGGAAGAAGCAGTTCACAATAGAACTCAATGGAGAAGAATTGTAAACTCAGTTAACAGCGACAACCAAAAAGTAAAGAGGCAACAAAGCAATGAGATTTTTGAATGTCCGGAGAGCGGTAGGCAAATAATATCACTTATCGGGCTTTTCAGTCACAGAAAAGCTCATGAAAGAAAACGCCTTGCGTGACCATCTTTTGATGCGTATCGAATACTCGTCAGCGAGTAATGGCAGTATGTAGGTATGTATGTATGTCAGTTAGGTAAGTTTGTTTAATAGTAAATCACTGCTGACAAATTGGATGTAGTTAATCCAACGGAGATCAACCAAAACCAACCATAACAAAAAATTAATATTTTATTTTGTAAATTTTATTAAAGTTGCGAAATATCCATAGGGTTTTTATGAAGAGATGAATCCGCCACAGAGGTTATTTACAGAGGTTACATTATTTACAAGTAATCTATTAGGAAATTTGTATTTGTGTGACACAGATAGGCAAAATGATGCCCGAAAGTGATAATAACACGATCTATTTTCACATTGGCACACTTGCACACTTAAAAAAGTTACAAATAAAGCAGAAGCAAGATAAATGAGACTAAGGTGAAGACGAGTGACCAAAGTCACTACTGATTACATTACTGCCTTTCTTTAAAACCTTCGAAATTTTAAAATTAATACCTAAAGCAAACATTATATATTATGTAGTTGTAAATAAAAAAAATGTATTATATTTTTAAAAAGCGTTTATCGACATAATGAACAATCGTTTGTGTCATAAAATATACTCAGATACTGGACATTCTTAATGATAAATAGAAGAATATGTTCTTTGACCTAAAGAAAGTAAACAGTATTAAACTGGTAAATAGATTTAATGGACTTATTTATTAGAAATGTATAAGCGCTCATCACCTTGACTAGTAACAATAAGGATCGGAAAAGTTTCAAATTCAAAGAATGACCAAGCCTTATGCGTTTCATTTAATTTAAATAAACAATTTAAAATTAAATAAATTTAATGAACTAATTAAATAAGTTTATTTGTAGATATTCTTTATAAATATTTGGAAACCATTGAATAAAAAAAATAATGGTCAGGTATTCACAACAGGAATTGACATCACATCCAAAATCCAAGCAGGCATTACAGAAAGAGAGATATATCCTCTATTATAGATCCGGGATAGCACCGGTGTCAGGGGTGCAACTTTGTTCAAGTTAGCAACCGATCGTTTAGAAGCGATGTCGAAATCAGATCGATACTATGTTCATTGCAAAACTATTGTCGCTCAAATGCTGCGAAATATGATATCACTATCACACTGTTGCACACGTGTGCGACACGGTCTAGGCTATGTCTAGGCAGTCGCCTCGCCACAAAGCGAGAAATCAGAATATCGCTACGAATCGATGTTGCTACTGAACATAGTGCCTCAAACTACAAATTACTTTACTATCGCTTTGAAACATGAACAAAGTTGCACCCCAGTTAAAGAGGTCCAGAAAATGGAGACGGATCCTCCAGTGTCCATCTCAAGGGTCAATTATCCTCGACTGTGAAGGGCTTGGAGGGCTAATCCCCAACCGTGGAAGGGTGTATACTAGGGTTTCCGGAACTGGAGCTTTTTTTCGGAACCGGGAATTTCGGTACCGCGCCTCTTAGAAACCGGGATTTCCCGGTTTTTTTGGTACTTTCGGTACTGACTAATTTTTGTTCAATGGTAGTGCAGTTCACCAATCAGAATTATTTTGAATCATTTATTTTGTAACACCCTGTACAATCGAATCAAATTTTGAATCATAACCAATCCGAATATTCTCTGTATAGGGTGGTGACAATTTCGATGCTCAACATTGCCATCTCAGAAGCTGCCAGAGATACGAGGTTAAATGGGACAAAAGTTGCGTAATTAGAAGTCTGACAAACACCTATGCAGAAATCACCGGTATCTTGTTAGTTTCAGATTTATGCCAAAAAAATGAAAATAATACGACGTTTATTTTAAATGACAATATCTTCAGAACTATTGTATGTATTGCAATGTAAATTGGTAGTTTTATATGTTTATTCTTGGCCAATTAAATGCGGTTTTCAGAAAATTTCTAAGCCTTCTAGATTTCGCATAACAACAGTCAAGTTTTTGTTTTTTTTATGGCCCCTATTTTGAATTTTTATCATATTAGATAGAACAAAAAATAATCTATACGGTGGTATCTATTTTTATTCATTATTGTAAATTCACAAAAAAAATTGATTTTTTAAAAATTCGCTCAAAATATGAAGTCTGCCTTGGAAATCCAATTGACACTTTATATGACAGCAAGTTAATTTTTGTTTACTCTATTAAGTGTCAAATCTGGATACAAAAAATTATAGTAGATTGTGTTAAGTGTATTAACAGTCAACAATATAAATAATAATATACCAAATACCCTGTGAATGCGATAAATTTTACATTGGTGAAACATCTAGACCCTTAAATGTTAAAATTAAAGAATATAAAGATTATTTAAGAAAGGGAGATTTTCACAAATCTAAGATTTGTCAGCATTCATGGGACACAGGGCACAGAATAAATTTTAATAACGCCAAAATTATAATGAAAGAAGCGATAGCCTCTAAAAGAAAAATAAAAGAGGCTTTTTTAATTCAATCTAATAAAAATAAATGTATTGCTCATGCATCTGTAGATGTTAGTAATGTATGGCAATCGCTTCTTTGATTTTAAAGAACATAACATATATAAGCATAACATACGTAAAATTTAAAAATAATCATACAGAAAGTTTGGGCTTTTTGGTTTTACCTTATTAAGTAATTGTTATCAGGTAGTAATTGTTAATTTTGAAGTTTAACTTAATATAATGTCATTTTAACAGAACGTCAACGATTTCTTATAGACGTATCTGTTTTAAAAAGTAAAGTGTTCTCGAATAGTTCAATTTATTAGTATTTTAATAAAACACGCTTTTAGATGTATCAAAAAACTTTTAATAGAGTAACTTTAACTCTACATATATGTTTCGGCTTGTTAGGCCTTTTTCAAGAATTTTTTAAGAACTGTTCACAGTTAAAGTTACTCTTATTAAAAGTTTTTTGATACATCTAAAAGCGTGTTTTATTAAAATACTAATATTTCAACGATGTTTCACAAGGAACCAACCACAGCTTCAGTATAGTTCAATTTAAATATTTTAAATAGTTTTTTTCTTGATTCTTTATATTTTTTTTGCTTCCGACGACGGAAAGAGAAATCTTTCCGAAACGTTAAGCATTTTTTTCTTTGTTAGGCAAATTTTTATTACTGTAAACACAACTTCTAACAAGCAGCGTCCGTTTAGGTTTAACGCCAGAAGTATTTACAAAAAATAACTATTTTATTTTGTAGATTTTTCTTGCAGTGCAGTGGCGAAATACCTATAAAGGATTTTTTTGGATAGTCAACAATATGTTCACAAGTGAGGATGAACACGAGATATGTATGATATTTACTTAAAAAATAATAGAAATTCCGATATGGCATGCGCAAGTTATAGAATATTGTATCCTGAAAGGACACAGCCTCATCGTACTATTTTGTCAATGATTTCAAGACATTTTGCAGTTGCTGGGAGCTTTAAAAACAAGAGGGCAGTATTTTAAAAGGCTCAGATTGAAATTAGTCCGGAAACTTTTAGCCGTAAAATAAGTCGCGAGTGTTGTATAAGTGATTCTTATGTAGGGAAAATTATAAAAAAACACAAATATCACAACTTTATCAAACCAAACCAAACCAAACCAAACCAAACCAAATCTAAAAGGATAAAAATTCAAAATGGCGGCCATAACAAAACAAAAACTTCATTGTTGTTGTGCGAAATCTAGAAGGCTGAGAAATTTTCTGAAAACGGCATTTATTGTAGGGAAAATTATAAAAAAATATTACTATATATAATAATTACTATTATGTAGGGAAAATTATAAAAAAACACAAATATCACAACTTTATCAAACCAAACCAAACCAAACCAAATCTAAAAGAATAAAAATTCAAAATGGCGGCCATAACAAAACAAAAACTTCACTGTTGTTGTGCGAAATCTAGAAGGCTGAGAAATTTTCTGAAAACGGCATTTAATTGGCCGAGGTCAAAAATAAAAAAACTACCAACTTACGTTGCAATAGATACAATAATTCTGAAGATATTGTCATTTAAAATAAACGTTTTTTTTTTCATTTTTTTGGCATAAATCCGAAACTAATCAGGATACCGGGGTTTTCTTGATAGGTGTTTGTCAAACTTTTAATTGCGCAATTTTTTCCCATTTAACCGAATTCGTATCTCTTGTAGTTTCTGAGATGGCAATGTTGAGCATCGAAATTGTCACCACCCTGTATAACTCATATTTTCTTAATACTTCTACAAATTTCATCACTAAGAAATTACAGATAAAAATATAGGCATTTTGAAATATTCTGTATATTTAAAAAATATTATAATATTATTAATTAATATTATTTTTATGTGAAAAATTAATTTAACTGAACTTATAACACTAGACATATTTTTTATATAAATTGGTTGTACTTGTTACTAGAGTATTTTAATTACAAAATATATTTTTTGCAACGTTTCAAAACATAGCACAATTAATATGAGGACTTGCAGCTTACAAAAAATATATTAATTGTTTAGTTTTAATATTCAACTTAGTTGGGGTGAAACATTTTTTTTTTATTTTTAGCATAATGAGTAGAATAAGTAATTTTGTCTTTTGGTCTACTGTAATAGTATTATTGGTAAGTAATGCAATAAAAATCTATAACTAATTTTGTGTTTTTTAATTTTTTGAATCAATGCAAAAAAAAATTATTATGTTTTTATTAGACAGGGGTCCAAAACACCTCCATATAAAGATGTCTGTTTGAAATTTTTACTCCATATTGAAAATGTCAAAGATTAAAGTTGAATAAAACTACATTCATTTAATATAAAGTACGGGCTGCCCCCTTAAAATAGTGGAGAAAAATTAAACATCTTGTTTTTACTCACTCTGTACAATACCTATACCGGGTGCGTCTCAAAAGTGACTCACCCCTGTAATTTTTTTATTTTTTCAGTTAAAAAAACGAGATTTGGTATGGTAGTATATGACATAAATTAGGACTGATTGACGGGTATATAATTGTTTTCGTTCACTTCCTGTTTCACTGGAAATGACTACAACTTTTGATTTTTAAATGGCATTCTCGGTATTTTTTTACTTTATTAACTTATTATTAATTAATATATAATAATATTAACTTTACTTATAAAATGTTTTTTCCAAATATGTTAATGAGCCACCCTCGTTCCATTTGAAAATATTGAGATAACTGGCCAGGACAAGACATTAAAAACATTAGACGATCAAGTCTATTTTTCCAAGGCTCCTTGATTAAGAATTGGTGTTTTTAACATAGCCATGGCACTCTAGTTTGAATTTTAAAATACCATTTTATATTAAGTGAGAATGTTAAAAATTGACATATTCAGAATGTCATTTTCTATCGAATAAAATAAAAAAATACCGAGAGTGTCATTTAAAAATCAATAGTTGTAGTCATTTTCGGTAAAACTTTGAAATTGAAATTTAAAATACGATTTTTTGAAGCGAAAATGACAAAAGTTGACATAATTAGTCGATAGAAAATGACATTCTGAATAGATTGATTTATTTCTATCGAATAAAGTATAAATATACCAAGAGTGCCATTTAAAAATCAAAAGTTGTAGTGATTTCCGGTGAAACAGGAAGTGACCGAAAACAATTGAATACGTCAGTCAATACTAATTTAAGTCATATACTAACACACCAAGTCTCGTTTTTTTATATGAAAAAATAAAAAAGTTATAGGGGTGGGCCACTTTTGAGGCGCACCCGGTATACTATGGAATATAGCGAATAAGTATAGTTTTGAAAAGAAACAGTTATAATATACCACAACGTACAAAAAGAGAAAATTGGCATTTTTTAACTTTAAAATCTACAGATTTAAGCAAATATAGTTTAGTTATCTTTTAATAAACTTTTTTACTTTTTAATATTTCGTTAGTTTTAATTTTTTTAATTCATAATGATATAAATTCTGTATTATATTCATATTTCCAAGAGTTTACATGTTTCTGTCTAAATTACATGGTTAGTTTCCATTGTACAAGTTGGTAAATAAACTAAAGCAATAAATATTATCTAAATTCCACTATATTAAGATGACCTCAGAAATCATTATCTGATAATGGACTGAAATATCTGTTGTCAAAATAATATCCTCCATTGCACGTTTACCAAACAAACAGATGCATTAGATAAATGCCAATTTTGTTTAATCTCGTTGCATTTTTTATACACCTAAACTGCACGGTATAGTATACCGGGTGTTTTTCAAAAGTGGCTCATCTCTATAACTTTTTTATTTTTTAGATAAAAAAAAACGAGATTGGTATGTTAGTAAAGGACATAAAATCAGGATTGATTGACATTTTCAATTACTTTCGGTCACTTCTTGTTTCACTGGAAATTACTACTATTTGTGATTTTTAAATGGGACAGGTATTTTTTTACTTTATTTTATAAAGAATGACGTATCACATGTCAATTTTGACATTTAAAAAAAAATCGATAGTGATAGATATTAAATATAACGATAATTTCACTCGAAATGCCAAGTAAAAATTGATTTTTGCCATTTGAAAAAATGTTTGGTTTGGATGATTAAAAATACAATTTGGTTATCTTTTAAGCGGCCAGGAAAAGACACGAAAAACATTAAACGATCAAGTCTATTTTTTAAAGGCTCCTTAATTAAAAATAAGTAGTTCTAATGCAGCATGGCACTTTAGATTGAAAATTAAAATACTATTTATTTTAAATGAAAATATCAAAAGTTGACATGTGATATGTCGTTCTATTCAGAATGTAATTTTCTATCAAATAAAGTAAAAAATACTGAGGGTATCATTTCAAAATCAAAAATTATAGTTATTTCCGGTAAAACAGGAAGTGACCAAAAATACTTGAATACGTCAATCAATTCCGACTTATATTCTACACTAACACACTAAATTTCTTTTTTTATCTGAAAATATAAAAAAATATAGGGGTGAGCCACGTTTAAAAATCATCCGGTATAGGGTGCCCTAAAAAAGGGTACAAAAAAAGTTCGGTTTCAAATTTTCTATTTCAGATAGTAGCACATATTTTAAAGATAATAATAGTATATAAAATATTTTTAAAATACTTTTATAAATTTACTGGGTGATTCAAATATATTTTTCCTCTAAAACTGTAGTTTTTGCAATGAAAAAATATATGTATTTTATTCAGGAGATTGTGAATATATTCACTAGGTATAGTATAATATGGCATTATGATAATTTTGGAATGGAAATTGAGTGGCAAATCCACTGGGCTAAAAATTATATAGTATTCCGTTTAAAAATGTACAACTTTAGTGTGAAAATATGTTTGAATCAGTCTGAATATTATCAGATTAATATTCAGGCTCTATTTTATAATATACAGGGTGGTCCGAACTGTATTCCGGAAACTTCGGCAGCATATATTTTACTGATAAAAATAAATAAAAAAGTTCATATAAATGTATGTCCTAAAATGCTTAGTTTCGGAGATACAGGGTGTAGAAGTTTCATTTTTATTTCGATTTTTTCCAAATATAGTAAAAAAAAAGTAACGTCAATATTTGGATGAAGATTGGTGTCTGGAAGTTTTTTGACATGAGAAATTTGATTTTGATATCAACATGACTCCTATTTGTAGGGGGCGCCACCTACATGTGTTTCAACTATTTTGAAGAGTAATAACTTTTTGTCCGTACCTGTATAAAACTACCGAGTAAAAAAATATAGATTTTCGTGATTTTCTACGTAAAAAATGTCTCTTGGTAAAAAACCCCAACGAGCAACCGTTCACAAGATATTTACAATGGAAATAGTCACTACATGTCATTATTGACTAAAAATAAACATGTTGAGTAGATAGTTATTTGACTGAAATGAGAAGTTTGGGAACTTTTTATTTTTTTCTTCGAAAAATTTTTCTTTCTCTAAATTTTTCTTCGAAAAAATGATGATAAAACAGTTTCTGTTGAACTTTTGGCATAAAAACATTTCAAATTTATAATTTTAGTCTAATAACTATTTAGGGTGGCTGCAACGACGTCCCTTAATCTTGCTGTTAAAAAATAACAGCTAGTTTTTACATTTAAAAACCAATTGTTATGTTTTAACAGCAGGATTACGGGAGGTCGTTGCAGCCACCCTTAGTCGACATGTTTAATTTATTATGTCAATTATGACAGGTATTGCTAATTTCTATTCCAAATATCTCGAGAACTCCTAACGATTTTCACCAAGAGACCTTTTTTACGTGAAAAAGTCGTAAATGTATATTTTTTAACTACCTAGTTTTATACAGGTGCGGACGAAAAGTTATTACTTTTCAAACCAGTTAAAAATGCGTAGGTGGCCTCTCTACAAGTATGAGCCATATTGACATCGAAATCAAATTTCTCATGTCAAAAAACTCCCAGACACCAATTTTCATCCAAATATAGATGTTACTTCAGAAATTATTTGGAAAAAATACACCCGTATCTCCGAAACTAAGCATTTTAGGACATACATTTAGAAGAACTTTTTTACTTATTTATATCTGCTTATTTTTATCTGCAGAATATATTGGCAAAGTTTCCGGAATACAGTTCGGACCACCCTGTATATCAGCCTAATATTTTCAACGTGCGTTACCATTACCCCCACATTATGTAAAAAATGAAAATTACAAACCAAAATCCTAATATAGAACTTTTTCGGAAGCCTGGGTCACCTTGTATCATATAAAATTAAAAAAAATACAAGACCGCAAGATCGGAAGAGTTTTGTATGCTTGGTCTTACGGATATCTTTTACTGGTCGGTCTTGTTCTTGTTGTTCAAATACAAAAAGAGAAAATTGGCATTTTTTTAACTTTAAAATCTACCAATTTCAGGAAAAATAGTTTAGATATGGTTTAATAAACCATTTTCTTTTTTAATATTTTGTTATAGTTTCAATTTTTTTTAATTCATAATAATATCAATTCTATATTATTTTTTTTGTTTGTGGTCAAGACCTACACTAAAACAAGTTTTTTGTTCAACACTGTTCCTCGTGCTAATAAACCACCCTGTATATTAACCTATTTTTTTCATCAATTTTTAGTCGTTGTCATTCGTATCGTGTGACATTGCCACCAACTCCATAACCAGAAAATCCAATAGTCTCCCAAAAAGCAATCCAGTAGCAATCATAGATTCTCTAAGAAGACAGATCGAATACAAAGAGAAGGAACTACAAAGAGCAGAAAAAGCGAATAAGAATTTCGAGAAAATGATGGAACTGGTTAATATTCTTGGACAAGTCGACACATTTTTGACCGATCGTACACGAGCTATCATTAAGAAATTGGCCGTTTTGACAGAAGATGGAAACGATATTATCGTTGCTAAAACAACTAATAAAATATAAGAATAAGTAGTGTTAATTTTTTTATAAATAAACTTTTGTAAATATTGGAACTATTTTTTGTTACTTTGAAATAATTCATAATATACCGGGCCCTATAACTTTTTTATTTTTTCAGATAAAACAACGAGATTTGGTACGTTAGAATATGACATAAATTGGGATTGATTGTCATATTCAATTGTTTTCTATCACTTCCGGTTTCGTCGGAAAAACAGTTCAAAATTTGAATAGGATTTCCTATCTTTCTAACGATGATGCACTACCCGGTATATTAAACTTTAAAATACATAAACAATATTAAAGTGTTCATTTTCTTCGTGCCAGTTGGTGTATTTAACAAAAATTAAATAAAACTATTTTAATCTAACATAATTTATTTAAATAGAAAATAATAAAGACATTCTGTTCATTTTCATCCATCCTATATCCTTTATGCATCGTCTCCATAATTGTTATATTCCCACAGTCTATTATGAACGTTGTCGTCAAGATTTCTATCAGTCTTTATATCTGTAGAAAACGGTCTTCCACTTGTAGCAGCTGCAGTATAAGGTTGGTCAACATCGATAATAGCATCTATTTGGGAATCTCTGATAACTAATTGGCCATTTGGAGATGATCCTGCTACATAGTCTTCAGCAGTTTGCACTCCTGCATCCCATGCTCTTGCAAGGCTAGTCTAAAAACATGGGTTCCAAACTCCATATCAATTAAATAAAAACGTTTTTTTAACAGTTTACAGTCTTTTGTCTTTCAGTGTGAGAGTCAAATTTGAAACACCCGTTAATGATTGAACAAATTAAATACCTTGTTTGATCCTAAGTACACTTCATCTCCAGTTATCACGCTGTCAATAACCAGAAAACCATATGATCTATCAGGCGGAGTACTAGGTGCAAATATAATAGCAGTATTTTTTCCTCGTTTGCCAACAACTTTTACAGTGCACATGTTGAACACTGCAGATGCTGCCCCGAATATGAAATCAGTGTCGCCTTCAATGTAGCACATGTGGACGTGTACTCTTTCTTCTGTTTTATTGTTGGCTCCGACGAAAAGAGTGTCTTGGCCGCCTAAAAAGTTGCTACTCATTAGATGGACCTACAAAAAGAGTGTTCTTTAAAAAATAGCCAATTTGGCTACTAAAAATTATTCTCTAGATTAGATTTTATGAGGTATCATGCCTCCAGAAGGAGATAATTTAAAAATATATATAAATATATATATATATATATATATATATATATATATATATATATATATATATATATATATATATATATATATATATATATATATATATATATATATATATATATATATATATATATATATATATATATATATATATATATATATATATATATATATATATATATATATATATATTTATATCACTGATGTCACTAAAATACCTAGTTTTTCGTACAAGAAACTTTCATACCCCTTTCTACTCCCATAAACCTGGATTTCCTAAAATTACTTTGTTTAACAAAGTAATTTTATGAATGTAACCATTTCCAATTATGGTGTAGCCTCGATCACATATTTAGATACAAGCTTATTAATGCGGGCCCAAGTTATCCCTGCTAATTTCCTAATATCTCAGGTTTCATCTTCTAGGTGTCTTAATTCCTCGTGGATACCATGCTGTAATTTTTGTGGTCCATCTGTTGTCCGTCCTTTTTGCCAGGTGTCCTGTCCATTGCCACTTGATGGATTTGATTCTGTGGATAACGTCTATTACCTATGTTTTTTTTGTCCACTCTATTCTTTTATGATCTTTTTTGGTTATTCCCAGCATATTTCGTTCCATGGTGCGTTGTGCGATCTGCATTTTACTTATAATGTCCGTTTTAAGTATCCAGAGTTTCGCATGCATAGGTCATTATTGGAAGTCAAGGTTCGGAAGTAGTTAATTAAGACGTAATTTACCTGACTAACTACGTGTAGTTTTTCTTCAAAAACTATGTCTTTTCCCGTTCGTTAACTACATGAAAACTACGCTAATAAACTACCTATTGATATTATGAATAATTTTACTTTATATGAAGAGTCTAAATAATATGATGTAAATGGTTATATTTAAAGCCATATTTCTTCTGTTTTCTTAAATACATTGTGTTTTCTAAAGCTTTAACTTATTATAACCTCACCTCATACCTTTGACATTTGAAAGTTACATACATATGTTACATAAACTACACCCTCTACATAAACTACATTAACTACATGTAATGTAGTTTATGTAATTTTTAAAAGTAACATGTAGTTTTCCGAACCCTGCTGGAAGTACACATTGGTCGAATGTTTTCTTCTTTAGATAGAGTGGCATTCTAGATCTGAATATGATTGTGTTTCTTCCATAAGTACTCAATTCTAATTTAATTCTTCTGTTGCTTTCAAGTAGTAGAGATCCCGAGCTGTGTATTAGTTGTCCCAAATATATATATATATATATATATATATATATATATATATATATATATATATATATATATATATATATATATATATATATATATATATATATATATATATATATATATATATATATATATATATATATATATATATATATATATATAATATATATATATATATATATTCTTCTACTATTTCCAGTGTTGTGTTATTTATTAGAATGTATTTTCTGTCTTCTAGTTCGTTATACATTACTTTAGTTTTTGCTAAGTTTATTTTGAGACCTACTTTATTGCTGGCTGTATTTATTGGCAATTAAGATTATGTCATCAGCGAATATTAGATGGTTAAGATATTCCCCATCTACATTTAATTCTTTACTGGTCCAGTCCAGTTGACAGAAGACTTCTTCTAGTGTTGCTATAAATATCTTTGAGGATATCGCGTCTCCTTATCGCTATTTGGGAACTCTGGGGTTGTTTTATATATCATTACTCTTGCTTTGGCTTGGTTTGGGTATGATAGAAAAAAACAGCGTCCAGTTGGCTTGGAAATGAATATCGACGAAATTTTCCATATAACTTCACATATAAAATGACAGCGATCCTCATTTCATAGCCATCGCTGACCCCGTTTTTTTTTTTATTATATTGCATATATTGTCGATATAACCAAGTGTTGTAACGGTTAATATTTTCAACACTGTAATAAACAATGAACGTCATTATACTCACTTTATCTGCATCAATTTTAACAGCAACTGCTTGAGCATCGGTAGCACCGTTCTCAACAGTTATCCTCATCAGCTGAAATTGATCGCTACGTACTACAAATACCGCAGAGCAATTTGTACCAATGTATCCATTTTTGTGACCGCATTCACGGTATATATCCCAAGCTGGATCGCCCTCCTGGTAACGTGCACCTTCTGGATTAACCAAGTTCATGTAATCTAATATATGTGTATTAGCACTGATATTTTGAATGATATGTACGTCACTGGCAGAATCTCCACCGTAGATTGTTAAGGGGACATCGCCAGCTATATAAACAGTTTCTCTAAAAAAATTATAATAAAAGTATGGAATACAGTATGATCGAAAAAATTCGTTCTCCAGAATTTTGGCAAGGTCAATTTCTAGACATAATTTATTAAAAATTTAAACTAATTATAGAAAAATTAAAAAAATAGAACCTATCCAGACACAGAAATCTATTTCTACAAAATTATTTTTTCTTGAAATTTAAACTACAATTTGAAAATCATTTTTACTCAATATAAAAATAAATTAAAACCTTCTTGAGGCTCACTGGCAGTAAGCGCCATTAAAAAATAAAAAAGTACGGGCTAAGTAATGATATATAGGTCAAGCCCTATATATCACTCGACAAAAGTGTAATCGATTATCATTCCACAGCCGTTTTTGACGTCGTTTTTTCGATTGTATGGTATTAGACGACGATCAACACATTATACCATGGTCTAGTAAAAGGTGCGAGTATTTTTAGCCAATCATTGCACACGAATGTTACCATTCATTCTAAAGAAGATCAGTGTGTACTACCAGTTATGACCTCTGCACCTAGATACTTTTTTCTGTCTAGATACATCTAGAATACTAAAACCGACGGCCATAAGAAAACTGGAGGACACACAACGCTCGATGGAATGAAATAAAATTGCTGGGCATAACAAAATAGATCATAAGAATAGAATGGATACGACAAAAGGCCCAAGTAATAGATATCATTCACGGAATCATATCCCTCAACTGGCAATGTGCAGAAGAACACTTGTTAAAAAGGACGGGCACAGATGGACTACAAAAATAACAGCATGGTACCCAGGAGGAATTAAGAGGTCTAGAAGAAGACCAAACCTAAGATGGGACCATGATATTAGGATATTAGAAGGGATACACTATCCCCTATCCCCAACATTATTTAAAATTTATATTGCCAAGGTCTTACATCTATGGAAAAGAAAATGTAACGGAATGGGTATAGAACTAAATGACATATGCTTATACACCTTGCATTGCAGACGACCAGGCAATGCAGACGACCAGGCCATAATTGCAAACGACAAAGATGACATGGAATATATGGTGTGGAAAATAATTGAAGAATATGCTAAATGGGAGTCTCGCAGTAAATACAGAAAAAACGAAATACCTTCCATTTGGAGCCAATACAGAAAATCTTATTTTGGACAATAATATGGAAATTAGGGTATGTGAAGATTACAGATACCTGGGTTCGATATTTACAGGACGATAGAGAAATAAACAACAGAGCAATACAGGCACGAACAGTTATCAGATGCATAAATGGCATTCTATGAAGCACTGAAATTACAAAGAACAGGAAATATAATATATACGAGACACTAGTTAAAAGCATATTACACTATGGATGTGAAACATGGCGACTCACTGAAAGGAATAAAATAAAAATTAGAGACAACAGAAATGGACGACATTAGAAGAGCAATGAGAATTTCACGGAGGGATAAAATCAGAAATGAAGACATTAGACAACAGATGGGAATAGAGGGAACAATAGTAAATGATATAGAACAAAAACACTTAATATGGTACGGCCACGTTCAGAGAATGCACAATGAAAGAATTCCAAAACAAGTAATTCATTGGATACCTGGTAAACGAAAGAGAGGACGTCCCAAGAAACCATGGATGGAAGGAATAAGAAGGTCGATGAGCGAGAAAAATCTGACCGAAGATCAATGGGAAAATCGCACAGGGTGGAAGTTAGGCATCGGACAACGTCGTAGGACGTTCTGACCCGAATTTATAATATATAGAAGGGATAACTTGGACCCGCATAGACAACAATAGGCCCAATTACAAGGAGATTATCTAAATATATAAGGGAGCAAAATAAAATATCCACCACAACATACCAAAACAATTTACTTTAGCACTAGAAGCACATTTTGCTGTCATCAGGGAGACTACACCATGACTGGAAATAACTATTATGAAATTACGACTATTTCTTTTATATGTTTTGATATAGGTCAATCATTGAATAAAAACGTATATCACACTACTAAAACTGAGGCTACAAAAAGGAAAAGTACTAAAAATACTACAATTTTAATGTTTTACTCACGTATAAACTCCAGCTTCAATTTTAATATATTTTCGCGTGGACGAATTTCCAGCTTTGATAGCAGCATTAACACTTTCCTGTATAGATTCTCCAGCTTTTACGATATAGTCTGGTTCATCTGGAATAATTATTTCTTCTGGTTCCCAATCTCCAAAATAGTTTTCTTCCTGATATTTCGATGCCTCATCATCAGACAAAATCGGTCGTGTCTCAGTGCCTGGGTAGTTTTGGTGAGAAGATATGGCCAGATGTAAAGTCACCACTAAAGCTACTAATGTTAAATGGTAGTTTGAAATACTAAAAATGAAAATTTTAATTTAAAAACTTTAACAATAAAAAGTATATTAATATGGTATAAAACTTGCTGAATTATATAAAAAAATGTTAATTAATTTTAATGGATTAATTTGAATCATACAACAAATGTATGTATGCAATCTAAGTATACATACCTTCCCATTTTTACAAAATAAATAAGAGTTATGGAACAGGTAGGTACATTTATAATATTAATATTGGTTATATTCCTGTTTATACCTATTAGGTTCAAATGTTATACTGAATAGTTACGGAGTTATCAATAATATGTTCCTTATTAAAAACACTTACCTTATATCTAAAATCAGACATTTTTTAGTTTTGAAATGATAACGTATTAAAAACACTACTAAGGAATATTTTGATAACAACTAGCAATTTAAGAATAACATCTGATTAAATTATTTGAATGTATTTTGATAAATGAGCAATGAATAGATAAAAATTAAATATATCATACAGGTAAAATAATGAAACTGCTGCCTAACCACCCCTTATTCAAAAGCAGCTGGCCATCTTCGAATGATTTTGTTTGTATATTTTCATTCAAAATATCTGGCATTTAATTATGAATAGGCTGTAGCCTAACAATATAAAAAGCCATAAAACGATGGATGGCCAACAAATCTCTAGAATGAATCTCTAGAAAATCTCTAGAAATTCATCAGAGGCGAAAAAGTTTATTGTAGAACATTTGCCAAAATTCATGGCAGACCTGAGAAGCAAATAAAGACAGACAGACAAAGGTGTAGTGAGTCTACTGACAGGGCATTGTAAGGTTAATCTAAAGCTAATGGGATTGACGCGGGTCCTGTCAATCAGAAGGAGAAACGACAGAACACAATTTTATGATGCGACAGCCTGACAAATGTGCGGTTCTTTGTACTAGGCAGTGATAGACCAGTGAAGAAAAGCTATATGGAGGGTTCAGTCTTCAAGTTTATAGCCTCTTTTGAAAAGGATAGGACTGGAGATGTAACCTAAGGATCAGAAGAGGACCACACGACCACACGCGAAAAATCGAATATCATATTAATTCAACTAGAGCCAGAAACAATTAACAAAAATCTGAAATTTCAATTTTGCCGCCATGTTTCCGCAAATGAGAAAGATAAGTTCAACTACTTAACGGATGATCAATGGTATCATTGACACGCAACTTTTAATCCTAGTTTGAGACCCTGTATCACTAACCGAATTCTAGATCATAATGGTAAGAGTGTTAAATAGCAAATATTTTAACGTTTGAGGTAGTACACAAGGTGGTCCGAATTGTATTCGGGAAGCTTCAGCAGCATATTCTGTAAATAAAAATCAGTAAAAAAGTTCTTATAAATTTATGTTGGAAAATGCTTCGTTTCGGAAATACAGGGTGTAGAAGTTTTACTTTTATTTAACTTTTTTCTAAATAATTTCTGAACTATACTCGATATTTCGATAAAACTTGGTGTTTGGGTGTTTTTTCATATGAGAAATTTGGTTTCGATGTGTCAATATAGACTCCTATTTGTAGGGGGCGCGGGCGTTACCTACAGATGTTTTAACTGTTTTGAGAGTAATAAATTTTCGTCTCTACCTCTATAAAAATACTGAGTGAAATACTATACATTTTCGTAATCTTTTACGTAAAAAAGATCTCTTTGTAAAAATCGCTACGGGCAACCATTCCAAAGAAATTTAAAATGGAAATAGTCAATACATGTTTGACAAAAAATAAACATGTTAAGTAGATACCGTATGATCGAAAAAAAAACGGCGTCCAGTTGGCTGGGAAATGACGATCGATGATATTTCCCATATAAATTTACATATAAAATGACAGCGATCTTCATTTCATAGCCATATTTGACGCCGTTTTTTCTCGATCATACGGTATTTATTTGACTGAAATGATAAATTTGGGAACTTTGTATTTTTTTAAATTAATCATAAATTTTTCTTCGAAAAAATATGATAAACAGTTTCTGTTGAACTTTAGGCAAAAACATTTCAAATTTATTATTTCAGTCTAATAGGTAACTATTTAGTCAACATGTTTAATTTATGTCAATGATCAATGATCACAGGCATTAACTATTTCGATTCCAAATATCTCGAGAACTAGCTATTTCTACCAAAGACCTTTTTTACGTAAAAAAACATCGTAAATGTATATTTTTTTACCAAGTAGTTTTACACAGGTACGGATGAAAAGATATTACTCTTGAATAAGTGAAAACATATGTAGGTTACGCTCTTTACAAGTAGGAGTTATACTGACATCAAAATCAAATTCACGAAATCAAAGAACTCCAAACGCGAATTTTCATCCAAATATTGACGACATTTCATAAATTATTTGGAAAAAATCGAAATCAAAATGAAACTTCTACATCCTATAACTCAAAAAGTAACCATTTTAGGACATGTATTTATACGAACTTTTTTACTTATTTTTGTCTGTAGAATATACTGCCATGTAAGTTTCCCGAATACAGTTCGGACTACCCTGTATATTCCATGTGTATACAGGGTTGCTCACCACATACGACACAGAGTATTGTAGCTAAATGATTAGATTTTTGCAAATTGTAAGTTTTGGGTTTGTCGAAGGACTATTAAAGGCACAATTTAAAAATATTTTTACAAGATACAGAGTGTCTTAAATAAATATAAAATATCAAAGTTGTATTTTTTTAAATAGAACACCCTGTATATTTTATGAGAATCAGATGCCTAATTTAATTGTCTATCAAATTGTATTAAACCATTTTTTACCTATCTCTTTTAAGTTTTTTTAGAAAATACATTTTCTTTTAATTTAGACCTCAATTATCAATATACCCATGGAATATTGACATTTTAGATTACTTTTAAAGATGTAACAAATTTTTTAAGAGTACATATGCTAATATTGTCTATATAGTTCGTTTATTTCATTAAAAAATAAAAAAAATTGTTTAAATATTTGGTAATGAGGACTAATTAATATGATTCCAGTATTCAAACTACATTAATTGACTGTTTGCGTTGATTAATAATAATTGCTCCAAATACTAAAAAACTGAATTTTGTATGTGTTTAGACAGTGTGGTAAAAAGTAACACCTTAAAAATTTTATTTCATTTGTTGATGAATGTTTATTTATATTGACGTTCATTTTCATAACTTATTATTATATTGATTTCTGATTCAAATCAACATTTATTTAGAATAATTTATTGACTAACACAATTAAGTATGTAATTAATTAATATTTGTGCGGAAATTATGATGATATATTTAATTAATGATATACCTACTCTTTTATAATGATTTATATAGATTTTTTCGTATACAAATGGCCTAGTAATATTATCGTTTTTAGCACCTATACATTTTGTACATTTGTTGCTTTGAAAACAATCTAAAATGTCAATATTCCATGAGTATATTGATAAATGAGGTCTAAATTATAAGGAAATGCATTTCCTACGAAAATTTGAAGGGATAGGTAAAAAATAGCATGATACAATTTGATAGACAATTAAATTGTGCATCTGATTTTCCTAAAATATACAGGGTGTTCCATTTAAATTAAACAAGTTATTGCCGTTAAAAGCAAGCATTTATTGAAAATAAATTTTAGACACTCTGTATCAGGTAGTATTATTTTTATTATTGCAACACGATAACTGATCAATAATTAAACTTCAGTAGATATTTGGTATTAAAAACTTTGATACCCTTGGAGCAATGAAGTCTTAAAATTTTTACCGCAATTTCACAAAATTTAATATATTTCAAAAACGGTAAGGTTTAAGTGTGACAAACTTGAATCAAATTTATCTTTATTTTAATCGTAGAAACTAAAAATGTAATAATATACAGGGTGTTCTATTTAAAAAAATACAACTTTGATATTTTTTATTTATTTGGGACACTCTGTATCTTGTAAAAGCATTTTTAAATTGCAGCTCGAATTGTCCTTCAACGTACCCAAAACTTACAATTTGTAAAAATCTAATCGTTTAGCTAAAATACTCCGTGTCGTATGTGGTGAACAATTTCTGGGTGGGAATACCATCGATAACAAGATGAAATGCTTTAAAAAAAAGTGTATTATTAAATATTTTATGTTTATTTTCCATTATGGCAAGTATTCATAACAAAAAACTCTTTGGCATAGTTATTCAAGCATTATCTCCATAATTTTTATATTCCCAGAATCTGTTGTGCGTGTTGTCATCCAGATCTCTATCTTCCTTAAGATCAGTTGAGAATAGTCTGCCGCTGGTAGAAGTTGGAGCATAGGGTTGTTCTACGTTGGTGATAGCATCAATTTGAGAAGCCTTTATTACTAGTTGACCATTTGGGGAAACACCTGGAACGTAGTCGTCGGATTTTTCGATGCCAGAATCCCATGCCCTTCCAAGATAAACCTTGAAAGAAAAAAAGAGAAATATGAGTGAATCTACTCTATTTTTTATGTACAGAGTGGTCAAAATTGATCTGTTGTAATAGAGAAAACCTACTTTCTAGACTTAAAAATGTTTTAACAGAATTGCATTATTCCGCAAAATTAATGTTATGGAGAATTTTCGAAATAGGCGAAAATTTAAAAAGACCCTGTATCTCGGTTCAAAATGAATGGTATAGACAAGCAGTTTATGCTATTAAGGACCGTTTATACTCTCAGATAATTTGCGCAAACACATTTTTTAGTTTACACATTCAGTTAGTTTGTGCTATTTGTCTGGCGGATTTTATTTAACTAGTTAATTCATAGATTTCATTTAGACTAGATTTCATTTCACTAGTCCGAAAAAGTAGCAAAATAAGCGTTCGGTATTTAACGTTTTATGTAAAACTGACTAGGTATTTTTACACAAATAAAGAAGGAAATTAAAGATAAAGGATTATACTATATCCGCATTGCAGCACATTTTTAGACAACTTCTTTATTTTTTAAGATTTTGATAGTCAAACATCAACAAAATATTCCTTATGTTTGGACTAAATTTTCTCGAAAATAAAGATATAATTTAAAATTCCGTTACAGTGCGAAAATAGATTGAAGTTTTGTGATTACAGTGATATATAATTTATATGGTTTTGTAACAAATTGCTCTCTATTTTATCGCAAATGATGCTCTGCAAGCCTTAATCGAAGCACGTGTGTTTAGAATTTTGGATGTGGCTTAACACGACAAGATCGGGCTAAGCCTAGGCAGATTTCTGAAATATAATATATATTTCCTTTCGCCACATACCCGGTTTAGCCGACCCCTGAGAGCGACCCGAACAGTACAGCGTTAATAGAGTCTTAAATAACTTAAAAAGACACATAGCGTAACCTCATTTAAAAGTTTCGCATTTGTTTTCGCCTTGGTACTTAAACTATATAAATATGTTTAAAATCTGTAGCTATTGTATAAACAGATATAATACCGTATGATCGAAAAAAAACGGCGTCCAGTTGGCTGGGAAATGACGATCGATGACATTTTCCCATATAAATTTACATATAAAATGACAGCGATCTTCATTTCATAGCCATCGCTGACGCCGTTTTTATTCGATCATGCGGTATTAAAGTATCTTTAAAAACTCACCTAACAATTAAATACAGATTCGATAATGAAATTTTGACGTTAAATGTTAACCAAAAGACTATCAAAACCCGTGGTAACGATCAGTTAAAAATCAAGACGAAACAGATTTTACTGAAGCCAAATTTTTCAACTGCACAAACTAACGATTTCTGTTTATACTTTACGATTTATTGGTACAGTTTGGTTTGCGCAAATTGTATGAGAGTCTAAACGGCCCTTTAATGTCTCATATATCAAGCCCATGACAACTACACAGCTTTGCTCTATCAAGCCAGGAAATAGGTTTTCTCTGTTAAAATAAACCAATTTCGACCACCATGTATATCCATTAGTGATGGGTTGTTATTTAACTATCTGTTATTTTATAACAATTATTTATAAATAACATAACGCAACCGTTACTACTTCTAAAAAATAACAGATATAAAATAACAACACGTAGAAATCGGCCGCTCGTGAAACGAAAAACGAAGTCGGTGCTCTGCACCGCTACGAAATTCTATGCTGCTCGAAGCAATTCCAAAAACAACTGGTATGGATGGAAAACATGTTATTTCGTCAACCATCGATACAGGCGGCGAGACAACGGACAACGGAGTGGGGAATGCGCTACGGCGAACGTAGCTGCTTCCTGCTTCGGTCGATGTCGTCGATGGTCGTATTGGGTTTTCTCTTTCAACAGCTTAAAAATAATAGGATATAAAAGAAGCAGGTTTTTTGAAACAGTTGCGGTGGTGCAACTTTGTTCATGTTTCAAAGCGATAGCAAAGTAATTTGTAGCTTGATGCACTATGTTCAGTAGCAACATCGATTCGTAGCGATATTCTGATTTCTCGCTTTGTGGCGAGGCGACAGTCTAGACACGTGTGCAAGAGTGTGATAGTGATACCATATTTCGCAGCATTTGAGCGACAATAGTTTTGCAATGAACATAGTATCGATGTGGCTTCGACATCGCTTCTAAACGATCGGTTGCTAACTTGAAGAAAGTTGCACCCCGGGCATAACGCCTGGCGGTCGAGATAACAGGAGTGGGAAAGGAACGCTGCTGCATCGGTCGATTGTCGATGGAGGCTCGCAACGGGTTGGAGAAGCAGTCATTTTAGATACGTTGTTTTTCAACCTGTTACGAGCATAACAGGGCGGCGGTCGAGATAATCGGAGTGGGAAAGGAACGCTGCTGCATCGGTCGATTGTCGATGGAGGTTCGAAACAGGTTGGAGAATAACGCATCAGTTGTTTTAGATACATTGTTTTTCAACCTGTTACGAGCATAACGGGCGGAGGTCCAGATATTATGGCGCTGTATGTTTCAGTACTTACTTATTAAGTTTCAATATTTAGGTATTTATTTATTCTGAGTGGCGAAATTTTGGCTTTTTTATATCGCAATTTGTAAACAGCGGTTATTTGTAAACAACCACCGTTTTTAGAGAGGTATTTTAGATAACAATCGATATTTAGAAATGTTTTGACACCCTGGAAATACTACCACCGAGCACGTCATTGTTGCAACTTGCAACTGCGTTAATACGCCTGGCGGTGACCGCCTCATACTCTTTCAGATATTTAGCAGTAAAATAAAGAAACTTGTTATTTTTAAGCTGTTATTTTAAGCTGTTTTTTATAAATAACTTTGTTTCAACTGTTATCTAAAAATAACAGTTTTGCCCATCACTAATATCTGTGATTATGCATATTTTAAAGCTCACCTTGTTTGATCCCAGATAACTCGCATCACCTGTAAGAGTACTATTGTATACCAAAAATCCAAAAGTTTGCGTAGCTGGAGTACTAGGAGCAAATATAACAGGGTGTTCGATATTTTCATTGCCAATTACTTTCACGGTTGAAAGATGTATTTCGGCAGCACCCTGTCCAACAATGATATCTGTTTGACCTTCGACGTAGGAGCCATGAATATGAATCCTTTGCTCTGGATGGGCGCCCAAATACAGAGTGTTTTGTGCAGCCAAGTACCGGTTAAACATTAAATTAATCTGAAAATAATATAAATATATTCTATAGTTATTTTTAAAAAGTTTAAATTTAATGGAAGAAGGAAGTAAAGGAGATAATGCTAAAATAAAATAATGCTCGTTATCTCCAGTCTTTTAAAAAAGCCAATAATCCAATCGTTACTGACTTGCTCTTCTTTCTCTGTTTAGTATATTATCTTATTGTATCGTATTATCTTATTGTACTGAGCGACAAATGTCACTAAATCACAAATGCCAAATTTTGCAAAAAATCCTTACATTCTAATTTCATGACATTGTCTTCAGCACTAAACTCTCTAGGTATTTTCTACAGTTATTCTGTACTTTGCTATAAATATCGTAATCTTAAACCCAACAGGGTGTTCAAAATTCTATGCCAAACTTCCTCAAATATAAAATAATTTATCTTTGTATTTTTAAATGGAACATCCTGTATATTACTTCTTTGTTAGATGGAGAATTAAAAATTTAACATTTTTTGTACTTAAAGTATTTTAGATTGCAAAATAAAACACTAAAGCAGCACAATACACCAAAACACTTTTACTTTTACACTGGACGCGCGTTTCGCTAACCATGTTAGCATCATCAGCAGATGATTATAAACTTTTTGAAACAGTTTATAATCATCTGCTGATGATGCTAACATGGTTAGCGAAACGTGCGTCCGGCGTAAAAGTGTTTTGGTGTATTGTGGTGATTTAGTGTTTTATTTTGCTGTGTAATATCAAAGGTTCCAACCTTCAACTGTAATAGTATTTTAGATTATTTAGCGGTTTCGCCAATATTCGTGTTTTTATTACATATGGCTCTTTCAGCTGCAAAATACAAGACAAAAATCATTAAGTGACTGCCAAGAAATTATTGTTAAAAATCTCATAATATTACAAATATCCTAGAAACCGTTAAAATTTTTGAAATAGTTCTAATACAAAAAAAAATCATTTTTTAATTCTCCATCTAACAATAATATATAGGGTGTTCCATTTAAAAAAACGAAAAAAGCTATTTTATATTTTAGAAAGTTTGACATATAATTTTGAGCACCCTGTATGGTTTAAGATTTTGATATTTATAGTAAACTTAAATACAGGCCAACTATAGTAAATACCGAGAGGCAAACCGCTGGTGGTATTTATTGTACAAGCACTTGACAATACTGGTAGTTTTTTGGTACTAATTTGGTATTTTTGGTACTAATTTGGTATTATTTGGTAATAAACTGGTTTTATTTGGTATTAAACAGGTATTTTGTTGGACATCTGGCAACGCTGGATCAGACGCATGTGCGACGACGCGCGAGGGCCGGGAAGCTGATTGCATAATTTCTAGCTCATTTGCATCTAAAGCTAATACTGAAAAATATCTATATTTCTAGCCCCAACTAAATCTAAAGCTAATACTGAAAAATATCTGGAATCTAAAGGTGCTTTGACAAAATCGTTTAGTTCTGGAAGTCTTTCAGAAGATACCACTCTACATATTTTGGAAACTGATTATACCCAAGAAAATAATATAGTTTCTAAAATACCTAAGCAATGGTTAAAGTCAAAAATTGGTGATGAACTCTGGAGCACTCTAAACTGCAATAGTCTCTTTAAAAACATTATTTTTAGCACATCAATTTTACTTCCAAATTCTACTGCAAACTTCGAGGCAAACTCGATTTCGGGATCGACTTTAATATGCAAAATAACCTGCTTTTGTAAAAAGCAAGTAACTTTACAAATAAAATATCATCCTTCTACAAAAACCACAAAAACAAGAGTTACAAAGGCACGCTGGGTTAGCTCAAATTTTCTAAACACACTTGATAAGCATTTTGATATAACAAATAAATTATTTATACCAAAAATTAGTAATAATCGCAGTGTTAAATCCGAGGTTAAATCAGAGGTAAGCAATAATTCTTCAAATACCTCTGAGGCACAACCAAAAATAACTTCATTTCTAAAAAAGCCTTCTACCGAGCCTTCTACGGAAAATCCCGATGAAATTACAGAGGCATGCAAACCCTCATGTAGCAAAATTGTACCCCCTAATCTAATATGTGAAGCTCCCTGTAATCAAAGAAATCCTAATGTAAATATACTAGACTGCGTAATTATCCCCCCAACTAAACGAGCCTCGGAACTAACCTTATCAGCCACCACTTTAGCCATACCATCCACAAGCAATAATAATTATCTCCCCGATGTTATCCCTTTACTACCATTATCAGCTGCCGTTTCAACCTTACCGTCAACAAGCAATAATTCAATTTAGAAGTCTACAAAATACAGCCGCTTGCAAAGGAATAAAAGAAAAATTGAAAAGTTTCAGTATAATCAACCTCTTATAACCAACTTTATTTCGATATTAGAGAAAATAAATTCTACTCTTAAGGAAAATGGAGAAATATCGAAAGCTCTTAAGGAAACGATGATGGTTTGTCTAAATGAACCCGAAAATGAACCTGATGAGAATAAGCCAGAATCGAGCCTAGAATCAATGCCAGCAAACAAATTTTTAAACATGTTGCTTAAGACAGACTTTGGTACTAATTTGGTATTATTGGTTCTAAATTGGTATTTTTTTGGAAATAATTTGGTATTTTTGGTACTTTTTTCCCAAAATTGGTATTTATTGTACACCATTTTTGGCAACGGTTTGCCCCTCGGTAAATACCTAGTATAGTTTATTATTATCAGGACATTTCTTGTATTTTTAATATTTTTTTAAGAAAGGTGGATATATTTTATTTATTTATAAATATCTCTGAAATTATTAAAACATATTTAATAATATCTTAGGAGTATGTAAAGGTGATCAGAAAAGTAGTCAATTCAAAAAATCATCCCGATCCACTCACACTTTTTTAAGCCACCGAATGGATATACACTAAACACCCAATTGTACCATCTCTACGGATGATAGGGTCTCACAGTAAGTAGCATCAAACATCAAAACGACAATTTTGCTAAATGTAGTTCAACAAGCGGTCAAAACCAACCAACAACCAAATACTACAAGTAGTAATTCTTAAGGAAAAATTTATTTTAGATAAATAATTAGTGGATTAATTACATTAGACAAACATTTTATATTAATATAGTTAGTAAAATCACATCACTGACAAATAACTTGACTTGATTAGAAAATTGCTCTTAAATTTCCGTTCATGATATTCATGTCCTGTTAGTAAAGATCCCGTGTCACTTTTTTTAACAAACTGTTATTTGGAAAACGTAGGAGTCATATTATTTAGAATTTTATAAATAAACACCAAATTAGCTTCTCAGATTAACTGATTGATGTTGACAAAGCCAAAGTCACGACATAAAAAAGTGCAGATAGTGAAAACGAGATTCGGTATGTTAGCATATGACATAAATTAGGATTGATTGACTTATTAAATGGGTCACTTACTGTTTTACTCGAAAATACTACAACTTTTGATTTTTAAATGGCACCCTCGGTATTTTTCATATGTTCCATAGAAAATGACACTCTGAATAAAATTATATATATATAGTATTTTTAATACCTATTTAGAGGTACCAGCCGTTTTAGTAACTTAACGTATGCGGCTTCTTGAACCATCTGAACCCGCATGAAAAACTGGAACTTTTAGTGCTTTGGACGCTTTTTGAATTGCCTTAAATTGAGATCCTAAATCGTTTTGAAAATAATTTACTACATTAAGTATAAGTATTTTGGATTCATCAGAATATCGCATTTTTATTATTTTTATATCTTATTTTACATTATGACATTAACATGAAATCAAAATTTGACGTAACTTTAAAAACGTGACATCTAACAAATTAGTTATCGACGTTCCTTTTTGTTGGTAATTTTTTGTTTCAACTGATTTATTAATAATAAATAAGGATGGTGTTATTCTAAATGGGTATTAAAAATACTATACATAACATGTCAACTTTTGCCATTTTCGCTTAAAAAAATTGTATTTAAATTTCAATCAAGATTGCCATAGCTGTGAGTTAAAAACAATAATCTTTAATCGAGGAAATTTTTCCAAGAGGACAAATATATTTGATCGTCTTATGTTTTTCATGCATTGTCCTGGCTGGTTGATCCTCACTATACCTTCCGTATCAGCTACCTTCCGTTTACATGAAATATTATATCATGTAAATGAATAGTACAATGAACACTATCCGTTCCGTTTCCCTTCCGTTCCATATCCTTTCCTTCCATACATTTTTTTGGCGGACCGACTGAAGCGTATCGGAAACAGCGTTGTCAAGTTCTTACATTTTTGTACCAGCTCTGTTAACATTTTGCTGATATTTATTTATTCTTTCTCCTCTTAATTAAATCTATTACCTTTTTTAAAAGATACAGATTTTTAAAATAAAACTTTCGTAATTATATATATTGTACAATAAAAAGTATGGAACTGATACGGAACGGAAGCTTACGTATAGCGTCAATACAATAAAAAATACTGAACGGATATGGAATGGATATGGAATGGAAACGGAAGGTATAATTAGAATCAACCTTAATAGATGAGACTCGGCCCAAATCGTATTTTTAATCGTATCTCAATTTTTTCAAATGGAACGTGGGTGTCTCATTAGCATATTTGGAAAAAGCATTTTTACGAATAATTTGATATCACACACTTGGTATTTCGAGTCAAATGTTATAATTTCAAATAAACCATATGCGAAAATGTCAAAAGTTGACATACGATATGTCATTCTATTCAAAGTGTCATCCGTGTCATCTTCCATCAGTTTTAATCAGGGGCGGGAAAGTGAAATAGCAAAAGCGGTTCCACCGTTTTCACGAAAATCTCAAATAAAATAGTTCCAGCCCTAGCCAATAGGTGATAGGTGCAATTAATTTTTAGATTAAGAAGTTGCTACTAGTTATTGCCAGATGGCGTTAAATCAGACTTTTTTTGTAGTTTCCATAGTTTCCAACGGTCATTGTCATATGTCGTTGTCATAGCGCCAATCATAATATTATCAAATAAATGATTATCAAAATGTTTTTCAAACTATAATTTGTTATATGTGTTTTAATTAGACAATTCCTTTTGTTTGTGGCCCTAAAAATATAATGTAAGTCTTTTATTTTTGCCATCATTTTAGTACCTATTTATATTTACTCCATTTACAAAACTTTGGGCGTATTACGTTGGTCTTGTTTTATTATAATAAACGATGTTTAAATATTTGACTTATAAATAAAATCTTTAAATAATAAATAATATTTAACATGTTTGGCTTTAATTTTATTTAATAATTGTATAAATTATACTGTCAAATCTTATTTTTTACACATCACAACGATACTTGTTATTAGTATTGTTGAATTTGTGTAAAAAATAAGATTTAATAATCAAATTTAATTATATATATTTTAGAGTAAAATTCAATAAATAAGCTCATTTAAAAAGCCCGCGCTACGATCCATTTAAAACAAGCCCAACTCAATAGATGGCGCCACTTCTGTAGGACCATTTTTCAGTATGGCAGAGTCCATTCTTTTTCTAGCTAGGTATATTCTTTGGTTTTAATATAAAAGACAGAAAAGAAAACAATCCTAGATTGCGCCAATATCAATTAAAAATTAACAAATTTGAATTCTAAGCAGATTTTACCTTGTCAGCATCAACTTGAACAGCGATACCTTGAACATCGACAGCGGTATTTTGGACCGTAACCAATGTCATCATAAATTCATCATTCTCGATCCAGAGCACCGTAGCGCAGCTTCCCAAGTTTCCAGATTTGGTTGCGCATCCATTGTAAATGTCCCAGGCTGAATCGCCTTCTTGATAACGTTCGCCATTTGGATTGACCAAATTCACGTATCCTTCTGCTTGGATGCTGGCGCTTATGTTTTGGACAATGATCACGTCTTCAGCGGAGTTTCCTCCTCCGTAGATTGTCAGAGGGACATCGCCTTTAATGTACACAAATTCTCTGAAAAAAAAGTATACAGTGTGAAACAGTGTTCGAGAACAATTCTATATTAAGTATTACACTTCACAATATTAGATACTTAATGAAAGCGTCATAATAAATAAATGTAAAGATAATATGAATAGAGATGATGGTCCAAGTTCCTTTCAGTTCTCTATTATTGCTCTAGTCTCGACAATTAATTGTTACGTTCGATTGGTTTTGACTCGTTTCGCTAAGTTTATCACGCTTGGTCAGTATCAACCGAGCGCCTATATGTTTACGTAGGATATAGCGATAGTTTGATCAATTGTAGACTACTTTGGTTAGTAATAATCTGCTGGTAATGCTAATGCTGTTAGCGAAACGCGCGTCCGGTGTTTACTAAAAGTAAAATGTTTTTGATGTATTGTGGTAAATTAGTGTTATATTTTGCTCCATTTTAAAGTATTCTATATGAGATTTTTACTGTAATCCTTTTTATAAAATATGCAAGCAATATAGAGTTTATTTTAGAAATAGTTTATGTCTATTAAATGGAAAATATGCGGCTCTTTATACTAGGCTAATTTGGGGTTCAGTCTCCAAATTACTAGACTTTTGAGAATGGATGTGACTGCATAACGTAACCAAGAGGTGATTTTTAAATGAAACCCTCGTTCTTTTTTTACTTTATTCTATAGAAAATGACACTCTGAATAGAATGACATATCATATGTCAACATTAGACATTTTCGCAAAACGGTTTATTTGAAATTGTAACATGCGATTCATTACGGCAAACTGAAAATACCAAGTGTGTGGTACCAAATTATCCGTAAAAAATGCTCTAATGAGCCACCCTTGTTCCATTTGAAAAAATGAGATATGAGATATGATTAAAAAAAGGTTTTGGGCATCTCTTAACCGGCCAGGACAAGATACGACAAACATTAGACGATTAAATCTATTTTTCCAAGACTCCTTGATAAAAAAATCGTGTTGTTAACACAGCCATGACACTCTAGATTGAAATTTAAAATACGATTTTTTGAAGCGAAAATGACAAAAGTTGACATAATTAGTCGATAGAAAATGACATTCTGAATAGATTGATTTATTTCTATCGAATAAAGTATAAATATACCAAGAGTGCCATTTAAAAATCAAAAGTTGTAGTGATTTCCGGTGAAACAGGAAGTGACCAAAAACAAGTGAATACGTTAATCAATACAAATTTATTTCATATACTAACATACCAAGTATCGTTTTTTTATCTGAAAAAATTAAAAAGGTATAGGGGTGAGCCACTTTGAGACGCACCCGGTATAACTAATTCATAATGTGTTTTAAAATTATTTACTTTTTCTCATTCATTAATTAAAAGTAGTAGCGATTTTAGTTTTTTGATAGTAATCAACATTAAAGAGTATTGTGAGTTATCTTGACTTATCTATTTCAGACATCACCGTCAAGTATAAATATTATACGTTTCAAGTACAAACAAAACACAATAAGTAGTTTGCTTCAAGTACTAGGGGAAGGTCTTGATTAATATTGTATTGTATGTTCAGCTTTTTCTCTAAGCAAATTCCTCTATTTTATTAGTAATGAATAGACCGTATAATCGAAAAAAATGGCTTCGAGAACGGCTGGGGAATAACAGTCGATGATAATTTTGGCGAGGTCAATCTCTAGACGTCATTTACTGAAAATTGACTTAAAACTCGTTAAAAATTAACACTAATTATAGAAGGATTAAAAATGAATAGAACGTTTTCAGAAACACGATTTTTTTTAGAGATTTTAAACTAGACATTAACACAGTAAAGATTTACAGCGATTTTATTATTAAATAAGACTTACTCGTAAGTTCCAGGTTCGATTTTGATAAACTTCCTGTCCACACCACCATCCAGGAAAGCTTGATTAACCACTTTCTGTATAGACTCTCCAACTTTTACTGTATAATCTGGAACATCGGGAACAACGATGAGCTGTGGACCCCAGTCACCAAAAACCGTCTCCTGGGTATACCTGGATGCTTCAGAATCGGACAGAACTGGTCTTGTTTCAGTACCAGGGTACTCTTGGTGATCTGCCCCGGTCCATTTCAGACTCACAGCAATTAGTGCAAAAACTACAAAAATATTGGCGTTCCTGTAACAAATAATAATTACTATTTTATAATTTTAATAGTTGCTGAATAATAATTATTGTGCTAATTATCTGTACATAAATTACTTTATTTGTACTTAATAATTTTATCAAAAAATGGGTTGTTAGAATAACAATTAATACAGCAAGATTGTGTGCTATTAATGGTATTTTGTCATTAAAACATATATACAGGTTGTTAATTTGTTTATTACTCGCGGCAAGAGCTTTATTGTTGAAATGTGGCAACCACGGCTCGCTCGTCGATAGACGACGCGACGTGTCGGCAGAAAACCCTATAAGTGCATGCGTTCTCAATAGGTAGTATTGCCATACTGTTCCTCTAGAAGTAACTGTCTAGTTAACAACCTGTATAGTAAACAGTAGTATCACAGATAACATATAATTATGTGTTATTTGTGGTAGTATTCGAGGTGTGGATTTATAACATTTTTATTTATATGATCGTAAAACCTACTTTGTATTAATCATTTTATGTGTTTTTAATAAGTCGTAAACAATTTTTTTTTATGTTTGCTTCATCCACGTTACCGTAGATGGAGCTAAGAAGGCTTAGGTAGGGTATATATAAATAAAAAAATACGAGTAGCGGAAAAGGGACCAAAAAAACCCTACATATATGCTTATTCTCTGCATTAAGTTCATCAGACCGAAGGGAACAGCCATTCGACGACCGGTTTCGGAGATTTTTCTCTATCGCCAGGCCGACTTTGCTGTAACCCTCGATCTGACCAACGAAAAGCAGAGAATAGCATTTGAGTACAAAACGTACTACTATGGCGAGAGTGCTAGACGCTTTACGCCATCTAGCGGCAGCTGTGACAATCACAGATCGTACCGCCAAAATTAAAACCAGCGGCCTACTGGACAAACATGCTTGCTTCATCCAATATTACAGCAAAGTCGGCCTGACGATGGACAAAAATCTCCGAAACCGGTCGTCGAATGGCTGTTCCCTTCGGTCTGATGAACTTAATGCAGAGAATAAGCATATATGTAGGGTTTTTTGGCCCCTTTTTCCGCTACTCATATTTTGTTTAATTTTTTTTATGTGCTCACTCAATTAATTTGCTGTTATAAAAATTTTGTAGAAAAGTGATCGAAATGTTTTCCGATTTCGTGATACATTTCAGGCATAGTATAGAGGGTGTTTAAAAGTTAAGCGAACGAATGACTTGTATAATGCTTCATTTCAACTCTCTGGACAAAACTTATGTTTTTAGAATAAGTGAGTATTTTTTAATCCGTCTATGTATCTTTTGGATACTATTGGGAACTGGTAGGAATATTGTCAGTACTGACATAAAACTTGAATTTGTTGCAGAATGCTTTGGAATATCCACGCAACGCAACTGTTCTAGTCTTATATTCGTCGAGTCACTTAAAAGTCAAATGAATTAAATTATTTTAAAAAAGCTGATAAAATAGGGTCAACAAGTACTAAAAATCTTATTTTGTAGGAAATTATGTAGAAATCTACTATATATATATATATATAGGCTACAGGAGAGTTGAGACCAAAAAAGTCACCAGTCTAAACAATTACAAGCTTAGTCCGGAAAAAAATCCGGAATTATTGTTGTAAAATCTCATTTTCCAGACTGAAATTAAGTATGTTATATGTAAAGGTGGGTCTTATAATATATAATAATAGCTCCCGTATAGCGTTTAACGCCTTGGGAGTGAGCCGTTCGGTATACAAGGAAGGTAATGTGGCTAGCACTACGCTTCAGCCGCCTATTATTACCTCAGGATTATGAATCCCAAGTATTTATTTAAGGCTGAGTCGACCTAGGTACCCAAACTATTTTTATTTTAATAAAAATAGTCGGCTGATGTAATGCCGGGTGTAGGATTCGAACCCACTACCTTGAGATTGGTAGACGAGAGCCTGTACCTCTATGCCACCGGGCACCTCGGGTCTTATAATACAGTATGATATAAAGCATATTATTTGTGACATAGTACATATATGATAGTATTGACATGTGACATAATTATATAAACTACATTAGGAAATAAAATAAGGCCATAAGGAATGTTTCACTCACCTTCCCATATTTTCAACTTAACAAAAACGACTATGATTTTTTTTCATATCGTATAGTTATATAGTTACTACAATCTATCTTATCTGCATCCTTCAATTAATTGGAACCGCTTGAACAGCTTTATAATTAGTTTTTTAGTATATTTTGTCTATAAGAACGTATGTTGCACAATACACCTCAACAACATAGATATTTCTATTAAAAATTAAAACGCAACAATATTTCCAATTTTTTTCAATCTCTCGTTTTGATTGAAACATTACATACTTGTATTATTATTACTTAAGTGTTGTTATCCAGACATGATCTAATAAATTACAAGTTTTTTTAACTTTATTAGTTATTTATGAGTGTTATCAAAAAACAATGACTATGCTAAAAGTTGAATATAAATAATATAAATATTCATATTACTTTGAAGTAGATTAGATTATATTTTTGAGGTAGCAAGTAACCTGTTCCACTGCGACCAGACCTACACTATATTGTGGATCTCTTCTGATCCTTAGGTTACATTTCCCAGTCATATCCTTTTCAAAAAATCTAGCAACTTTGAAATTAATCCCTTCATGTCACTCTTTGTCAATGACCTATCATTGCCTAGTATAAAGAACTGCACATTTTCCAGGCTGTCGCCCCGATATAAAATGTGTTTTGTCGTTTCTTCTCCAGATTGACAAGATCTGCACATTGCTTCGCCCGTCACTTCCATCAGCTTAGGATGCCCTGTTATAGTCTAAGAGCTAGTTTTCGAAAGTATTTTAAGAAAGCTGGCTCTTTGACATACCTTTTACTATATGCTCTCTGGACAGTGGCGTAACTATCGATGTGCCGTGTGTGCGAAGCACACGGGCTCGGGCCCTCGGGGGGACCGGGCCGCATTTCCATATCTATCACATACTATCGCGAATCAAGTAGAATCGGGCAGTCCCGAACTAAGTTCTTATCTATCACATGTCTTCTTAACTACTTAACTAGCACACGCTATCGCGAAAATAACTTATTACTTTACACTTTCTTGTTCTTGTGCAATTTTGTAGCTGTGTTTTCCATTTTATTTTGCAAAATAAAAATAACTGGAAATATGTGATTTTTCATTAGAGCATTAAATTTGACAAAAAGGAAATTTGCTGTATTGTCACTGGATTTCTGTACCATCGAATAGAAATAGAACTAAGCTAGTTGTAGCATCAAAAAGAGCATGAAAAATGATACTGGCCAACTAGTTAACTCAAAATCACAAAAACTCTAGTTACCTAATGGTTGTATTAAGGGGACGATAAGGCAGCTGAGTTACGATAGGTGCCCGAAACTGCCACTTTTTTAAAATCACTCTGTAGCTCAGAAGAGGGCCGATAGTCAAGCAGCACTTAACGCGATCAACTCAGTAACTATCAATTCGAAGTTTCAAAGAATGCCTAGAGAAGCTCAACAAATTAGGCAAAGAAAATAAAGTCCTCCTACTCTGGGTGCCTGCTCACCAAGGGATAGAAGGCAATGAAAAAGCAAATGATCTAGCTAGAAAAGGAGCGAACACACCACTAACTGAACCAGAATAGTTCTGTTTTCCAAACGGAAACCAATTGAAAGCGGAACTGAAGAATCTGGAAGACTCCATCCGTAACTTTGAATGGGTGTCCTCCAACGGTCTAAGACACTCGAAAAAGTTCCTTAGAACTTATGACCGAGAAAAATCAAAGGTTTTCCTTGATTTAAGTAAAAACAATCTTCGGATTGTCACGGGGTTTCTAATAGGACACTGTCTCCTCAACGAACATCTCAGTAGGCTGAAACTGAGAAACAACGGCGAATGCAGATTTTGTGGGGAAAATGGGGAAACACCATAACACCTTATCACTGAGTGCGCCGAGACGACGACCATTCGTGCCATGAACCTTGGTACGTCTGATGTCGAGGATGGAGAGCTGGCCTCTGTGGAGCCGTCTCAGATACTGGCTTTTCTTAAAGCCCTGAGACTGTATGATGAGTTATAACTCGTTATAACTCAAGAAAGGGAAACACACAATAGATCTATAAGGTCGCGGTGATTAATTCCCCTCCTAAACATTCTACATTCTACATTCAGAAGAGGGCCATGACAAATCCTATTAGGGCATCTCTCATTTTGTCAAAAAGTAGCCGACTATTGTGAAAACCTATTCATAGGGGTGAACCTATTCATGATGTTCCACATAACTACCTATTCATGATGTTCCACATTCATCAACAAAACATGAAAATGGGATACCCTGTAGGTACAAGGTCGTACATTCGTAAAAAAAATCTTATCTTATTATCGCACCCTGCATACGAAGGGCATAAATAAATTGCTATAGCACTTAAATTCAATTTGTTCTTGGTTCAAATAATATCGCGATTACCTGTGCTGGTTATGACGGCAATTCCCAATACTTTTTTTTAAGATGTTCATGTTCCTATTTACATTGTTTATTTTAATTTAGTTAGTTTTGTTGTTGTTTTTTGTTTGGTTTTTATTTATTTTTTTATTTATTTGATATTTTATGTTTTGGGTTACATATTATGTGTTGCAGTAATAAATAATACTATATAAAAATTAATTTGATAATGGTATTTCTAACCTATAATATGAGTGTATATTATTCAGATTAGTATATAAGTATTGAAATATGTAGGTGTAATAGGGGGCCCGGTAAAATTTTTGCACACAGGCCCGTGAGTCTGTTGTTACGCCACTGTCTCTGGAACAGCATGCGGCCCATCTGGCTGTCGATACCCGTTGCGTTCACTACTGCGCATCGGGAGAAGATTCTATATTTCTTTAATTATTAGTCCGTTGAATTCTAGTATTGAATATAAGTCGAACAAGTCTCTATATTATAGCGCAGCGCGTAGAGGTTCTACCCTGACCCGGTCTCGACTCCTCGCTTGATAGGCGGAACCTCTACGCGCTGCGCTATGGAGACTTTATATTCAATACTAGAATTTAAAGAACTAATAAAAATATAGCATCTTCTTTCAATGCACAGTAGGGAACGCAACGTTTGCCGGCTTTTGCCGGTAGCCAGACGGGCGGCATGCTGTTCCAGAGAGCATAGTAAACGATATATTAAAGAGCCAGCTTTCTTAAAATACTTGTTTTCCCGACGTTGCTAGCTCTCGTACTATCAGTAATCCAAGTACATTTTTGATTGTCGTTTTGTCTTTGCTTGTCATGTCTACTGTGAATTTTAACGAATGTTTTTGATTGACTATGAACTTTTCCGCCTGTCACCGCCCGGTGAATTTCTCAGCCGTAGAAAATGTCTGGGAATATGAATGTCGTTGATGAAGCTCGTTTGATCACTTCATCTGCTTTCGTTACCCTAGTATCCAGATAGGTACCCATACTACTTTGAAGTATCAACTGACTATTAGATAAGTAAATTAGTAAACATCGATCATTGTAATTCTTGAACCCTATTTGACCAAAAATCATGAAATGAAAAGAAGTGTGTTTGTAATGATTAGGAATATATATATAAAGAGAATTTGAAACAACTTTTGTTGCGCGTTATCAATGACACCATGCGTCGTCTTATGGAGTTTCCTGGTGGTCATATTATGATGTGCAACGAAAATTATTTAGCATTAAATTCGGGGATAAAAATTTATATGATCTTCATCTTCTAGTTGGACCTATTGTTGGCTATGCGGCTATGCTGGCACAAGTTATCCCTGCTAATTTCCTAATATCATGGTCCCATCCAAAAATTTATATACAGTGTCGCTTTTATGTATGGAAACGGTCGATTATTAGATAAAATATACAAGGTCGATTATTCGGTAAAATATACCGCAAAAAGTTAAATACAAAAATTATATAGCGTTTTCAAATGTCTATTGGCGAGTAATAAATTTATGTAGGTATACAGGGCCGCTCATAAAGTCGTGGCACATCAAAGTTTCATTTTTTTAAATAGAACCCCTTGTGTATTATTGGATATTTCAATTATTCTTTCAATTCTAAGCAAAAATCGAAGTACACATATTGTAGGTACCTCAAACCAACTGTTTCCGAGTTATTGACTTTTGAACATATCACTTAAACAATTTGATTTAATTAATATCGATATGTTCAGTTTCATTTAATGATGTAATTCTGCCGAAAGTGTGATACTGTTTTAATGGGTTTTTAAATGCTTATTAGCTACTAGTAAATTTAAGTATACAGGGTCGGTCATAAAGTTGTGGCACATCAAAGTTTCATTTTTTTTAATAGAACCCACTGTATATTATGCATTTGTCCATGTATGTTCTATTTGTAATTTTAATGGCTTAATTTTATTTAATTTTATGATTTGTATTGTATATTTTTTATTATTTGTATGTTTTTTTTGTGCTTTTGTTTGTTTTGTAAATGCTTTGTCGATGAAGCTATTTTGGCTTTTTACTCGCACAATAAAGCTTTATTTGTTGTTGTTGTTGTTGTTGCATATTTCAATTCTTCCTTCTATTTTAAGCAATAAACGTAATACACAATATACATAAATTGAAGAATTAAAATGTTAAACTTTAATTTTGTAATTTCCAGACTTGATATAATCTCATTTTATAAATCTATAAATGCTAACTTGAGAACTAATGTCAGATATTATTAGGTATCACAGTTTTGGCAGAATGGTATCGTTAAATGAAACTGAACATATCAAAATTAATTAAATCAAATTGTTTAAGTGATATTTTCAAAAGTCAATAACTCGGAAACGGTTGGTCGGAAGTACATTGTGTGTATTTCGATTTTTGCTTGGAATTGAAGAAATCATTGAAATATGCTATAATATACAGAGGATTATATTTAAAAAAAATAAAACTTTGATGTGCCACGACTTTATGACCGACCCTGTATACATGAATACATGAATTTCTGAACTCTTTTGAAACAGGCATATTAAGAACATTACCAGAAAAGCCACAAAGTCTCTCATGAGATGGATATAGAAGACTGGCCGGAAATAGATGGGGCTGTTCCCCTAATATTTTGCGCTGGATGTATACCATGATAGTAAGACCCATGATTATTTATGGAGCAGTTGCCTGGTCACAAAACTAGAGCAACGGACGGCAAGGCTAAACCTGTGCAAAGTCCAGAGACTAGCATGCGTTTGCATCACAGGAGCCATGAGAACCTGTCCAACTGCAGCAATGGAGGTCATTCTAGATCTAACACCACTGCACATTGTCATTGGTAGATATGCCAGTGCGACAATGATTAGAATGGTCACTAACGGAATCAGTACTGGAAGAATTGTCAGATCAGGGGCTTGGAACACCCTCAAAAAGGAAATACAACTCCTGCAACTCCCAGTGGATGACATGCCAAGAATGTACAACTTTGAGAGAAACATCTCAATGTAGTATTAGCAATAAAAAGGATTGGAAGAGAGAAACGTCTGCCCAGCAGTTAAAAGACAATACCATGACTTGGTATACTGATGCTTCCAGAACCAATGCGGAAACAGGGATCGGAGTATTTGAGCCGAGAATTAAATACTCCGAACCAATGGGCACCTACCTTAGCATCCTACAGGCAGAAATCTACGCTATCGAAAGATGCGTACAACTTATCTCAGATAGGAACTATCGGAAACAAGAAATAGCCATCTTATCTGATAGTCGTTAAAAGCGTTTAAAGCGATCAATTCAGTATCAATCAATTCGAAATTGGTCAAAGAATGCATAGAGAAGCTGAATAAATTAGGCAAAGAAAACAAAGTCCTCCTACTCTGGGTGCCTGTTCACCAAGAGATAGAAGGCAATGAAAAAGCAAATGATCTAGCTAGAAAAGGAGCGAACACTCCACTAACTGGACCAGAACCGTTCTGCTTTCCAAGTGGTAACCAACTCAAGACGGAACTCAAGAACTTGGAAGACTCCATCCGCAACCTGGAATGGGAATCTTGCAACGGTCTAAGACACTCGAAGAAGTTTCTGAGGGCTTACGATCAAGAAAAATCAAAGATCTTCCTGGATTTAAGTAAGAACAATCTTCGGATTGTCACGGGGTTTTTAACAGGACACTGTCTCCTCAATGACCACATCAGTAGATTGAAACTAAGAAGAAACGGCGAATGCAGATTCTGTGGGGAAAATGGGGAAACACCAGTACACCTCATCACTAAGTGCGCCGACGTATATACGACAACCATTCGTGCTATGAACTTTGGTACTACTGATATTGGAGATGGACCCCATAATGGACCCTCTATAAAACCGTCCCAGATACTGGCTTTTGTCAAAGCCCTGGGACTGTATGATAAGTTATAACTCAAGAAAGGGGGACACAATAGATCTGTAAGGTCGCAGTGATTAACCCCCCTCCCACTCATTCTAAATTCTAAAATTCTAATACATGAATTTATTACTCACTAATAGATATTTAAAAATCAACTTTTGTATTTAACTTTTTGCGGTACCTCCTATATTTTACCTAATAATCGACCGTTTTCATACATAACAGCGACCCTGTATATTCTATATTATATTCATCTATAAGTATCCATTTTTGTAAAAAAAATGATAGCTGTAATTGTGTATATTCTGTAAAAGTAATATTATCCGAGATACCTACCTATAAGCAAAAAAGTGGAAAATCTGACTTAACAATTCACATCTAAAATAATAGTTTAAGACCAATTTAAAAATATAAGGATTTTTTCCACCGATTGACCATTTAACTAATAGACTGGTTATTAACTAATTTGGTATGTTAACTAATTTGACTGGGTGATACTTAGTAATATATATTTATTTCCACAATTATTAATAAAACTAATAAACCGCTATTAATCATCCAAATTTTCATTCCGTGCTAGAAAAATAATTTTCTATTTTTCACCATAAATAACCTCAATGTGTAATTAATATCTATAATACTAGAATTAACTAATTATTTTATAAGTTGTTTATTTTGATATAATTGGAATAACATTGAAACATATATATTAAGAACAATATTGCAGTATTACCGTTTTGTAAAAATGCACTTCTTAATAGTGAGTGTTGGATTATTGACACTTTGCAGAGCCTGCTGTAAGCTTAATCAGATTTTATATAAAAACTAAATAATATGATTCTATTTTCTCTATTTTAGGTGGTGCAGCATTTGCTTACTGCAAATACACTGATCCAAATTTTGACAGTTGTTTCAAAGATTCTTTTCAGAAAGCAATCAAACTTCTAGAGAACGGTAAATAAAATTATTTATACAGAATTAATTGGCAAATACTACGAAAGCGTAGAGCTGCCATCGCAACAATGAAATATAATTTTAGCAAAATTTACACTTTTTCTGTATGTTTTAAATTTACACTTTTTCTGTAAATTTACACATTTTCTGTAAATTTACACTTTTTCTGTAAATTTACAGATTTTCTGTAAATTTACACTTTTTCTGTAAATTTACACTTTTTCTGTAAATTTACACTTTTTCTGTAAATTGCATGCGAAATTTACTACCCAGCAGAATGACGTCTCGGCATCGACCTGCTCGTTACTCACGTTACAAGTGAGCATTGTTCTCCGCTGATTAAGTTGCTATTGTGCCTAAGTAGTACAGATATTCATCAGAGATTATGGACGAATACATTAAAACCTACTTTCATATCGGATTAAGTCATAAAGAAATTTTGACATGTCTGCTAGAGGATGGTTATGTTAAGTTTACATCATTTGCAGACGACAGTTTACGTCATCCCAGAGGTGGAGGCCATCAGATCCTCTTGCAAACAGTAATGCATCGGAAAGGGTGAAAATACTTTCCGGGTCGATTAAAAGCATATTAGAAAACATATTAAACAAAAAAATGCCATACTATTATATCATACACATTCGAAATTTAATACATAATCCCTAAAATAAAGATCACCCGATTTTCTGTACTATATGTTAGACGCAGGTTCAGTATAGACGATGAGGAATAATTCTTCAAGTATTTTTGAAGAGAGTGTGGTTTCAGAACAAAATATATCTTTGAATATACTGGGATATTGCTTAATCTTTTCATATAGTCCGCATGTCTTCAATCCTTCAATTAATTGCCGCAGTGGTTCCCTAATTCTGTCTTTACTAGTAAAGACTTTTGTGAATAAACTGGCGTAGAACAGAATTCGATGGGAACTACTTGTAGAATAACGCACCACTGTTGCCACTAACGCATAAATTAACAGAAAAAGTGTAAATTTATAGAAAATCTGTAAATTTACAGGAAAAGTGTAAATTTACAGAAAATCTGTAAATTTACAGAAAATCAGTAAATTTACAGAAAAAGTGTAAATTTTGCTAAAAATATTTTTCAATGTTGCGATGGCAGCTCTACGCTTTCGTAAAATACAGTGGCGGTGAAAGTATTTTATTCTTATGAACAAATCATATTAAAGTTTTGTGACGAAACACCGTTTACCTATATCTTAAAATATACGAGGGTTGTCTTTTATATTTTGCATGTAGAGTAAATATAGTAGGAGCCTGTCAACATATATCCAATGTCAAAATTAACTGTCTCCTTTAATTAACTTAAAGCGAAAGTTTTAGATCGCTTCGTTTAATGCTATACCTAAATTAAATTTTTGAAGTTGACGGTCAGTCGAAAAATGGAATTAAGCGGGGAAATTTTTTGTGCAATAATTTTTTGCAATGTTCGAAGACAGTTGTTTTAACAAGAAATCCTTGCCGAGTTGGTTTGTGTTTTCGGCTCTCAGTCGAAAATTTCTTGTTGGTAAGAAAACGCCCACCAACAACGGCAGTCACCCAGAGTTGGAACTCTGTAACTAAATAGCGATCGGTAGCGATGAAGAATACTGACCTTGCCCGTACAAACGAAACGGCAAGCGACAGTATTCTTCATCGCTACTGATCGCTATTTCGTTACAGAGTTCCACCCCAGGAAAACGTCGATGCTGTACCTAAGCTCATCCAAGAAGATCGCCATGTCACATATCGTGAAACTTAAACATCATTGTGCATTTTAAAGACCTCAATAAAATTACATGTATAATTTATCTGTGAAAAATTAGTTTCTTGTTGTATGCCGCATCTGTTGACGGAAGCACAGAAAGCAATTAGAGTCAATTCGTGTCAAAAACTCTACACCGGTTAACGCAAGAAACTCAAGAAATATATACAGTATTGTCAGTGGTGCTAAATCCTGGATTCACCTTATGAATTCGAAAATAAACGCCAATCGGCTGTTTGGACGTGCCGAGATGAACCAAAACCGAAGAAAGTTTTGAAGATACCAACAAGCGAGTGGAAAAATGCTTTCAGAACAGGTCTAACGAATACAAAAATGCATTTCTCTTTGTGGAGAATACTTCGAAAAACGTATGCAAAATATAAAAGACAACCCGCGTATTGTCATCTTTTCTGGTGTATACTTTTCTATGTTTCAATAAAAACTTTCTCTATAGTGGATTAATAAATTATTTAAATGTAGAATCTCGGTTTTTTAGATCCCTTAGTGTTTGACTATATTAAATAACTCATAAAACTCGTATACAGGTTGTTAACTGAACAGTTACTTATAGGGGAACAGAATGGCAACACTGCCTATTGAGAAAGCATGCACTTATAGGGTTTTCTGCCGATACGTCCCGTCGCGTAGTCTATCGACGACCGGGCCGAGGTTGCCATATTTCAACCATAAAGCTCTTGCCGCGAGTAATGAACAAATTAACAACCTGTATATTATATCGAAATATTGAGTTTAAAAACAAATGAGTTTTATTCAATATAGTTAAACACTAAAGGATCGAAACAACCTAGATTCTGCATTTAAAACACTATTCTATATTTTTATCATAAAATTAATCTGCAAAATCACTGCTTACACCCTTATTTTAAAAATTGGCGCCGGGAGGCACGTATAGCCGCCCATACTAAAATATGTTAATAAAAAGTTGGTAGGCAGTTCTTTTTGTTTCAAAGTAAAGAATTTTTTCCAATTTTGGTCCGCGGTTATTTCCCCGTCACCTGGTGTCGCGTCCGATGGGAGTTTGGAGTTCTCCACACGGATTTTCTAAAAAACGGACTACGGAAACACGGAATATCTCAAAAACTGCGACTTTGACTGATTTTGATGTTATTACAAATTTTGTTGCAAATATTATTCCTAATCTTAAATTGAAAACCGTGTTTCGCTAGCTACTGTAATTTTGGAGTTACTATTTTTTTAAATGTTTAACCCCCTCCCATACCCCCTTACCAACCCCCCACCCCCACCAAAAACTAATGGCCAGCTTCTCGGGTGCCACAGTATTTTTGTGCCAAATTTGGTTAAAATCAGTTTAGCTGTTTTTGAGTTATCGTATTACAGACGGACAGACGGACAGACAGACAGACAGACAGACACCATGAAAATTATTTGTATTTAGGTGATTTATGACCCAAATAATTCATTTTGAGTGAAATTAAAAAAAAACTCTTTTTTGCCGATCTTAATAGCCTACCATACCTGTTGGTATGGTCGGCTACAAATGCTAAATGAAAGTTTTTATAAATAAACAGACAGTTGTTTTTATATATAAATTTTAGTTTTTATAAATAATATTTAACTTCTGTAAGTTAATAGGGAACCATTTTTAGATATTCCTGAATATGGATTAGCCAATTTGAAGGTCTACAAAATACCAGCTCTTTCAATACAAGCTGGTTCCGGTTCTGTACATTTAATACAAAATTACAAAAACGTAGAATTGCTTGGATTGTCCGATGCCACAGTGATCAGCGCGCAGTAAGTATCTTTCAAGAAAATTGAAGATTACAGAAGTTTTATAAGATTATTATAATACCGTATGATCGAAAAAAAATGGCGTCAAAGACGGCTGGGGAATGACAATCGATGATAATGTTGGTGAGGTCAATCTCTAGACGTGATTTATTAAAAATTGGCACAAAACTTAATACTAATTATGAAGAGTCGAATTTTAAATTACGCCATATAAAAATAAACTACAACCTTCTTAAGGCTAACTGACAGTCAACGCCATTAAAAAATAAAGAAGGGTGCGATAAATGACGTCTAGGGCTTGACCTCGCCAAAATTATCATCAATTGTCATTTTCCAACCGTCTTTGAGGCCGTTTATTTCCGATCTTATAGTATTATACCTGTACGTAGTATTATACCTATATATGTAGGTAAAATAATAAATGGTGAATGTAACTGATCGTCATTAATTTGTAATAAGAGCTTGATATGGTACAATAGTATTTTTTAATTAAACGTTCTCCAATCCAGTGTGTGTAGATATCCATGTAAAACCTCTGACGAAGGGTAGCGGACTCAAAAAACTCACAATCTTTTAAGATGTTTATTTCAAAATTTAATTTGATTTAAAAAGTTCTTGAAAGGATTTCCCATCCTTTTCTGAGAGTTGTTTTTTAGTTACGCCTCTTGTTGAACTTAAGTTGAATATTATTGCCCTTTCTGATTGTAATTTAGTTGTTTCAATTTCCAACTAAGCTCACCATAAGATGTCTGTGATTAAGTAATTGTGATAAAAAATAATGCTTAACTCTGTTAAAAATTTTTAACCTTTTGAATTTGTTTGCGATTGTATTTTATAACCTGACCTCTGCATGACTGTATTGAATTGTTTAACTTTTCTGATTGCAATTTGATTATTTTATTCTTCTGGGCCTGAAGAGGGGAATTAAATGAATCCCGAAACATGTCGCAACAATTTTAAATAAAATTAAATTTTGGAATAAATATCTTAAAAGATTGTGAGTCTTTTGAGTCCTCTACCCCTCGTCAGAGGTTTTACATCGTATTTTTTAATGTCCAAGAGAATGATGCAGTGTTGATTATTTTACTACAACCTCCATTGCCTTTATTTAATTTTACTTAAACAATATTCAGTGACGATCCTTGATGACATAAATTTTATTTACCTAAAAGTTTTTAAAAAAATATTTAAAACTTTATCTCATGGAGCAAACACCATGTGCAGTAACCAAGCATCACTTAATGCCGAATTAAATTATATTAAAACGGATTTGCTTCAGAACTGGTACTTTGAGAAGTGCCTAGACAAAATTATATCAAATGTACCAGTCAGAATGCTCTTTGTTTCTCTTTACTATTTTATATGTAAAAAAAAACATCAAAAAGGTCAGATGAATTGGCAAACAATGTAAGTTTAGAAATGTTTCAAAATCTGGAACAGGTTCTAAGAAGCGTCTTAACAAAAAGGAAACCGAGGGCGTACTAACAACAGAAACACGTACCAGGTATCTTGTGAATGCGATGAGTCGTATACTGGACAAACAAAATGTCCTCTAAATGTATTACTTAATGAATAACATGTACAAAAATGTGAAACAATGAAGTCAGGTATTGCACACCATCTGTCCACAAGGATCCTCATTAGAATAAAAAGCGTAAATTTAACGAAGCCGTTTTTATATCAAAGAACAATAACATCTTTAGCAATCCAAGTATGGAAATGTTCACAATTTGGCAACCTCTTATTAGACGTACCAATACTGGCATTTTCAGCGGATAACCTCACGCTTAACTGCACCTAACTGTGTCGTGACTAGTGATGAGAAAACCCGATTAATTTCAATAATCGGGTACTCGAGTTTCAAGCGTTTGCAATAACCGAGTGATTGCTCGAGCGAAAAAACTCGTATTTAAAAATACGGTTTTTCACCCGTCGCTTGTTATAAGTACTCGTTAACGCCAAGCGCCAAGCAGTAAGTTGCGTGCGCAGTGATGAATGGCAAGTAGCAAGCGGCGAGCAATTCGCTTGATCGCTTGATGCTTGATTTAGTTTATTTCAAGGCATTTTCGATGTATATATATACGGCGTCGTATAAATTTTCTACCTGCAATGAATGTAGAAAATTCGCTCGGCTTTTTATCGAGTATGTCACGTTAAAATCGGATTTCAATTTATTTCATTCTAGGATCGCTTACGTTCGACGCTTGGTACTCGTCGCTTGCATCGCTCGTTCATAATCGAGCGATGTCGGTTATTTCAATAATCGAGTACTCGAGCGAATTTTCGCTAGTGTTATCCCATCACTAGTCATGACTTCCTCAAGAAGCTCAGTAGTGTTAAAATTTAAACTGGTTTGCACATGAAAACGATCAGTAGTATCATATGATACGGCGTCAGAGATGACTATGAAATGAAGATCGCTGTCGTTTTTGTAAATTTATATGGGAAATGTCATTGATCGTCATTTTTAAGCCAACTAGACGCCGTTTTTTTTTTAAATCATACGGTACAACTGACCGAAAAGGTATTTTTAATATCAACATGATACAATAAATTTTACGTTCTATTTAGTTTTGACAAGGACAAGAAAATTTTATCATTCAGTATACTGATTCCAAATTTGATACAAAGAGCGGAATATGAAGTGAATGGAAAGCTTATGGCATTACCTGTGGTTGGCCATGGACCATCTGAACTACAACTAGGTAATGAGAACATATACAGGGTGGTCTGAATTGTAGTCGGGAAATTAGCTAACATACTGCAGATAAAAATAAATAAATGTCTGGGATATAACATGACATAAAAATGTATATGCATTGAAAAAAAAGTAGATGCATTGTCTGTCTTTCTTTATATAATTTTAATGATTGATGTTGGTGTTTTAGTAGCACCCTTGATTATAATATATAAACAAGGGTAGCACCTTCCATAATGAAGATTTTATTTTTATTTCAGAAAATGTAGAAATGACTACTGAAGTAGGCCTGGAAGAAGAGAACAGAGAAGGCTTAATGTACTACAAAATAACATCGTACAAACTGGATTTAAAAACTTCCCATTTACGAAGCCGATTCGATAATCTGTTCGATGGCAACAAATTGTTAGGCGACAACATCAACAGGGTGTTGAACGACGAATGGCAAATTATTTTCAATGATGTGAAATCTTCAACCGAAGCTGCTTACTCGACAGTACTCAAGGATTATGTACAGACGTTTTTTAATCACGTACCTGCCAAAGATCTGTTCTAGCATTTTCTTTCTGATTCTTTAGTGTCTTACTACGAAATCTACTAGTATCTTTTTGATGACTATGTATGTTTAGTAGAGTAGAAGTGATATTAAAATATTTCAGTTTAAATAAAACAATTTGACAATTTTTAAGCAGACTTAAGTAGAGTACAGTACGTCTGTCCATTCTGTAGCAACGGGGTATCCGTGAGAGGGGAAACGATATTTCTCTCGATGTTTTTCGTAAAACATTAGACGACGCGTCCCATCAATAAAAATTCGACAAATTTGCAAGTAGCCAATAAAATGAGTGGGCGGAGCGATTTGCGGTGACGTACTCGTCAAGTCGACGTATAAAATATATTGCTGTTTATTTAAATATTTTTGTCCGCATTCCTTTCATAGACATAGATCCAGCAGATGTACTGTACTGTATGTCCCCGGTTTGTTTTCCAAAAGGAAAACTTTTTTATTATGGATATTTTGAGAGAAATTAATTATTAATAAAAATATTAATAATTTAATTAAATAGACACAGACCCAGCAGACGTACTGTACGTTGTCGATCCCTTCTGTAGCTATCTGCGTCGATCATTCTGTAGGGTATTCGTAAGAAGGGAAACGAAATTTGCAGTTAGCAAGCAATTCGGTGTGCTATAAATATTTTAAATATCATTACTTATATAAAATTTCAAAAATACCAAATTAGTTTTATTTTTTCTTTCGTTTTCCACGTAATACTCTTTATAAAATTAAGAAATTAAGAAGAAAAACGATAAAAAATTAATAAAATCGCGCATCTATTTCACTGATATCGACTGCAATGTTCTTCAAGCTCAGTCTACTACCGTTCTCGTAAAAAAATTAGGCGATGCATACTGTTAATCAAAATCCTCACCTTTGGAAGTCTAATGTAATGTGTTTTGTAGTAAATTGATAATACTCCAATATTTTGTCTGCATTCTTGAAATTCTTTTCATAGACACAGATCCAGTATAGACGTAATGTACGTGTACTGGATCTGTGTAAGAATGCAAATGCAATAATGGAGTATGATCAATATACTACAAAACATATTTAAATAAACAGCAATATATTTTATAGATCGCTACCTACAGGCGGCAGAGAGTCCACAATGTCACTGTCATGTTGCAAAACCCACCTGATTCAATTAAAAAAATCATAATGACACATACTAATAATAGACTCTGAAACCTACAAAAATAGTCCCAAACTGTAGCAAAAGTCATCTATCTATACTAATATATAAAATCCTTAAGTGACTGACATACTGATTAATCACGATCCTGCTCAAACCACTCAACGTAAGAAGCTCAATTTTGGCATACAGGCTGATTCTAGGGTGTAGACGTTCGATAAGAAGGGATTTTTCGAAATTCCAGTTCCAAGAGGGTGAAACCACCCCTCAAATATTACAATATTTTTTATTTAAAAAACGGTCAACTTTCCGAAAAAACGCTTAAACACGTATATTTTATTTTGTTTTTTTACATATTTTAAGATTTTTTAAAAATGTATACAGGGTGTTTCGAAAAATCTGGTCATTGATAAATCACGATCCTAGTTAAAGCGCTTGACGTAAAAAGCTGATTTTTGGAAAACAGATTGACTTTAGTGTGTAGAGGTTCGGTAAGAAGGGATTTTTCGAAACTCGAATTCTAAGGGGGTGAAACCACCCCTCAAATATTAAAATATTTTTTATTTAAAAACCGGTGAGTTTTTCGGAAAAACTCTTAAACACGTATATTTTATTTTGTTGTTTTACATATTTTAAGATTTTTTATAAATTTATACAGGGTGTTTCATAAAATATGACCATTGAGTAATCACGATTCTGCTTAAAATGCTTGAGGTTTAAAGCTGATTTTTGGTAAACGGATTGACTGTGGGGTGTAGAGATTCGATAAGGAGGGGTTTCTCGAATCTCAAATTCCAAGAGGGTGAAAACGCCCCTCAAATATTACAATATTTCTTATTTAGGAAACGGTTAGTCTTTCGGGAAAACGCTTGGACAAGCATAATTTATTTGGTTTTTTACATATTCTGAAATTTTTTAAAAAATCTTACAGAATGTTCCAAAAAGTTGGGTAATTTCTTAACCACGATTTTGCTTAAACTGTTTGACGTAAAAAACTTATTTTTGGCAAACGGATTTTTCGAAAGTCAAATTCCAACGAGATGAAACTACCCCTCAAATATTACCAAGTTATATAATAATATCGCCATATTGTTTTTTCTCATGCTGACATAAATGTGAGAAAATTTTATCCAGTTTATATGTTAATGGAAATTCTTGCTTTACTATATTATCACCATTACAAATGATTAATTCGACGCGACCGAAGTCGCTGGTACACGCTAGTTCATGTATAAAGTTCACTACGAATTACGTTACTGCGGCAAAATCTTAATCCACTTATATTTGCTTTTTATTGTCATTTTTGTTGCAAATCCCACATTTTTCATAGACTTTTTACACAAGTATTATAGTACTACTAATGTCTTATCTATTTTAAATCCTTACCTAATTTTAATAAAATAGTATATCTAATAAATCAAGTTATGATGCAAATATCTTCTTGTAGCAAAACCTGCAATATGCATCATACTGCATCTGAATTATTTTTACCCCAGTCAAATTATTTAAAAAAAAAGCCGATCGGTGGAAAAAAAATCCCACAGGTTTCAAAATAGTTTTAAACGATTCCTTTAGACTTGGGCTGATATGTGTCAAAAATCCCCGAAGATAGACGAAGAGCTCGAGGAGTGGGGAGGAGTTAAATGTCAATTTTTTCACTTTTTTGCTTATATCTCGGAAACTATGACATCTGCCAAAAAGCGTTCTATATATAAAAAATAAAGCTGACAACATTCTCTATAAAAACGATTCTATACATTTTTGTTTCCAAGTATTATGTTTCTGAATTAATTTTTATGTCGGAAATAAGAAATACCTTCATAAAATTCTTCAATTCAAAAGTCTTAAATAATCTTAAATAATAATGTATCTTTAATAACGTAGATTTATTGTAATTTAAATTTCATAATGTATTATACAATATTGTACAAAACTAAAAAATAATTTGAAAGACCTACTAAATTAAAAAAGTAAGCGATACATGCATTATTATAAACTAGTTGAAGCCTGGCGCATCCGCCACGACTAGGGAATGCAATCCCGCACCAAAATCTCAATCCCGCAATCCCGCGGATCCGCAAAATTGCGGGATTGTAAACAATAAATGTTCTTCTTTTCTCTCTTTGATTTTGGGATGCGGTTTGGACCAGGTTTTAGACGCATCTATTGTGATTAAGATGCTATGTGGTTTTCGAAAATATATTTAGCGAATTCTCGTATACATCGGGTGTTTTATAACAGTGTACAAATTTGGTCAAGATTTTTTTACCGAAAATTTACAATTTTTGAAAAATCGAAATTTTAACTATGTACAATTACAAAACAATTTGGTGTTTTTTTTTAATTTTTGTTTTAAGATAAATACGAGTTTTTTTTTTCGAAAAATATGCATTTATAGCCCTAAATAATACATTTGGTCCTAAATGGTACAAAAGGCATTGTACATTTTGCATAGGCCCAGAATATACTGATATAGCGTGTATCTTCTAGCTGTACAAAAATTTGGACCGATGTATACAGGGTGTTCAAAAAATATATTTAATATTAAATAAACTTAAATTTTATTATAATTTATCTACTTATTTTATTAAATAAAATATTATTCTGATGTTGAAGATTTTTTTCAACTTGTGTTAGTTATCTGGTTTTAGATACACTCTATATTAATAATTTTTTGGCATATGCAGTATGTACAAAGCTTTTTGTACCATTTAGGACCATCGTATGACTAAAAATGCATATTTTTCGAAAAAACATCGTATTTTCCTTAAAACAAAAAAAAATAAAAACCCGATCAAATTGTTTTTTGCTAATTTCAATACAGATTAGTCGTACTTGGTAAAAAATTCGATTTTTTAAAAATTGTAAATTTGCGGTAAAAAAGATTCTTGACCAAATTTTCACACTCTTATAAAACACCCTGTATACGAGAATTCGCAAAATATATTTTTTTAATTAAATTCAATTCGAGCTCGAAAACCACATAGTATCTTAATCACAATAGATGCATCTAAAACCTGGTCCAAACCGCATCCCAAAATCTTTTTTAGTTCAAGAGATATTCAACTTTAAATTTACCTACCCTAAAATTTTGCTTGTCCCGATAATTATGTCCGGCAGTTTATTTGACGAAATTGTCCACAAGTACTAGTTAAACGCTTTTCTTCACTTACGCTCGCTAGAAAGAAATCTAACAACTAACCTGTTTCACTTATTTTTAATGGCCAAGCCGTAAGGGGAATCCCCTGGTGTCGATCCCGCAGATCCCGCACGGTAAATCACGCAAATTCGATCCCGCGGAATCACAGAGGGATCCCGCATTTGTGGGATCCAGCATTTGCGGGATTGCATTCCCTAGCCACGACATCAGGAAAAAAAACTTTTTTTTTAATTAAATGAAAAACAAAAAATCCGGCGACGATAGTTTTTAGAATAGACAATTAGCAATCTTTTAGTAAAAAAAGCAACTTTCTAGAGCAATTCGTTACTTCAGTAGAGACGACACAGATAAACATTATCATTTTATATATGTAGATGGTAAATTAAAATCACTTTTTTTATTGAATACAAATTACTTGTCTAAAACGGATAATGTTGAATAGAATAGATAACTATGTATAAAGTATGGGAACTCATGTAATGTTTGTGGATATCATTATTGTATTCAATTATAGTAGGTTGAGAAGATTCAGAAATCACACTTTCATGTGCGCTTTTAAGACTCTTTGAAATTCTGCGAGGGAAGACTGATACTATATTGGCAAAATGGATTGGGTTGTGCAGATACGTAAATATTACACTTACGTTAACTGTACCTACAGGAAGAAATGATGTAGAATATCATCGCAATATACAACTCCAGGGAACCAGACCTCAAATGCTAATGCCCCAAATGCTTCGTGCTACTTTAACATTAGAAAAATCTACTGCAGGCGGGGATAGAAATATTCAACTCTGAGCAAACATCGACCATAAACCATAATTCTTGGCGTATACTTTCTAGAAAATTTGTAGCTGAGCTACATACTGTGGTATACTTTTTTATCGTAAAGCAGGCAAGCATTAATCTTTAATTTGTAGTTATTGTTAAGTCCTGTGTGCACTAGTGCTCTCCAACAGAAGACAAACGGTCACGATGCAATGAAGACTTGAAAGATAACTTAAGGACCCCTTAATATTACCATTATTAATATGAAAGGTTAAATTTAGACTTTAATAATTGGATTTTAAGCGAAAATACAATATGAGAAATAGTGGTAATTTTGTCAACCCTGTAGCTCTTAAAAGGCTAGATCTATGAAAAAAATGCATTCAACCAATTTTGTAGAAAATTTTCTGAGCTTCAATTTTCTATACAGGGTATTTTTTCGTACGTGTCAAATTTTCTGAGATATAAGCTAAAAAGAGTCTTAAAAGTGACGTTTAACTCCTCCCCTCTCCTCGAGCTCATCGTCTATCTATGGGAACTTTTGACACATATCAGCCCAAGTCTAGAGAAATAATTTAAAACCATTTTCAAAACTGTGGAATTTTTTTCCACCGATTTCTCTAATTTGACTGGGCTCTAGAAAAACTAGAAACAAAACAATGATTCTACACATATACAAAACAATGATGGTCACTTTTTTTTTTATAAAATAACGCTTGAAACATTTGCTAAAACAGTTTTTGCATATTATCTCGAAACAACTTTTTGGGGAATTGACTTCAGTATATTGGGGGGTGTTTTGCAACTTGACGCCTTAAATATATTTTTATAAAAAAAATTCCATTTACGTTTACATTATTGATTAAATTATTTATCCATATTAAACTCTCCCGCTGCACCTCCGCCACTGTTTAAATTTTAACTAAAATATGAATTTTAACTAAATTCATGAATGAATCATTTTACACAGACGACACGGAAGAGGTGTATTTTATAATTTTCCTTTTATTATAAAAATGTAACTACGTAGAAATGTTCACATAAATTAAATATAAATAATTACTTGTTATAATTATACAACAATTAGAATACCAGTGGCAACTCGTGCATAATTTAGAAAGTTAAAATTTTAATGTTTCTCTTTTAACGTATAAAATATACTATATTTTCGTTAATTCTAATTTGCGGGTAACAATGAGATTTTTTTAATTATAACAAGTTTTTTTTTGACAAATTGAACCGTTTAAATTTATATACCTAATAAAAATGCATTTAATGAAAAAATTAAATTTCTGTATCTAAATAAACTGGCACTGCTCAAGGATCTGATTTGTTATTATAAATATTTAATGATGGCACTCGAGGACTTTGCTTATTCATTCAACTGATTTCCTCAAATAATTAAATAATGATTGCGGTTTATAATATAATATTTTTAACAATTCTGTGCTACTCTGGTAAATATTTATGTTATATAAGTTTTATTAAAGTATTCTGGCTCTATTATTATTATTTATTGTAGATGGAGCGAAAATTAATTTTTGTAAGTCTACAAAACCGGATTTTAACAATTGTTTGAAAAAATCAGCGGAAGAAGTTTTAGTTTTATTAAAAGAAGGTAAGATTCCAATTTAGTAGTATTTAAGTACAGAAGAACTTCAATAGTTCGGACACATATTGGGACAGCCACCGTCGAATTAAGAAAGTATCCGGATTACCTACTGGAGGAATATTTTTATAATGTTATTCTTTCATTTTACAAACATTTAAACGCTTTTTTATTTAAACCAAAACGCAAAACGCTTTAGAAACCATATTAAAACTTCTTTTTGTTCTTATAAATTGTGCTAATTGTACCTACATATACCCATATGCACCCATAAATAACTCACTTGCTACTTACTACAATATCTATATTAAATAACTCCGCATCTTAATACAAATTAAATACTTACATAAAAATGTCAACAAACGTGAAATTAATATTTAATTTGAATTGAATTGATTGATTTGAATAAATTGATAAAAAAAATGAATCTATTGTTATCTGTATAAGCAGACAGTAGTATCGACTGACTAGTGAGAAAGAAAATCTAGGAACTAGTGGGGTTGCAGTAGGAAGGGTTTAAAATAGAATTAATACACTTTGTTAACTGTCAAGCTTTCGGAATTTATTCATTCCTTCCTCAGGACATCAACGTGGTACAAGAGACCTTCATAAAAAACTACATTAACAAAAAAAAATGGCTTGTGGGATGCATTGAAAACTCCACCGTGAAGCATCGCTGACCAGTCAACCACAAATAAGAGGGCTCGAATTGAATTTTTAGCAATTGAATTTTTAATCGAACATCTCTCAATAATTATTTCAACGTTTTAAATAAAAATCAGGCGGCTTAACCGCCCCAAGAGAGCCCTCTTATTTGTGGTTGTGAAACAAGCCAATTTTTTGTTTTTTATGAAGGTCTCTTGTACCACGTTGATGTCCTGAGGAAAAAATGAATAAATTCCGAAAGCTTGAAAATTAACAAAGTGTATTAATTCTATTTTAAACCCTTCCGACTGCAAACCCACCAGTTCCTAGATTTTTGATATCTGTATACATATTTATCTATTTTTCTGCCTCAACAGTATTCTCTTTTGCTCCTTTCTAAAACAAAATATCTTGCGCAAAATACCATCGTTTTCTTCTACCTAGTTAAGCTTGATTTTCATGCATCCGCTATACGTTGATACGATGGTCCGACGGTGCTCTGATTGGTCATAGCATAAATATTTTACTTCAGCCTGTCAGCCCGTCAACGGACCCGTTCATACGATAACGGACGTTTTGACACTTCTTTGACAAATTTAATCTAACCTTAATAAAAATATAAGTAAAAATGCAAAATCAATATGGAAACGAAAATATAAAATGACACCAACGTATATCCGATAAACGGAGGCATGAAAATGCAAAGTCTTTAAATTTTACCAATAAAATTAATATCGTATCAACGTAGCGTCGGACAACGGATGCATGAAAATCTGTGATGAAAATCAAGCTTAAAAACCGTTGACCAAAGAATATACCTAGCTAGAAAAAGAATGGACTCTGCCATACTGAAAAATGGTCCTACAGAAGTAGCGCCATCTATTGAGTAGGGCTTGTTTTAAATGGATCGAAGCGCGGGCTTTTTAAATGAGCGTATTTATTGAATTTTTCTCTAAAATAATTAAATTTGATTATTATATCTTATTTTTTACACAAATTCAACAATACTAGTAACAAGTATCGTTGTGATGTGTAAAAAAATAAGATTTAACAGTATAATTTATACAATTATTAAATAAAATTAAAGCCAAACGTGTAAATATTATTTATTATTTAAAGTTTTTATTTATAAGTCAAATATTGAAACATCGTTTATTATAATAAAACAAGACCAACGTAATACACCCAAAGTTTTGTAAATGGAGTAAATATAAATAGGTACTTAAATGATGGCAAAAATAAAAGACTTACATTATATTTAGGGCCACAAACTAAAGGAATTGTCTAATTAAAATACATATAACAAATTATAGTTTAAAAAACGTTTTGATAATCCTATATGGATAATCATTTCATAATATTATGATTGGAGCTATGACAACGACAATATTTTTTGAGAATTTGACAATAGTATGACAATGGCCGTTGGAAACTATGGAAACTACAAAAAAAATTCTGATTTAACGCCATCTGGCAATAACTAGTAGCAACTTCTTAACCTAAAAATTAATTGCACTACCATCTAGCGTCTGAGGCTGGAACTATTTTATTTGAAATTTCCGTGGAAACGGTGGAACCGCTTTTGCTATTTCACTTTCCCGCCCCTGGAATTGTCTCATTAAAACACATATAACAAATTATAGTTTGAAAAACGTTTTGATAATCATTTGATAATACTATGACAACGACATTTTTTGAGAATTTGACAACAGTATGACAATGGCCGTTGGAAACTATGGAAACTACAAAAAAATTCTAATTTAACGCCATCTGGCAATAACAAGTATCAACTTCTTAACCTAAAATTTAATTGCACTACCACCTACCGCCTGAGGCTGGAACTATTTTATCTGAAATTTCCGTGGAAACGGTGGAACCGCTTTTGCTATTTCACTTTCCCGCCCCTGCCGTTGACGTTCTGTTAAAATGCATTATATCCCCCCCCCCCCAAGTTAAACTTCAAAATTAACAATTACTATACCTGATAACAATTACTAAATAAGGTAAAACCAAAAAGCCCCAAAATTCTCTATGATTATTTTTTATTTTTACGTATGTTATGTTTATTTATGTTATGTTCTTTAAAATCAAAGCACCGATTGTCATACATTACTAACATCTACAGATGCATGAGCAATAAATTTATTTTTATTAGATTGTATTAAAAAGCCTCTTTTATTTTTCTTTTAGAGGCTATCGCTTCTTTCATTATAATTTTGGCGTTATTAAAATTTATTCTGATATGTCTCATGAATGCTGAGAAATCTTAGATTTGTGAAAATCTCCCGTTCTAAAATAATCTTTATGTTCTTTAATTCGAACATTTAAGGGTCTAGATGTTTCACCAATGTAAAATGTATCGCATTCACATGGTATTTTATATATTACATTTTTTGTTTGTTGTTCTGGGTATTCATTGGTTTAGTATGTGATAAAATGGATATGGGTATTTTGTGTTTTGGAAGATGTTCGTATGTTATATGGTTTTCCTATCCTTCTTATTTTTTCCGAAACGCCTCATATTTTGTATAGATTGTGTATTGTTGTCATTGTGTCTATGATTTTTAGCCGACCAATAAGTATGGTAGGCTATTAAGATCGGCAATTTTTTTTATTTCACTCAAAATGAGTTATTTGGGTGATAAATGACCTAAATACAAAATATTTTCATTGTGTCTGTCTGTCTTTCTGTCGGTCTGTAACACGATAACTCAAAAACTGCTAAACCGATTTTAACCAAATTTGGCACAAAATATACTGTGGCATCCGAGAATATGGCCATTAGTTTTTGATGGGGGTGGGGGGTTGGTAAGGGGGTATGGGAGAGGGTTAAAAATTTTAAGAAATCGTAACCCCAAAATTACAGTACCTAGCTAGCGAAACGCGGTTTTCAATTTAAGATTAGGAATAATATTTGCAACAAAATTGGTAATAACATCAAAATCAGTCAAAGTCACAGTTTTTGAGATAAAAAAAATTGAAAACATTCCTTTAGTTTGAAACTAAAAGAACTGCCTACCAACTTTTTATTAACATATTTTAGTATGGGCGGCTGTGCGTGCCTCCCGGCGCCATTTTTTTTTTCTTTTTTATTAATTTAAAAATTTATAGTAATTTAAAATTACTGATAGTATTTTTTTTGTTTGCAGGTATTCCTGAGTATGATTTGCCAAATTTAACAGTATTTAAAGCTCCAAAAATAACAGTCCAAGCTGGAATTGGAGCTGTTGAATTGATACAACACTACGAAAATGTCGAAATATATGGTTTGTCAGAAGCAATTGTTAAAGATGTGTAGTAAGTTAATTTATATAATGATAAATTAATATGGAGTAATACTAAATAAAAAAAACTATTTGACAGAAAAAAGGACTACCATTATTAAAATCTAATGATTTTTTTCTGTTATAATATCTACTAAAATTTAAAATAAATATATTTTAATAGATGAGTTTTTAACATTAAAAAATTAATTATTTGATATAAATAATATTCACTATTATTTTAATAAAAATATTATTTATGATTATTAAGTTCTATTAAATGTACATTTTCTAAATTATAATTCTATTAAAAGGTGGACTTTTTTATTAAATTATTAATTAATAATCGTATTAAATAAAGAAAAAAAGAATAAGCAAATGCAATTGCATATTATAGAACTATATAAAAAATAATACTAATTTGAATAAAATGAGTCAGCAGTCAGCATCGAGCAAAGTGTATTATTTTGCTTCTGTCTAGAATTATAATCATTTTTATTAAGTACATATATGTCATTAATAGATATACAGGGTCTTAAATAACAATCTTTTTAGGGTTGGTAGATGTCGATAAAAGAAACATATTTTCTTTTTACCGTTTTTCAAAGAAGTCAAAAATAACCAAGTTATTCTGTACACATTTTATTTGAGGTTGCTCCAAAAAACCATGTCCTAAAAAAGCGTCAGTTTTCCAGTGCCGGGCAGTGGCACAGCAGGTGCTCTATGGTTTCTTCTTTTTCTCCGCAGTGGCGACACCTACAATTATGAGTACTAGGTTCTTTTTGTGCTCTAGTAGTTGTTTTGTTTTTTTGCTATCTACCACCAGGGTTACCACCTTTTGTATTTAAAAAATCGAGACAACACTAGTGCAACTTTTTTCTTAAATGTAAAATTTTTGCCTTTTTGCGTTAACTTAAAAAACCATACGAAACTTATAAATAATTATGTAAAAATAAAAAGTTAAAAGTTGAAAACAAAGTTAGTAAACAATCAATTAAATCTAAAACAACTAGAACAAAACCTAAATAAAATCAAAAGTTTCCGCTGCATAATCTGTGTAATTGGCTTTATTAGTTTATAATTATTTTTAAATGAACATTTTTTGGCAAAATTAAACGCTAATTCACCACAATACACCAAAACACTTTAAAATATAACATACTTAGTGTACACAAGCATAAAAAGGCCTTAACCCCTACAAGTGCGCTAATTTCCATTAAACTCTTTACTTTTAACACTGGACGGGCGATTCGTTAACCAGCTTAGCATCATCAGCAGATGATGAAAACTCATGGTTAGCTTCAAATTTATGATTAGCGATACGAGCGTCCAGTGTTAAAAGCATAGTGTTTTGGGTGTATTGCGGTGAATTAGTGTTTTATTTTGCTGTTGTAATACAAAAGGTTCCATCCCCCAACTCTAATGAATATTTTTTATTTGTTTTGTTGCTGTAATAATAAGAGGCTTGCCATTTTTAATAAAATCCAAAAATTCTTATATGCGATACTTATATTAAAAGTAAATGACATTTGAAGTTCCGTTTTCATGAGCTTAACTAACCATCTATTTCTAGCGTCTGTCTACTTCAACATCATACGTGAAAATATAAAATTAACAGCCTTAAACAATGAAGGCATATAATTTATAATTTACTCTAATTTTAAAAATACTTTATTTTTTTTCAATAATTTTTATATCCTTTTTGGCAAATTTCCTTTTAAGTTTTTACTATCGAATATTCATTAGAGTATCAATATCTACTTCTTTTAATTCTAATATTTTTAAGATTTTAATTAATTCGTGGAAAAGAACTGTTTTTAAATAATAGAAATTAATAAATATGTATTTTTAATAATAAATTTTACAATTTTATTGTTCAATAAAAACGTGGCTATTAAACAAATAAAAATCGGGACATTAAGGCTTTGCGTGGGGACGCGGGACTTTTGGATCAAAATCGGGACTGTCCCGACAAAATTGGGACGGGTGGCAACCCTGTCTACCACTGGCAACAATCTTCGAGCTGTAGCGCAGCTCTCACTGTGTTGACACGTCCCTTGCTACTTGGCCTTGGTAGTTCCTTCACTGCAACTTCAGTTCAGTTTTTACAGTAAATCTCTGGACTTATATTTTATCTTTTAAAAATGAAGCTAGGTGCCCGGTGGCATTTAAGCAAAATGTACCATTATATAGTCCATAATGTGATTTTCCCTGCTCTCATTGGTTGAGACTAAACGCTGGTGCGTTTTGCCAACCGTGACTAAAACTTGGTACGTTCTGCCATATTCTTTCCAGCATCATGCAAATGTTTTAAGAACAATGCAGATAACACTAACATGTTATAAACGTCATTATTAAAATCTTTGATTTTTAGGAATGACCACAGAATTATCCTATTTAATATTTGATCGTCTTTTTAGGACCAGCGTGAAATGTTAAGAAAACGCCTATTTCATAAAAATATTATTCTGACACTTCTGAAAAATTGTTTGTTTGATTTCCGTGTGTCGTGGCGTCTTTGTAACACAGACAGGTATATGTAGGAAGGCAGTGTACATAATTTAAAATTATTTTGAAATGTACAAAGTGAGTCAGAACTAAGATCCATACCAAAGTTATATTTTTTCTTATGGAACACCAGGTATTTTATTTCATTTTTGGATTTTTGAACATGAAATAAGGCATTTATTATAAGGGTTTAATATGTTTAAATGCTTTGGTTTTTGAGATATTTAAAGATATTTAAATATGCATGCTATGATAAAAAAGTTTGTCGACAACTGTACATTACTTTTCAGAGTCCAATATTTCCTGTCCAATACGGAAAATACGGAAAGAACAAAGTAAAAGTTCGCCGTACAATCCAGGTAACTGAATTTAGTCGCGAAAATTCTGAAATCCATGCGTCGCAATCTTCTGCTGTTTTTAGTTCAGCATAAATAATGCTACCTTAAACCAACATGTACCTGCGTTTGGAATGCCTCACGCTAACGTGGCAAAATGTACCGCATTTTAGTCATGTTTGGCAAAACGCACCAGCGTTTAGTCTCGACCAATGAGAGCAGGGAAAATCACATTATGGACTAAATAATGGTACATTTTGCTTAAATGCTGCCCGGTGGCATAGAGGTACAGGCTGTCGTCTACCAATATCAAGGTAGTGGGTTCGAATCCCACACCCGACATTTCAGCCGACTATTTTTATTAAAATAAAAATAGTTTGGGTACCTAGGTCGACTCAACCTTAAATGAGTACTTGGGATTTACAATCCTGAGGTGTTAGTGTAGTGCTAGCCACATCAGCTTCCTTGTATACCAAATGGCTCTAGTATGGCAAGTACTCTGTACCTTGCTACTCCCAAGGCGTCAAACGCTATATACGGGAGCTATTATTATTATTATTATATAAATGAAGCTGAATAATGTACTGTATTTTATATTTATATGTACATTTACATTCACTTTAACTACAGTATTCAATTTATGGTTTGTAATTTCCAAAACATGTAAATGAAATAATAAACTTAGCTATATTCAATATTATTGACACACCCTGTATAATGTAAATAAAAATTCTACTTTTATTATTTATTTAATGAGTTGAAAACACTATTACGTTTCAGTTTTGATAAAGATAAGAAGATATTTGGATTGACTGTAACAATACCGAAGTTTACCTTGAAAGCTGATTACTCCGTGGATGGAAAACTCTTAGCTCTTCCAGTTGTTGGGTCTGGACCATCTTTATTAGAGTTTTGTAAGTAAAACAAAGAATAAAACTTTAGCTGATCAATTTATCCGGTGTTGTTTTTTTAATAAGGAATTCTCTAACACTGTCAGTATTCACGTTACACTGTCAGATAACTGCAGCAACCTCAGCTAAAAATCAAGACAAAACAGATTTTACTCCAGCCAAATTTTTGAAATAAAAAACTAACGATTTCTGTTAACATTTTACGATATTTTGGTACAATTTAGCTTGCACATGCCAATTTGCGCAGATTATCTGAGAGTCTAAATCCGCTTACTTAATCCCGTTTTACCTGCCATGAAAAAATGACCGGTAAAACTTTATGTGTGGGTAGGGCTTTATATGTGGACGGAACCTTAACTGACTGATTTACCTTTTAGATAATTTGGAGATGAAGAATGTCCTGTATCTGGAAGAGTACACCAGAGACGGAACGATTTATTACAAAATCAAAACTTACGATTTGGACTTGTCTACTTCAAAAATGAACTCTCGATTTGATAACATGTTTAATGGAAATAAACTGTTGGGTGACAATATCAACAAACTATTGAACGACGAATGGGAAATTATTTTTAAAGATACGAAAGCTTCAACTGAGAAAGCGTACAAGGAGGCTATACAACCGTATATCCAAAAATTTTTGGACAAAGTACCAGCAGCAGAGTTATTTTAACTCGTTAAGGTATCTTTGTAAATTTAAATTTCATTAAACATATTAGGAAATTGTATTTTAACATCAATAAATAGCTTTTTTATTATATTTTAATATTTTTTTATTAGTGTGTATACAGGGTGTCCCAGGCTGAGCCTGCATTAGAAGTTTCTAGAGAACTACGGTATTGAGGATGTTTTTTGTACATCATTATTACACAATCTATCGATTAAAAATATTTTCAATATGGCTGTTATAAATAAAAACGGATACCACCATTTTTATTACATACTTTAATTATCTGTAAAATTTTATGAATTTTGATATCCAACACATAATATTAGTACCCGTTTTTGAGGTTTGGTTTGGCTGTGGCCGTTTTGAGATTTAACATTTTTTGGAGGAAAAAACTGCCTCTCAAAAAAATTTAAATAGCCTAAACGTCAAACTTAGTGATTACCAAAGCCACTGGGAGAAGACATGTGGCTATCTATTTCAAAAATTAAATTGTTTCAATGTCATATAATATTGGCCGTAGCTGTCATGGAATTGAGAGATTAAAAATTATCACAATTCATTTTTTTTCAAATAGAAACACACTTATTTTATTTCACTAGTGCAATTTTTTAATTGAATATATTGAAAACACGAATACATGTTCCTATACCTAAATTAAATCGTTTTTAAGTTATTTAAGATTTAGTTTTAAAGCGTATTTTTTTCTTGATTTTATCTAGCTTCCTTTGACATTAAGGGTAAGGGTCAAACCATCAGACAACTTATTTCCTTCTGTCAAAAAAACTAATTATTTGAATTTCGTATATTATAAATACTGCTGTTAAAACTTTATAAAGTGAACTAATAAAAATACATCTCGTATTTTAGTGATATAAAAGTCGTAGGCTACTGGTTAAAAACCAGAAAAATATTAATAATAACTGAAAAACGATTTTTATCTTTGTATAGGAACATGTATAATCAAAAAATAACGAATTAAAAAGTCTTATTCCATTAATGGAATAAAAAAAGTTGATTTCTCTTTGAAAAAAAAATGATTTATGATAGAGGATATATCTCTCTTTCTCTATTGCCTCCTTAGATTTGAGGTCAATTCCTATTATGAGGCCCTCCTCCCTCGAGTTGATGACTCGGCAACTCGATGTCCGTACATTGGAGTTCTGGTAAAGAGTGTGATACACCGCAAGGGTTAGTCGATCCACTTCTACAACAGAGCCCCGCTTGTATAAGTATGAGAGATGAGAATATAATGGATTGCCCCCTGGTGCCACAACTTTGAGACCAGTAGAGGCTAGTCTAGCAACGCATCCCTTTGACCTGATCCGTCCATCGTAGAATTTAGGTTTTTGATTAGGTTGTCTTCTCTGATACATGACCACAGACAGCAGAGGGTCCCTGGTATGACGGACAGGGTAGTCCCATACGGCATCGTTGTACGTCTTGGTGCAATTCCCTGGCCACGACGCTACAGCCAGGGACAAGACAGTGAGATGCTCTTTATGGTGCGTTTAGACTTGAGCACGCACGAACTGAGCGTGCGCGCACGGCATTCGTTCGCGCTCTCGGCTCCTTTCAAATTAAAAACTTATATTTCGACGAACAGACTTGTGTTTGCGAAAATAATGGACAACCAAGAAATAGTCGAGGCTGCAGTCATTGTTATGCACAGCTTAATTATTAAAAAGAAGAAAAATCGAAAACATCGTCGCTGGTGGCAAACCCAAATTTTTAGAAATCAATATAATTTACTGCAACAACTTAGTGTCTGAGGAGGGCTATGATTAGTTCAAAAACTTTACAAGAATGACCAGGCCCGACTTTGAATTTTTACAAAATTTAATAACACCAAAAATTACGAACAAAAGTTACAAATTTTAGAATAGCAATTTCATTAATATCGACATATTTAATATTAATTTTATTTACAAGGTTTTGCCATGCGTTATATTTTTTTTGATTTTTTAATAATACAAAGAATGTTTAACATCCCATAATATAGGCAACTTTTCATATTTTTCAATTAATAATAACGAAGATTCATTGACCCCCCCTTAATTTTAATAAAGAAAACGAAAAAAAAAATCACACACGCAAAACAAATTGCCGGTGCAAATTGAGCGTTCGCGCAGTCATAAAATCCCTTTGAGCACTGACCAAAAACCGACACCAGACGGCTCACGTTCGCGGCTGCTCGCGCACAGACAGATTCAGAGCTCGCGCACAACCATTTACCCTTGAGCATTCGCGGAGGATCAGTGCGTGCGTGCTCAAATCTAAACGCACCATTAGACTCAGCTAAACTGCCAGACGGGATTCCCCCTAGCACTTGAATACGAGCTTCGTCACCAAGGACAAGGTCTTGCGTCTCCTAGAGGGCGAGTTTATCGACTGTTAGATTTTTTCTTAAAAATTTTAATTTATTTTTAATATTTATTTCTTATGACATTTATCCCACACTATATTATATAAAATATAATTGCATGACATGTTAGAAGAGCTACCTTAACATGATATTAAATCCACTAAAAAAAAAATAAAAAGTATAAAAATTGCTAATCATATTTTAAAATTAGCCTATATGAAAATAACAGAAAAGCGCAAATTGCAAATGTATTACAGGCGACCACAAAATGAAAATAAAAATGCAAATAATTCAAATGTCATTAAAACCAACTACATAATTGATATTTTTTATTAATCTAAAAATAGTAAATTTTATGACAACACTTGGAGAAATAATTGACAACCATATAATAAATTTAATATACAGATATAGCATGGAATGTAAATAAGACGTTTTTAGTACGATATTTTGATGTAACCAGTGGAAGATACAGAGTTTTAGAAACATTACAACATATTCAGATACACGGAAACCATGTCAATAAACTAGCTTTTTTAAATCAAAATCAGTTAGAAATCATGTCAGATATATAAATTGAACTGGCAATTCCAGCTGCCAAGAAGTACGACAGGGAGTGGTCTCAAAATAAACTTAGCAAAAACTAAAGTAATGTACAACGAACTAGTAGACAGAAAAGACATTCTAATAATGACACAACACTGAAAATAGTAGAAGAATATATATATTTGGGACAACTAATACACAGCTCGGGATCTCTACTACCAGAAATGAACAGAAGAATTAATATTAGTTAGCATGGAATACTTATGAGAGAAACCCAATCATATTCAAATCTAGAATGCCACTTTATCTAAAGGAGAAAACATTCGACCAATATGTATTACCTGTCATGACCTATGTATACGAAATCTGGACTCTTAAAGATTGATTCTCACTATACATTCCATATCAGCTCCCTTCAGTTTCCCTTCCGTTTACATAAAATATTATAATATAATATTTCTATTCATTTACATGATATTATTATGTAAATGAATAGGACAATGCACACTATCCGGTCCTTTTCCCTTCCGTTCCATATCCTCTCCTTTCATACATTTTTTGACGGCACTTTTACCAGCTCTGTTACAAATTTGGCTGATATTTATTTATTCTTTCGCCTTTAAATTAAATCTATTGCCTTTTTCAAAAGATACCAATTTTTAAAATTAAACTTTCGTATTGATATAAATTGTACAATAAAAAGTATGGAACTGATACGGAACGGAAGCTTACGTATAGGTATAGTGAGAATCAACCTTTATTCATTTTATACAATTTATATCATTACGAGAGTTCTATTTTAAAAATTTGTAGCTTTTGAAAAAGGTAATAGATATAATTAAAAGGTGAAAGAATAAATAAATATTAGCAAAATGTTAACAGAGCTGGTACAAATATAAGAATTTGACAACGCTCTTTCCGATACGATTCAGTCCGTCCATCAAAAAAATGTATAGAAGGAAAGGATATGGAACGGAAGGGAAACGGAACGGATAGTGTGCATTGTCTTATTCATTTACGTAATATAATATTTTATGTAAACCGAAGGGAGCTGATATGGAAGGTATAGTGAGAATCAACCTTAAAAAGTAAGGAACTGATACGGAATGGAAGCTTACGTATAGCGTCAATACAATAAAAAATACGGAACGAATATGGAATGGATATGGAATGGAAACGGAAGGTATAGTGAGAATCAACCTTTTAACGGAAACTGCAAGTCGCACAACGCTTAATGCAACGAAATATGCTGGAAATAACCAAGAAAGACCGTAAAAGAATAGAGTGGATACGATAAAAGACCCAGGTAATAGATGTCATCCACAGAATCAAATCTCTACTGTGGTTATGGGCAGGACACCTGGCAACGAGGACGGACAACAGATCGACCACAAAAATTACAGCATGGTATACCCCCGAGGAATTAAGAGACCTAGAAGAAGACCAAACCTGAGATTGGACCATGATATTAGGATATTAGCAGGGATAACTTGGGCCCGTATAGCCAACTATAGACAACAATGGGCCCAACTACAAAGACAGTATCTAAATAATATGACATAAATATAAAAATATAGTTGAAAATGATTGAATAAGCTGAGAATGATGATGCTGATGATGACATAGATTGAATAAAATTTATCATTTAAAATATTACCAAAAAAGTACCAAAATAAACAAAAAAGTAAATAATTTTAACTTAATATCCAAACTCGTATTTTATGTCAAAACATGACAAAAAATATTTCTTGTCTTTTTTTGCATTGCTACCGGGTACACTTTTAAAAGAATATAAAATACAAAATGTTGATATATAGTATACAGTAAAATTGATCAATAAATTAGATTAGTTTACGTATACACCTGTTCACTCGGACAATCGTTGATGTTTAATTATATTTTATAGCTCTACAATTAAAAAAATCAGTAAAATCAGTAGCAACTCGTTCTTAGTTTAAAATGATAAAACAAAAATATTTTAGCATGGCATTTAATTATTATTAGCAAATATTTTTAGCATAACTGAACAGAAGTTTGAAGTTATATTTTTTATCCCCAACAAGAACGTTTGGCGCAAATTATATTAATTTATATTTTATTAGAATTTACCTTTAATATAGTCAGTGGTAATGAGCAGGACACCTGGCAAGGAGAACAGACAATAGATGAGCCAAAGAATTTACAGCATGGTACCCAAGGGGAATTAAGAGTTCTAGAGGAAGACCAAACTTGAGATGGGACCATAATATTAGGAAGGCAAAAGATGGGGTAACCATCAAGGAAATAGGTTTCATTAAGAAAGCTGATGGCACTTATACAGAAACTATAGAGGAAAGTCTTAAAGAATTAATAAAAGTTCAATTTCCGGTCTCGCTAATTCTGAGGGACTCTATTAGGCAAACCAACCTAGACCCAAGGCTGGCCAGGCCAAGGCCTGTGGATTGGAAAATTGCCACAGAAGTTACCAGACCAAGTAGAATTAGATGGGCAATAAATAAATTCCAGCCGTATAAATCTCCGGGTACAGATGGTATATATCCCATACTATTACAGATGGGAATAGAGGAATTAATACCTCATATATGTAAGATTCTCAAAGCTAGCCTGGCATGAGGAGTCATACCAGAAAGATGGCAAAAGGTTAAGGTCATATATCTTCCTAAGGTAGGCAAGGTATCGGACTTTACACCAAAGTCATACAGGGTCATATAGACCGATAAGCCTATCCTCCTTCCTATTGAAAACGCTAGAGAGGCTCTTGGATAGGTTTTTAAGGGACGAAGTGCTAAGGGATAGTCCCCTAAGCAATCGTCAATATGCATACCAACCAGATAAATCCACGGATGCTGCATTAGATGATTTAAATAGGCTTATTTCAAAGTCGATAGAGGACAAAGAAATAGCAATGGCCGCTTTTTTAGATATTTAGGGAGCATTCAATAATGCTACTACCGACTCATTAGTAAATGCAATGAGTAGAAGAGGTACACCTGCAGTGGTATGTAGATGGATAAGGGCCGCCTTAGAAAACAGGATAGTGACTTCCACTCTGGGGCAAGCTACTATCAAAGCAGTAGCGGGTGGAGGTTGTCCACAGGGAGGAGAGTTATCTCCTCTACTTTGGGCAACCTTGGTAGATAGCAAGTTCCTCAACGAACTGTCCACACAAGGTTTTTATTGCCTAGGATATGCAGACGACATCGTAATTGTGGTCAGGGGCAAGTTTGCTGGTATGATATCAGAAAGAATGCAGACAGCCCTAAACAAAGTTGACAAGTGGTGCAAACAAGAGTGACTGACAGTCAATGCTCAGAAAACACAAATTGTCAATTTTACAAAAAAGATAGCACCAAAAGGCCTAAAACCACCAGTGCTAGGAGAAACGGAGATTTCATTTGCCAAAGAAACAAAGTATCTTGGGATATTTTTTGATCAAAGGCTTACATGGAATACTCACATAGCGAAAGCAACACAGAGGGCTGCCATCTCTTTAGGTAGGTGCAGAAGGATGTGTGGAAAAAACTGGGGACTTAACCCTAAAATGACTCTATGGCTATACACAAGGGTAGTAAGACCCATGATAACCTACGGGTCGGTGGCGTGGTGGACAAAGACATCGCAAGTGGGTGCGGTAAGGCTGTTAAGTTCCACACAAAGGCTTGCGTGTCTGTGTGTAACTGGGGCCATAAAAACCACTCCTACAAATGCGATGGAAGTCTTGTTGAACTTACCACCACTACATATTTTCATACAAGGCGAAGCCAGATCTGTCATGCACAGGTTAATTCACGGTCAGCAGCACATAAGCCAAACGCATAGTGCTGCAAACCAGAAGCTAATCGAAGAGCTAAAAGCAGACAAAGTATTGGGATTACCAATTGATGCAACAGCTACTAGGTATAGCTTCAACAACAAATTTAATATAACCATACCAGGAAGGGAAGACTGGAGTAAAGGTGTACCCATTCAAGCTGAGGCAACCTGGTATACAGACGGCTCAAAAACGTCAGAAGGCGTAGGAGCTGGAATAGTAGGGCCGAAACAAGGGAGATCCTTCCACGTAAGCCTATCCAAGGATGTCACAATTTTCCAGGCAGAAATAACGGCAATCCACTATTGTGTAGAAGAAATAATAAGACAACAAAGAACAAATCGTTCTGTGGCCATCTTCACAGACAGCCAAGCGGCGCTAAAGGCACTCAGCTCCGCGGAGGTCAATTCTAGACTAGTGTGGGACTGTGTGCGTGCTCTGAATACTTTGGGCGAACGTAGCACTTAGTTTAGGACGTTAGGACAGGCGGAAAGGTTCATTGTAGAACATTCGCCAAAATTCACGGTAGACTAAGATAAGCAAGGACAGAAAGACAGTCAAAGCTGTAGTAGGTCTACTAACAGGGCATTGTAAGCTAAATAGGCATCTAAAGCTGATGGGATTGACAGACGAAGCTATGTGTAGGTTCTGCCAATCTGAAGAAGAAACGTCAGAACACATTTTATGTCGGTGTGACAGCCTGGCAAATGTGCGGTTCCCGGTAATAGGCAATGATAGGCCATTGCCAAGGAGCTACATGGAGGGTTCAGTCTCCAAGTTGCTAAACTTTGTGAAAAGGATAGGACTGGAGAATGTAATCTAAGGATCAGAAGAGGACCACAATAGATCTGAGAAGGTCACAGTGGATCAGGCCGAAAGCCACCTCTCTAAGAATCTAATCTAATCTAGGAAAATAGCAGGGATAACTTGGGCCCGCATAGCCAACAATGGGTCCAACTACAAAAAGTGTATCTAAATACGTGAGGGAGGCTACACCATAATTGGAAATGGTTGAATAAGCTGAGAATGATAATGATGATGATATAATTTTAGGAAGCTTGCCCCTAAAAAGTTCTCTTTGAGAACGCCAATGATTTGAATACCCAATTAAAAATTGTACATTTAATTATTAAGCTATGATTGCTTAATGGGCATCATTTTTAATATTTAGTGATACTGCGCTAAATATTACACCGTTACAATATACTACACCGAGACTTCGTTCACATAACTATATTTTCGCAAACAATAAAATAATGATAGCAGCTTTAAACATAGTGATACTTCTAACGCTTCTCTGCTATTGCGGTAAATATGTATTTACGAAAATAGTATATTTTGTAAATATTTTTGAAACTTGTAGATGGAATAGAATTGACATTCTGTAAGTCCACTGAAAAGGATTTTAAAAACTGTTTGAAGAAGTCAGCGCAGGAAATTATACTGTTATCGAAAAACGGTAAGTAAAGCAGTTATTTGGTTTAAGTAGTGTATTTCATAGATAAATTAAACAAGTTTATATTGGAAAGCGCCCATAAGGACAATGTAAACACTATTTGGCGCTATTCTTGCAACGGTCGCGACCCAAAGCTTTTGATAATTTCGGATCGGTTCAGCTTTTTCCTGAATTATGTCGCAAATATTATTTATTCAAATTTATTATTATTTTCTTTTAATTTTATAAATAAAATACAGTGTGTTGCATACAAGAAACTTTATTTTATATAAGGACATGTATGTGAAATACCTATGAAACATTGGAAATCGACGCGACGTTAAGCCACGATCCACGATGGTTTTTGCAGTTCACAGTTCAAGCAGCTTTTTAAGTTTTTAATGCCACTTTTTCACAATTATCACTGGTTTGAGTAAATAAAATTTAATTTAAACTCACAAGATAGCAATAATTACCTTGAGAATGGACGCTTTAAATACTTTTCGTTATTTTTTCAATAAAGGCGGTTTAAATTTTGAAAGATTTTATAATTTTTGAAGATCCCGACTTTGACAAGAGAAAATTATACTATAATTTTATAATATTAATATTATATATTATATTATACTGCCAGGGATACTATAGAGATAAGGATAGTTCGATTCCTATCTTCCTGCACTGTCAGTTTTTTTACGTCATCTACTGACCGAGTTGACCGGCTGTATCTCAGAAACTACTTATCGTATAACTTTGGGAAAAAATTCTAATAAGTAAATCGACCAAGAGAAATCGCTGGAAATTATTTCAAGTTCGAAAAATGTCCGCTAGGGGGCGTTTCGCTGATAGCCAATCAGAAAAACAGGATTTTTCTCAAAAATATGCAGATGAACAGGTATTTTTAATATTACTATTGTAATCATCAAGAAATTTGTAATTTTTTTGATATAGAGTATTTTGCTCTATCTCATAAAATAAAGTGGTGGGGGAAGGTTAAACTAGCTTTTATTAAAATAAGGATAACTCTGGTTTGGATTAACCGATTTAAACAAACTAGATCTCGTTTAAAAGAGCTTTTCTTCCTTAATGATCTCCAGTGTAAATTTTGTTTCCATCATTTTTTTTGTGGTAGCTAGAGGGCGCTGTTTGACATCATAACAGATATTGCGCTTTTGCATAAAAAAATTAAATAGGAGGCTATATTTCTCTTTACACAGTTAGATAGAGCACAAAATTTCCAAATTATCAGCGCAAACCGCAATTTTCTATCTTGTTTCTAACCGGAGATATTAAGAGAACAAATTATGTTAGGCTGCCGCCCAGGATTATATAGTCTAAAAAGTATAGTAGTAGGCTAGGAAACAAAAAGAGGTAAATTAGTTATGTCAAAATATCAAAACGTAGTATACGTAGGTAGTTCTCAGATCAATCAATAATTTTTTATTAAAATTTCTAGGAATTTTGTGCTGACATATTGCTTTTAACAGAAAACGTAATAATAAATTTCGTATGGCCGAAAACTAGGGGTGTATTTCATGTAACGTCATTTAGCAATTAATCCAAGTTCCTCCTTGATTTCACTTGTTTTCGTTTTTTTTTCCTGTGGTTTGTGTTATTTATAACTGTATTATAAAGTTTATGTCGTTTGGGTCACTTTTTATACAGCTCCGAAGGTGCGAATGTTAACAATATGCACTACTGGTCCAAATCTACCCTGGATGCAAGTAGTTCAGTACTAAGACCGTTGGCAGGAATTCTAGGATGGCGAATGATTATCTGAATGAAATGAACTATCCATAATGTCTAAGAGATGAATTGCCAATTTTGTTAGGGGATCCGTCATGATGAAAATGCATTTGTTGCAGTTTCATCAGCATGAATGCAGTTGGTGTAGATAATGCAGTTTGGTGCAGTTGTGTCGCATATTTTGCTATGAATGTGTGGGGCTTCTTGGATACCACTTACTTTAGTAGATAGAGACGCTGGAGCGATATATATCCATGGCTAGTTAGGTCATCGGATTCAATATGCCTGGGTTTTAATTTATGGGGTCGAATCAAGAACGAACATGGATAAATAACAATTAAATGGTATTAAAATGAAATGAAAATATCGGTTTTGATATTGTGACGTAACCAATTTTCCTCTATTTATTTCCTTAGCTTACTACTATAATTTTTAAACTATATAATCCTAAGCGGCAGCCTAACATAATTTGTTCTCTTAATATCTCCGGTTCGAGACAAGATAGAAATTTGCGGTTTGTGCTGATCTTTTGGAAATTTTGTGCTCTATTTAACTGTGTAAAGAGAAAGAAGAGTTTAACCTTCCCCCACCACTTTATTTTATGAGAGAGAAAAACAGTCTATATCAAAAAAAATACAAATTTCTCGATGATTACAATAGTAATATTTAAAATACCTGTTCACCTGCACATTTTTGAGAAAAACCCTCTCTTGGTCGATTTACTTATAAGAATTTTTTTTCCAAAGCTATACGATAAGTAGTTTCTGAGATACAGCCGGCGTCCATTCTTAGTTGGCCACCCGGTACAACGCAACGGTCACAAACGGTCACGATCCAAAACAATTTCGTGACCTAAAATTTTGACGGGCTTTCCAATCTAAATTTATTTCCTTTATCTATGGTGTATTTGGCCAAGGGTATTTGGCAGGGTTTATTGTTTATGTGATGTCATTATGTCACTGTCATCGAAAGGTCATATTATGATTCTTTATTAACGTTATTGCAAAAACCTATTTTTACGCGTATAAAACTCTTCCTTACACGTAAAAAGACTATTTTTTTTGCGTAAAAAACTATTTGTTACGGATAAAAAACTATTCTTTACGTGTAAAATACTATTTTTTACGCGTAAATAAATATTTTTTTAATTTATTACTTTTTCAACATTTCAAACTACATTTTTTCAAATATGTCCTTCAAATCTTTCAATTTGATAGCTGTTAGTAAGAAGTTTCACTTCAAATATGCGTACATAGTGTACACACAATTTTTTTTAATTGCTTTCAGATATTCCTGAATTTGATTTGCCAAGTCTGGCTGTCTATAAAACTCCGAGCGTAACAATTCAGGCTGGCATTGGAGCTGTAGATTTAGTACAACATTATAAAAATGTAGAAATATATGGTGTGACCGATGCTGTAGTAAATGATGCGTAGTAAGTTAACGTAAAGATTAAAAACCAGAATTAATTAGATTATATTAGATTTTTGAGGTTTCTATCGGCTTGTCCCACTGCTGCCTTTTCAGATTATTTATTGTTGTCCTCTTCTGATCTCTAGGTTAATTCTCCAGTTCCAGTCCTGTCCTTTACAAAAAGTCTATCAACTTGGATAGTGAACCCCTTATTAGGGTGCAATCAAAAAAATAATTTTTAACACCCTGTATAAACATAGATAAATTTTCAGTTTGCGTAAAATATAGTAATGGGATAACTCGAGCAAAAATTCGATCGAGTACTCGATTATTGAAATGAGCGACATCGCTCGATAACGAACCAGCGATGCAAGTGACGAGTACCAAGCGACGAACGCAAGCGATCGTAGAATGAAATAAATTGAAATCCGATTTTAATGTGACATACTCGATAAAAAGCCGAGCGAATTTTCTACATACATTGCAGGTAGCAAATTTATACGACGCCGTATTATACAGGGTGGTCCGAACTGTATTCCGGAAACTTCAGCAGCATACTTTGCAGATAAAAATAAGTAAAAAAGTTCGTATAAATGTATGTCCTAAGATGCTTAGTTTCAGAGATACAGGGTGTAGAAATTTCATTTTTATTTCAATTTTTTCTAAATAATTTCTGAAGTAACGTCATTATTTGGATGAAAATTGGGGTCTGGGAGTTTTTTGACATGAGAAATTTGGATTTTGATGCCAATATGACTCCTACTAGTAGAGGGCGCCACCTACATGTGTTTTAACTGTTTTGAAGCGTAATAACTTTTTGTCCGTACCTGTATAAAACTATCGAGCGAAAGAATATACATCTCTGTGACTTTTTACGTAAAAAATATCTCTTTGTAACAATCGCTACGAGCAACCGTTCTTAAGATATTTAAAATGGAAATGGTCAATACATGTCATTATTGACGAAAAATAAACACTTTGAGTAGATAGTTATTTCACTGAAATAATAAATTTGGGAAATTTTTATTTTTTTAAATTAATCATAAATTTTTCTACAAAAAATGATGGTAAAACCGTTTCTTTTAAACTTTTGGCACAGAAACATTTCAAATTTATGATTTAAGTCTAATAACTATTTAGTCAACATGTTTAATTTATGTCAATGATGACAGGTATTGATAATTACAATTCCAAATATCTCGAGAACCATTACTCGTAGCGATTTTTACCAAGAGACCTTTTTCACCTAAAAAACGTTGTAAATGTATATTTTTTTACTTAGTAGTTTTACACAGGTACGGACGAAAAGTTATTACTCTTCAAATCGGTTAAAAATATGTAGGTGACGCCCTCTACTAGTAGGAGTCATATTGACATCAAAATCAAATTTCTCATGTCAAAAAACTCCCAAACACCAATTTTCATCCATATGTTGAGGTTACTTCAGAAATTATTTGGAAAAAATCGAAATAAAAATGAAACTTCTACACCCTGTATCTCTGAAACTAAGCATCTTAGGACATACATTTATACTAACTTTTTTACTTATTTTTATCTGCAGAATATGCTGCCGGAGTTTCCGGAATACAGTTCGGACCACCCTGTATATTTATCCGTTGCGTATCTGAGGGACAAAATTTTACGACCTACATCGATAATGCTTTGAAATAAACTAAATCAAGCGATCAAGCGAATCGCTCGCTGCTTGCTACTTGCCATTCTTCACAGAAAGAATATGTGGCCTGCGCACGCAACTTACTGCTTGACGCTTGGCGTTAACTAGTACTTACAACAAGCGACAGGTGAAAAACCGTATTTTTAAATACGAGTGATATTTCACTCGAGCGATCACTCGGTTATTGCAATCGCTTGAAACTCGAGTAGGTACTCGATTATTGAAATTAATCGGTTTTTCCCATCACTAGTAAAATATACCATTTTACGTTTTAGTTTTGACAAAGATAAGAAAATATTTGGTTTGACCCTAACAATACCAAAATACACTCAAAAAGCTGACTATACAATAGAAGGAAAATTGCTCTCCGTACCTGTTGTAGGATCTGGACCATCCATACTAGAATTTGGTAAGCGAATAATAATGATCTCAATTAATCACATTCGTATTTTGATAGCTAGCAAAGTAGCAAACAATGGATATAGTACACGCAAATAAACAAGAGTGGATATAGTACCGTGTTTTTTTCTAGATAACCTTCAAATGAAAAATGTCCTTCATTTAGAAGAGTACCCCAGAGACGGCAAAACTTATTACAAGGTCAAATCCTATGACTTGGATCTGTCCACTACAAAACTTTACAGCCATTTTGATAACATGTTTAACGGAAATAAGCTGTTGGGTGATAATATCAATAAGTTATTGAACGACGAATGGGAAGTGGTTTTTCAGGATACCAAATCAGCAATTGAGAATGCAGTTAAAGCCATTATACAGCCTTACATACAGCACTTCTTCGATAAGGTACCAGCAGACGAACTATTTTAGGATTTTGAAGGATCTATGTGAATTTTATTTTACTTACGAGTACGTAAAATTATACTTTTTATGTTGTTTGTTTTTGTAATAAAGAAATTGAATAATTGAGACTACTATTTTATCTCTAATAATGCGATCCAGCATTTTTTTGTTCTACCATAAACACAGAAAAATAAACTACTAATTCTCCACAATACATCAAAACACTTTGTCAGAGCAGCAAGCTCACAGAAAACTTAATTCTTTTTTGATTTAAATCATTTTAATGACTTATTAAGTAATTTGATTTTAAATCATTTTTCGAAAGCTGACTTAAAACTTAAAATTTAAGTCTGTTTGAAAATGATTTGGGATTTAAATCTTTATTACGAAATAGAAAACGATTTAAGTCTTTTTAGAAAATACTTAATTCATTAAAAAGATTTAAATCTTTTTATAAAAGACTTAAGTCATTAAAAATATTTCAGTCTTTTTATAAGACTTAAGTCAGATTTTTATATATTTTTATGATAATAATCCCCGAATTATGTTGCCTGAAAGACGAACAAAAGAAATTTATCTCGAATATATCGAAGAGTACCTTAAAATACTCCAGTCCTTAGCTAATACCATCGATATATTACATAGTGATCAAAACACATCACCACTCTAATTTTAAATTTTTTAATAGATATGTATTCGATGACATCTATCTGTATCTAATTGGTTAAATTTTATAAAAAAAACATATTTTTGTGTTTGTAGTTGTTCTGATTATTAACCGTATTATTTTATGTGGTTTTAGTCTCATCTGTATCTACAACAAATTAATAATATGATACTTCGCCTTACGAAGCTCGATTACTCGATTACTCGCCTAATTGGTAATTTAAGAAAATTAATATTAATATTTAAAAAAGGGTCTTCTTCTTCGGGTCCCATCTCCTAATGGAGGTTGGAAATCATCATGGCAATTCTAACTTTGTTAACAGCTGCTCTAAATAACTGATTTGAAGTCATTCCAAACCATTCTCTCAAATTCTTGAGCCATGATGTTCTTCTTCTTCCTTGGCTCCTTCTGCCCTTTATCTTTCTTTCTATTATGTTCTGCAGCAGGGCATATTTAGGTCCTCTCATTATGTGTCCAAAGTACTCAAGTTTTCTCTTTTTAAGGGTGTTATCATCACCTGTTCGTCCTTCTGAATTCTGCGTCGCAGTTCTACATTTACAACCTTGTCAGTCCATGCAATCCTCAGCATACGCCGATAACACCATCTTTTGAATGCCTCAATCTGAGATGATGGAAGAAGGATGGTGGAGAGCTGGCCTCTATGGAGCCGTCTCAGATACTGGCTTTTGTTAAAGCCTTGAGACTGTATGATGAGTTATAACTCGTTATAGCTCAAGAAAGGGGAACACACAATAGATCTTTAAGGTCGGGGTGACTAACTCCCCTCCTAAACATTCTACATTCTACATTCATGCCTCAAGCTTCTCCATTTCGACTTTTTAAGTATTGAAGCCTCTGAACCATAGAGTAGAGTTACAAATACGTAACCCCTTAGCATTCTGAATTCATCCCCTTCATTCTTTTATTTCTGCTGATTGATCCAAGTTTTCGGTCAACCAACTGCCTAGATATTTATATTTTTGTACTCTCTCCATAGGTGTATCATGGAGATATAGTTATATTAGAACATTGGCTTGGACATCTTCTCTCTTAGTGATTATCATAAATTTAGTTTTCTTAGGATTCACTTTCAGGCCATAAACTCTACACGTGTTGTTTAGTCTTTGTAGAAGTAATTGCAGACCCTCCACGTTGTCTGCTATAAGGACGGTATCGTCCGCGAACCGCATATTATTTAAGACCTGCCCACACAATGGATCTGTAAACACAATGGATCTGTAAACACAATGGATCTGTAAACACAATGGATCTGTAAGGTCGAAGTGATTAACCCCCCTCCCACTCATTCTAAATTCTAAGACCTGCCCATTAATAGTGATGCCCTTTTTTCTACTAGTCAAGGCCTCCCGAAAAATTGATTCGCTATATAAATTAAAAAATAGCGGAGAAAAGATACATCCTTGACGAACGCCGCTCAGAATCTTTACTTCATCAGAAAGTTGGTCGTCCACTATAACCTTCGCTGTTTGCCCCCAATAAAGATTTGCTATTATCCTGATATCTCGGCTATCGATATTCATGCCTTTAAGTATTTCAATTAGTCTATGATGTTGAACTTTATCGACAGCCTTGTCAAAATCTATAAAACAAACACACAGGTCCTGATTCATATCAATACACCTCTGTGCTAACACATTTATGCTAAACAGAGCCTAACTCGTACCCATGCCTCTTCTAAACCCTACTTGGTTGTCACTGATTTCTGAGTCCATCTTAGCAAAAATTCTATTATAAATAATTCTCAAAAACACTTTCAGTGTGTGACTCATCAGGGCAATTGTTCGATGGTCGGAACATTCTTTGGCATTGGGTTTCTTGGGCAACGGTACAAAACTAGACATTAACCTAATTAATTATTAATTTGGTATAATGCCCGTAGTGTATATAACATTAAAAAGATTAACCAAAATTTCAATGGCTTCATTATCTATGAGTTTGAGAAGCTCGAATGGAAGTTCATCAGGACCATTCGCTTTGCCACTCTTGAAAAAAGGGTACTTAAATTGAATTCTGGTTGTCTTGACTTCAGAGTAATTATATTGATTTTTAAGTCATTTTACTGATACTTAACTTGAAGATCATCATGATTTAAGTAAAAAATACAGACTTAAGTCACGACATGACAAAACGACTTAGATAACGTTATATTGATGATTACAGATGAGGGTTGGAACCTTTGGTGTTACACAGCAAAATAAAACACTAAATCACCACAATACACCAAAACACTTTTACTTTTACACTGGACGCGCGTTTCGCTAACCATGTTAGCATCATCAGTAAACTGTATCAGTTTATAATCATCTGCTGATGATGCTAACATGGTTAGCGAAACGCGCGTCCAGTGTAAAAGTAAAAGTGTTTTGGTGTATTGTGCTAATTTAGTGTTTTATTTTGCGTTATATTGATTTATAAAAGTGTCTACAGTAAGTCTTTACACAAATGACTTGACTTGAAATTAAAAGTCAAAGACTTAAGGTTTAAATACTTTGAACCCTTTTGTTGAATTTGAATTAAGACTTAAATCATTTTGATTTTAGAAATGACTTAAGATTTAAGTCTTTTTAAAACTGACTTGTTCTGTTGAGTTCCAACCCCACCTGTAACCATAAACATAAATACCGTATGATCGAAAAAAACGGTGCCCAATTGGCTGGGAGATGACGCTCGATGACATTTCCAATATAAATTTACATATAAAATGAGAGCGATCTTCATTTCATAGCCATAGTCGACCGCGACGCCGTTTTTTCGATCATATTGCATAATATTACAGTTGAGATTTGGAACCTTTGGTGTTACAGCGGCAAAATAAAACACTAATTCACCACAATACAGGGTGTCCCAGAAATAAGTGTAAGTAGCGAGGCAAGTAGTTTAACTGGTAGCACTGGTAGTATAGTTCAACCCCAGAAACACGCCTATAAGGCTTTTTTCGCAAAAAAAAATTGAAAATTCGAAATTTTTTGAAAATTCTTTTGGAATTTTTTTTAGTTTTTAGTTAAAAAGACATACTTTCTTGATAATATTGCAACATAGATATTAGATTAAATTTACAAGAAAGAAAATCCAGAAAAGATCTAGTGGCTCTCAAAATTTTAGCAAAAAATCATTTTTTATTTTTCAAAGTAAAATAACTCCGTTATTTTGGACTTATTTGAAAAACGGTAAGGAGTAAATATGTTTTTTTTTATCGAGATCTACCACCCCTTAAAATGCTTGCATTTATTTCTGGGACACCCTGTATATTATACACCAAAATATAGTACAGGATGAGTCAACGATAGGGTAAAGTCCATTTGCTCATTTGTTTCGAGGTTTACAAAAAAATGTTAAATATAAGTTATAGGGAAGGTTATTAAATTATTATACAGTATACAGCGTGCTTCAAAAAAGTGTGGAGGATATAACATATGTTTTTTTTAAATGTAACACCCTATTTTTATTCTATTTTTAGATTCTGTGTAAAATTTTATAATTTTTTTATATATAATGTTATATACCCAAAATTATAATATTTGAATTAGTTTAAACAAATTGTTACGATTTTTGTCGGTTCCGTATGGATAGAAAGTCACAATTTATTTAAACACAATTTATTTACATTAAGTAACAAACAATAAGGATTAAAAGACTTAAAGAACTATATACAAAGTATTTATAACTATTTATCTAGAAAGAATTTATTTTTGACTTTAGCGCGACAACTGTACTCGTCTATTTATTGTCGCGACCTAGCTGGGGGGTTGCTTGCTAGGGTCGCTATACCAAGTTCTCTCTCTCTTAATCAAAACAACCATTAGATAAAATATGCATTTATTTAAACATATAACTACATACATAAGGAATCAACAAAGGTAATACATAAGGTAACAAATTTGGGAAATGCCAAGACTCAATGTATGGTACACTGAAAGAAGGTACTTACAGGAACATGGTTCAACTGGTTCTGACTGGCCAACTAACTGACTAATGACGCCAATCACTGACCGGCCAACTCACTAAACGTTGGACTGCATTGGGCTAATCAACTAACTAACTCCTCCCTGTCTTCAGCATACCATTTTATATTTGTCCGCTCGTTCCAATTAACGGCGAGTGCGTGCTCTAAAATTTCCTTTGTATATTTCCAGTACCGATGTTTAGTACGAGCTTGCCTTGAAACATCACGCTACATCGACCTGATTTTAATTGTTTTAATTAACAATGTTTACTATAAGAACATGTCTAGGTCAACGTATACGTGAACGATTCCCTTGGAACTACATCAAATTGGTTTACTGGAATTATATTTTACATTATTTTTCCCAATTTGATGTAAACCTAAGTTGGCTGACCCCAGCCGCCGGCTTTTATACCCACAGCTAAAGATTTCTCGAATAATCCGTAGATCGTTAGGTACATAGAGAAGGTTTCGACCGTTCTCGTATGTACTACTCCGTTCCAGTGGAACGCGATTCTTCTCGAAGTTCGAATGAATCATTACCGTGTCTATTCTTTAATGCGATGTTAAGGTCATCTGGGGGCGGGACATATAGTTAGGTTAGGTCGAGTCCACACGGGTCCCCAACAAAATGTTAGATTTTAGTGTCAGAATAAATTGTGAGTGATGTTATTGTTTCTGAAGTTGGAGTACTAACATAACTTTACAGACATGAAGAAAAAGATATAAGGTACGCGGTGGCCTAGAGGTACAGTTCTCGTCTACCAATCCAAAGGTTGTGGGTTCGAATCCTACAGCCGGCATTTCATCAGCCGACTACTTTTCATTAAAATAAAAATAGTTTGAGTACTTAGGGACTCAGCCTTAAAAATGAGTACTTGGGATTCACAATCCTGAGGTAATAATAAGCGGTTGAAGCGTAGTGCTAGCCACATTACCTTTCTTGTATACCGAACGGTTCCAGCATGGCAAGCTGTACCTTGTTACTCCAAAGGCGTTAAACGCTATATACGGGAGCTATTATTATTATAAGAAAAAAAACTCTTCAATTTTTATTAAGTATGTCATAACATATTTTTAATAGTTTGCGATTTGCTCCAATTTTTACACATGTTTTTAATACAATTACGCTATAACATCATAGTTACCATGACGAAAAAATAATAATTATCAAATTTTTATCAAAAACACCATGTAACTCCGAAATGGTAACGGATATTAACGTGCGGCTATCTCCTATAGAAAAGGGCGTTTCACTTTAAAAATGTCCAATTTGACTCACCCTGTACATAAGATAATTTTGGATCCCAATTGTAAATTAGCAAGTATATTGTCGCGACCTGGCTGGGGGTTGTTTGCTAGGGTCGCTATACCAGGTTCTCTCTCTTAATCAAAACAACCATTGGATAAAATATGCATTTATTTAATATAAAGTTCACAGTGTATAACAATTTTTGGGAATGCCAAGACTTAACGGTTTACTTAAAGAAGTACTTACAGGAACATCTTCACTCTGCGCTGTCTTCTACTAACGGACTGATAACGCGAATTACTGACCGTAATAATGCGACTCACATCGACGGACTAACTCCTCTAACTCTCTTCAGCATACATTTTTATATTTTCTATCCCTCGTGGTCATCGCCGGTTACGTCGTTGTCAATCTGTTTTCATCTAATTACATTCACCCGGCTATGACCGAACTTTGGTAGCCTGCGTTTGATTATCGACCCGAGATTGTTGTATTTTAATTGTTTAATTATCAATGTTATTTAAAAACATATCTGGGTCGATGTCATGCAGGTAACCGATCTCTTGGGCCTATATCAAATTGTTTTTTCCCAATTTGATCTAAACCCAAGTTGACATCTATTTAAGTCTTGACAATATCACTTTAAGTTAAATCATATTATAATTATCAAACATGTTTACAAATCTAATTATAATTAATTACTAATTTTATAAATTCTTCCGAGAAATAAATATCATTGACAGGTACTTCATCATTTTCAATTGTTATAATAAATTTATTATTGCTCGTTATACATAATAATTAGCGCGATAATTACTTAAATAATTAGTCATAACAAGGCAAAAATATTTTCCGATGAAAATATAGGTTAACATTAAGAAATAAAAAATATCTTATTAAATACTATTAAAATAAGGAAAAATATTTTTCAAAAACTATTACAATTAGGTAAATAATATTATTAGTGGAAATCAGTAGGAAATGTTTCATCAATTTGGTTAATCATTTCACTTAGTATTTTCAAGTAATGTGGTTTGTACAGTTTACTCTTGGTTATTTAATAGTTCTACAATACTGCGGTAAATAAATACATCCAGCTTGTAAAATTAATATCATATTTTAAAAAGAATTTTTAAATATTATAGATGGGGAGAGATTTACCTTTTGTAAAAGTAACAACAAAGACTTTGACAACTGTTTAAAGAGATCTATGCAAGAAGCTATTAAATTACTAAAAGACGGTGAGTATATATAACTTTTTTTATAAGTAACCAAATATGGAATACCATTTAGTTTTTGTGTTATATAAAAAAGTATTGTAAATCAAATATATTTATTCTTAGTTATTATCAGTCATACAGTTGCACATAACTTAATAAAGCCGGGACCCCATTAGGTCACACGCCACGCCACACCACCCCACGTCTTTAAGATCTGTGCGTATGGTTTTCGAATGTAATACCACAAGATGTTTCGGGATTACCGAATAATACTTTTACCTGATACGAAATGCGTTACCCGGCAACGCTACGACTCCGAAGAAGGAGTAGTGTTGCCGGTATCGCACTGAATGTCAGGTAAAAGTATTAGATAATCCCGAAACAATTCTAGTTGTATTCAAAAGATTATACAACGAAATAAAGTGCATATGTATATCCTTCTTATCTTAAACATAATTATTATAATTTGCTATTTTGTAATAAGAATTGACAGGGTATTTTGTGGAACTGACAGGAATGACTTCTGAATTAATCTCCTCCTTCGGAGTCGTAGCATTGCCGGTATCGCATTGAATGTCAGGCAAAAGTATTAGGTAATCCCGAAACAATTCTAGACGTATTCAAAAGATTATACAACAAAATAAAGTACATATGTATATCCTTCTTATATTAAACATTTTTATTATAATTTGCCATTTTGTAATAAGAATTGACGGGATATTTTGTGGAACAGGAATGACTTCTGAATTAATATTTCAAAAAATGACAATTACAATATGGCCACCAAGCGATAATCACTTATTAATCACATCCTTCCGATCCTTCTATATAGGAACAAGCTCCTTGTGAAGGGTACACAAACGCATTTCAAATACATCTGAAAGTCAACCTTAAAGGTCGTTTAAGGTCTCACAACAAGGTTCTTTCTGGAATCACTCAAGGAGGTTTGAAAGCCACATATGTCAAGGTCAAGCGAACTGCGCATGTGGAGGAGCCCAATCGGCTAATATCTCCTACTTATTACAGACAGATACATTTATTACAGACAGACGGACAGACAGACAGACAGACACCATGAAAATATTTTGTATTTAGATCATTTATGACCCGAATAACTCATTTTTAGTGAAATTAAAAAAACGTCTCACAACGTTTCTTTGTTTCTTTATTATAATATATTACAGACAGATACATTTATTACAGACAGACGGACAGACAGACAGACAGACACCATGAAAATATTTTGTATATAGATCATTTATGACTCGAATAACTCATTTTTAGTGAAATTAAAAAAAAAATTTTGCCGATCTTAATAGCCTGCCATACCTAGTGGTATGGTCGGCTAAAAATGATTATCATAATTTTTAAAGCCATATGTTAAAAAACAGTTCGTTTCTTGTTTCAGATATTCCCGAGTATAATTTAACAAACCTTAAAGTAGTTAGACCTTCAAAGGTTACAATACAAGCTGGAGTAGGAGCTGTCCAATTAATCCAAAATTACAAAAATGTAGAAATTACCGGTTATTTAGATGCAGTAGTTAAGGAGGCTCAGTGAGTTTTAATCGATAATAACTGAGAAAACATTGCATTTACTAGTAGGGTCAAGTGGTGTAAAAATGAAACCACGCCCTATTTAGGTAAATATAAGACATTCAAATGAAACAAGTGAAAACGTATATTCAGTCAGTTTTTTTGTTAGAAACAATTAACAATTAAACAATTGTCATTGATCATTCCTATAATTTGTCTATCTTTCTGTAATGAATCTTGGAAAAACTGAAATTACAAATCCGTTGTCTCGTTTTAAAGTTTACTACTAAACTTTTGTTGGGTAACATCAGTATCAAGGAGTAAGCGTTCGACACCTTAAGTTTTGTTAGTATGAGAAGCTAGTTTTTGGAGGGGTCAATTTGTTACATACACGGGTTTTATAATGAGATAAAGGTAGGTATAAATATGAGAAAAATAAAAAAAGGGAAAATGGAAAAAGACTGCAAAGTTAGTTAGCAGCAGTCATGGAATTGTAATACAACAATGTCATATAATAATGACCGCATCAGCTGTCATGGAATTGAGCAATTAAAAACATATCATAAATCATTTTTTTTCCAATGGAAACTGACTTTTTTATTTCACTAGTGAAAAGGTGTTCGTTACTTTTCGCCTATAAATGTTCCTATACCTAAAATAAATTGTTTTTAAGTCATTTAAGATTTATCTTTAAAGCGTAGGTATATTTTTCTTTGTTTTAACCAGTAGGCTATGACTTTAAACTTCAAGTGATGTAAAACAATAGATCTGGCCATGTCATATTATGACAGTTTGTTCAAAAAGCTGTATGTTATCAAGGATACTGTAGAGATAAGGATAGTTCGATTTCTATCTTCCTGCACTGTCAGTTCTTTTACATCATAGGGACCGAGTTGAAGTTAGCGCTAAAGATTTTAGACAGTGACAGATATTATTTGCTTTTGACGGACGAGCGCACAGTGCGGTGGAAGATAAATTTAGTGCAACCGTTTGGTTAGAAATAAGCAAAAAAATGTGTACTGATAAGAATAAATAGTAGACATTCCAATTGATATAAAAATACAAGAATATTCTTTGTATTTCGATACATTTTCATCAACCAAATTTGGTCGTTTTCTGCTCACCAAGGAGCAAGGCAGAGATCATACGAAAACAAAATATTTACAAGTGCTTATACATTTTATTCCAAAGCCAAATTATGTTGAAGAAGTAGTACGTATATTATTTGATAAAATCCTTCGTGCCTTTGTTCTGCAGATATCAAACTTTCACTTTTTTTCAAATATCGATATATTGAATGATAAGATTTCCAAGATCTTTCCAAGACCTTTCCTTTTTTGAGTTACCAGTAGTTACCAACACAGGTAGTCACAGTCACAGGAAGTTCAAGCTTACCAGGTGAATGCCCAAAAGTTTTATTTCAATCGGATAGTATAAAAACAAATCAAAGACTCATTAAAGGGTTAATAATTGAAGAGCATTCAAAAGAAGAATTGGGTTTTGCAAGTACTATGAGCTTTAGGGCTAGTGGGAGTAAGGATGCTGCTGTAATTGTTGAAACCTTAACTCCATCGAGTTTCATCCGGCACTGAGTTAATGAAAAATTAATAGCTGCCCATACAAGGAAAGGGCTGGCCTTCGGACTTGGTCTTGAGGCCGGGGCTTTTACCCAAATTACCATAGCGGAAATATATCCGCGGACTTTACCTTTCACGCAAACCTATAGTTTTTTGGGTTAAAGGCCCGGACCCAAGGCCAAGGCCGAAGGCAGGGCCTTTCCATGTATGGGCAGTTCATGAATGACACCAATGTTCGGCAATTTTCCTTAAGACAAAAACATCCAAATAATATTCTAGTTAAATAAAGCATGACGATATGCTAAAGTCTTTTTTTACTTTCTGATAATTTATAATAAATCTAAATGATTATTACTAGTTGTAATAAAAGTTTAAAAAATTGTCTTAGATATTTACCTACTATATATGAATTTACATTTACCAAGTGTTAAAATTAAAATATTTATCTTACTTATTATTTTCAAAATAAAATAAAATTTTTTAAAAATAAAATATACAGGGTGTCACAAGATTACAAAGTAATTAAACTGCTAAAGAGTTTTTTGTAAGTATTTCACCTGATATCATAATTTTATGTATTTGGCAATAGTTTACAGTACGGTTTTTGTGTGTCATGTACGAATAATATCATAGTTTTATTATCTTGTATTTATTTATTTATTAATAAATAAATAAATTTAACCATATGGTTGCCATATATTAGACCATTTGCTACGTTCTTAGATTTTAAGTCCCAAACATCGCTCCTGAAGCGGCCCGTACATTATCAAACAAATTGCGCAACACAGGCTGTTGCGCAACGAGTCGCCAATGTATGGTAACGTTTGATGCGTTGCGCAATGGTTTGATAAGTTTCAAGAATGTTATTTGAATTCTTCTGTGCAACATGCGTTTGCACAGCGCGTTTTGTAGTATATGTGTGTGTTGCCCTTCGTTGTGCAATATTTTAGTTCTTTCATCCAAATTCTTTGTTTTCTTTTTCGTTTTTTGGTATCATTGACATCATCTAGGGTATATACGATAATAATTGACGCAATGGAAATTGAGGACATGATTGTTTCTCAAACAATGCACAACTTTTAATAAAAAGTTTGATCAAAATTTACTAAGTGCATGGGTACGGCAGTTGTGCAACGGAACGTTGCGCATCGCTTTGTTGCGCAACTTGTTTGATAGTGTATGGACCGCTGAATCAGTTGTGCAACACAACGTTGAGCAATTAGTTTGATAATGTATGGGCCACTTGAGATTTTGTCCCGCTAGAATAACCATCCGCCGCACTGTGGAGCGCTGGTCCCTGCGTGACGTAAGCATCCACGGCCACTACAACAGCGGCGATTTGGCGCTATCGAACAATCCTTTAGAATATATACAGTCCTTGGTATGTTGTCGATCATCATTTCCTGGCCAACTTTGCGCTGTTTTTTTTTTCAATCATAGGGGATATTATTAATATCAACTATTAGATATCACTAAAGAGCGAAAATACGAGATATATTTTTATAAATACACTTTTTAAACTCTTAAGGGGGCAGGCAGTATTTATAATATAGAAAATTCAAATAATTCGTTTTCTGACAGATGGAAATAAATTTTCTGACAGTTTGCCACTTAATGTCAAAAAAAGCTAGATAAAATCAAGAAAAATATACGTTTTCAAACTAAATCTTAAATAACTTAAAAACGATTTATTTTTGGTATAGAAACATGTATAGGCAAAAAGTAACGAATTGGAATACCTTTTCACTAGTGAAATAAGAAAGTGGGTTTCCATTTGAAAAATATTATTGTCAGAATTTTTTAATCGCTCAATTCCAGGACAGCTACCGCCATTATTATATGACATTTAAACAATTTAGTTTTTGAAATAGATAACCACATGTTAAAAAACAGTGGCTGAATGGCTGCGGTAATCACTAATTTGACTTGGGTTATAAAAATTTTTTTGCCAGGTAGTTTTTTTCGTACAAAAATTTTAAATATTTTTTTTCTCAAAAACGGTTAATGTTAGATATAGAGTGTTTAACATCAATATTCATAGAATTTTAGAGAGAATCTAAGTACCTATGTAATAAAAAATGGGGGCACCCATTTAAAATAAGAAAGTTTCTGTCAACTTCCAGTATTTCTGGAAGTGCCGCCATACTGAAAATACTTTTAATCTGATATACCCTGTATATCCTTAATTATTGTTAATAATTAAGCTTTTAATATAGATAAATCATCTTGTAATTACTGAGATTTTAAAAAGTCTCATTTTTACACCATTCGACTCTAATCTTTTAAAAGTACGAAATATAGATATTAGTGTTTACAAATATTATTATACACTAAAAAATTAATGTTTTAGTTTTGATACAAATCAAGAAATATTTAATTTTACCGTAACAATACCCCAGTATATTCAAAAGGCAGACTACTGGCTAGATGGGAACGTATTGGCCATGCCTGTTGTAGGATCTGGGCCTTCGGTATTGCAACTTGGTAAGTAAACAAATATGGTAACATGGAAATCATTTATTTTATGGATACTAGTTTTGGAAATACATCGTAATACTTAGACCAAAGAACTAGAAACACGATACGGGGTGAGTCTTAAATATGTGCAAATATTTTTAGGGGTACTATATTTCGACCCCAGAAGCACGATTATGATGTTTCGAAAATTTGGATTTTCTTTTTAATTTTGGATTTTTTTTTAGTTTTTAATTAAAAAACATATCTTTATAATATGGTAACAAAGGTATTAGATTAAATTTACAAAGAAGAAACCCCAGAAAAGATCCTGTGGTTCTCAAAATTTAAGCAAAAAATCATTTTTTTGGAAATTTTCAAGGGGAAATATCTCGATTATTTTGGACTTATTTGAAAAATGGTAAATAGAAAATATGTTTCCTTTATCGACATCTACCAGCTATGAAAATATTTGCACTCATTTAAGACTCACCCTTTATAATCCTTAATTAAAAATGATTAAGGTACCGAAACAAAAATTGCATAGAGAGGTAGAAAAAAAACAGTGGATAACTTTTAGACACTAATGTTTTTCTAATGTCTTTTTCGGTTTGGGTACAGTTTTAAACTAAGCGGTTTAAAACTTTGGCGTAAAGTTAACTATAGATAGCAGTTAATTTTCACATTTGTTAATTTTGACAGGCGCCTACTATTTTTATATAGACTATAAAATACAACACTCGTATCTGTAACAGCGCATCGTTATTAGATACTAAAAGAACTTCAGACTTCCATTGTCTTTATTTATTTTAACGTTTCGTTAGAATGTATCACTGTATCAGTTATCCCGAGATCAAATTTGGCAAAACACTATTTCCAAGTATTTTATTTCAGATAATCTGGAGATGAAACATATCCTCCAGCTGGAAAAGTATACAAAGAGCGACAAAACTTATTACAAAATTAAATCATATGATTTGCACATGTCTATCACAAAGGCACACTTGAGGTTTGACAACATGTTTGGTAATAAGATGTTAAGTGACAATTTGAACACTGTATTAAATGAAAATTGGGAAACACTGTTCAACGATACAAAATCTTCAATTGAGGAAGCTGTTATTGCTGTTCTAAAACCTTATATACAAACTTTCTTTAACGAAGTTCCAACAGAGGAGCTGTTTTAGGAATTGTTGAATGTGATTTACATGCTAATAAATAATTTATTTTTAAATATACTTACATTTTCATACGGTTTTCAACAAAAAGCAAAACCAAGACCAAGACTAACTTTATATCTTAGATCTATAAGACCAAGACCGAACAGCGCAACACCTCCTTGATTTAAGTAAGAACAATCTTCAGATTGTCACGGGGTTTTTAACAGGGCATTGTATTCTCAATAAAATCAGAAGGCTGAAGCTAAGAAACAACGGTAAAGGCAGATTCTGTGAGAAAAATGGGGAAACACCAGAACACCTCATCCTCATCACTGAGTGCGCCAAGACGGCAACAATTCGTGCCATAAACTTTGGTAGGGGAGACCTCGTAGTCAGTTCGTTTGATTGCCTTTTCTTGGTGGAGCCTTTGGTAAGGGTCGGAGAATTTCGGGCGAGAAAGGTATAATATATTGTCACCATAGTTGAATTATCACGTAATATGGATGCTACAGGCACTAAAGTAGATGTAAGATCTGTGAACGAAACTACCGATTCAGTGATTGAGGGCAGTTTTGAAGTATCAGGTATTATCTTAGAGTTATTACTAGGGATTTCGGCAATATTGGACACGTCCTCAAATTCAAAGAAAATTTCATTCAGTTTACTAGTAGTAATAACAGTTTTTTTACAGTAATAGTCACACCTTCTCCTATGAAGATGAAAAATCAGTCTTTTCTGGATATCCAACTGATGGAGGAGCCTGGTTTCAGATATTGGCTTTTGTCTGTCTTGGTCTTAGTCTCTCATTTGCCCATCATTATTTTTGCAATGTAGAAATTGTGTTAGATAATAATAAATCTTCAGAAAAGTCCTATAGTAATTCGCCACTTGCACTGGAAGAAAATCTACAAAAGGTCAACGATTTTTATAGACGTATCTGTTGAAAAAAAACTAAAGTGTTCTTGAATAGTAGAATTTATATATTTTAAATAGTTCTTTTCTTTGTTATTTGTGTTTTTTTGCTTCCGACGATGGGCAAATATATACTTCCCGAAACGTTAAGCATTTTTTTTGTCCCTTAGGCAAATATATTTTATTAGTAAACCACCGCTGACAAGTTGGTCTTCGTTGAATTAACACAGCAGCGTTTACAAAAAATAACTAAACTCACCGGCAAAAAAAACCGGCCACTAAAAACTAGTCCCAATTTCAAAGTTGGATTTCTCGCGAACCACTCATTAGATTTTGATGATTTTTTTTTAAATTGTAAATTAATACCTTCTTAATGGATGCTACGTCTGAAATTTTTATTCCGAATTTATTTTGAGCATATACAGGGCACAACAATAAGACGAAGTTTTTTGCCCGAACTTTGTAACACCCTGTGGGGTGCAGCAGCGGTAGTAGCCATTGCTAAATTAAATCACATTGTAGCCTCATCTTTTATGAGCATTTTGCTTTTTTTAATCAGCACTTTATCTCTTTTTGTATTGAAGATATGCTGTTTTAAAACGAACGTTTCGGAAAAATTCAGAATCCATCTCGGAAAAGGCGGAAAGTTTTATGTGTAAATAATCAAGGCAACATAGGCGAAAAGGGATTTATGAGTATTTGCAATATGAAAAAAACGGTTGTCAAATTAAAGAATGCCATTATCTGTAACGGCTGTTGCTCATATTATGGCTTTAATTGAGGCCGAAGACGTTATGTCTCCGATACCCTGGGTATATTTCGAACAACAGTCCAGGATGCCTGGAATCGGTATATGGAAACGGGAAATTTCACTAGGCGAGTGAACACTAGATATTAGTCCCTTAAAATTTCTTTACCTTTATTTTAATTTTCATGTTTTAGTTAGTTTACGTCTACGTTCTAATGTTTGATTTGATTTTAAAGCTTTTTTCGAAGCGTTTGTTTTAAAGCAGCGTATCTCCAATACAAACAGAGATAATGTCGTAATTAAAAAATCAAAATACTCACAAAAGATGAGGCTACAATGTGGTTTGATTTAGCAATAGCTACTACAGCTGCTGCACCCTACAGGGTGTTACAAAATTTGGGCAAAAAACTTCGTCTTATTGTTGTGCCCTATATATGCTCATAATAAATTCGGAATAAAAATTTCTGACGTAGCATCCGTTAAGAAGGAATTAATTTAACATTTAAAAAAAAATCATCAAAACCTAATGAGTGGTTCACGAGAAATCCAACTTTGAAATTGGGACTAGTTTTTAGTGGCCGGTTTTTTTTGCCGGTGAGTGTATTTTGTTTCGTATATTTCTCGACAGTGCAAGTGATGAAATGCCCATAGGACTTTTTTGAAGAGATGAATCCGCCACATACATAGGTATAGATTTTTTTTAATAATAATTCTGTTACAGAAGTAGGATATTTGATGAAAATACTTATTTATTTATAAAATTAATGATACAACAACTAACAAGAACAGTGACATCAGGCTACCCTTCACAACATTACTGCCACTTCCGTCATTTCCAGTATTATTCCTTAATGGATCCCAATCTCTACTAAAATCTCTTCCGTATATACCAAAAGCTAAAAGTCTGCTTTGTGGTTTATTTAACTCTAACCGTTTTATAATCTGAGAGTCCCTAGTTTCATAATCCCAGGTATAATGAGATACGGGCAGCGGATGAATGGAACTCAGCAATGTCGTTGGAAATTGAATTTTGTTTTCTGACGATGAAAAATTACCAGTTATATTGATAGAATTGATTGTTAGTGGCCAAATTACGTTAGAGTAATTACTAAACCTGAAAAAAGAATAAGATAATAATTTCTAAAAATTAAAGTAAATAAACTAAATGTTAATATCTCCTTTTTGCTGTTAAGACTAATCTGGATAACGCTCGATAGACCAAAATATGCTGGGAATAAAAACAAAAAGTCCGTAAAGAAATAGAGTTGATACGACAAAAGATACAGGTAATATATGTCATCCACAAAATCAAATCCCTCAAGTAGTAATGGGCAGGACACCTGGCACGAAAGGCCGATAACAGATGGACTACAAAAGTTACAGAATGGTACCCACGAGGAATTAAAGAGTCTATTACCCTGTACTGTTCGGGTCGCTCTCAGGGGTCGGGTAAAGCGGGTGTGTGGCCGAATGAAATATATATTATATGTCAGAAATCTGAGACTGAGCCCGATCCTATCATGTTAAGCCATACCCAAAATTCCATACACATGTGCTTTGATTAAGGTTTCATTAAGGTTTGCAGAGCTTTAGCATTTGCGATAAAATAGCGAGCAATTTGTTCCAAAACCATATAAATTATATATAACTGTAATCAGAAAACATCAATTTATTTCTGTATTGTAACGGAATTTTAAATTATGCCTTTATTTTCAAGAAAAGTTAGTCAAAACATAAGGAATCATTTTTGGGGCAAAAGTTGTCCCCCTCACAAACAAAATTGACGTGTTTTTGAATTTTCTGAAAAAAAAAATTACCCTGGCTGTTATGCGTTGCGGAACGTTTTCGTTAGGCCACCCTGTATATTTATGCTCTGCGCGCGCAACTTACTGCTTGGCGTTACGAGTACAACAAGCGACGGGCGAAAATCCTATTTTTAAATACGAGCGATATTTCGCTCGAGCGATCGCTCGGTTATTGAAATCGCTTGAAACTCGAGTACTCGATTATTGAAATTAATCGGTATTTCCCATAGACTTAAAATAATATATTATAATATATATTTTTTATTTTAAGTCAATGGTTTTTCCCATCACTAGTAAAATGCCCATAGGACTTTTTTGGACATTTTTTAATATTAATTCTATTACAGAAGTAGGCTATTTGATGAATATACTTGTTTATTTATAAAATTAATGATACAACAACTAACAAGAACAGTGAAATCAGGCTACCCTTCACAACATTACTGCCACTTCCGTCATTTCCGGTGTTATTCCTTAATGGATCCCAATCTCTGCTGAAGTCCCTTCCGTATATTCCAAACGCTAAAAGTCTGCTTTGTGGTTTATTTAACTCTAACCGTTTTATAATCTGAGAGTCCCTAGTTTCATAATCCCAGGTATAATGAGATACGGGCAGCGGATAAATGGAACTCAGCAATGTCGTTGGAAATTGAATTTTGTTTTCTGACGATGAAAAATTACCAGTTATATTGATGGAATTGATTGTTAATGGCCAAATTACGTTAGAATAATTACTAAACCTGAAAAAAGAATAAGATAATAATTTCTAAAAATTAAAGTAAATAAATTAAATGTTAACATCTCCTTTTTGCTGTTAAGACTAATCTGGATAACGCTCGATAGAACAAAATATGCTGGGAATAACAACAAAAAGTCCGTAAAGAAATAGAGTTGATACGACAAAAGATACAGGTAATATATGTCATCCACAAAATCAAATCCCTCAAGTAGTAATGGGCAGGACACCTGGAACGAAAGACCGTTAACAGATGGACTACAAAAGTTACAGAATGGTACCCACGAGGAATTAAGGAGTCTATTACGCTGTACTGTTCGGGTCGCTCTCAGGGGTCGGGTAAAGCGGGTGTGTGGCCGAAGGAAATATATATTATATGTCAGAAATCTGAGACTGAGCCCGATCCTATCATGTTAAGCCATACCCAAAATTCCATACACATGTGCTTTGATTAAGGTTTCATTAAGGTTTGCAGAGCTTCAGCATTTGCGATAAAATAGCGAGCAATTTGTTACAAAACCATATAAATTATATATCACTGTAATCAGAAAACATCAATCTATTTCCGCATAGTAACGGAATTTTAAATTATGCCTTTATTTTCAAGTAAAGTTAGTCAAAATATAAGGAATATTTTGTTGATGTTTGACCATCCAAATCTTAAAAATACAGAAGTTGTCTAAAAATATGCTACAATACGGATATAGTATAATCATTTATCATTAATTTCCTTCTTCATTTGTTTAAAAACACCTAGCCAGTTTTATACAGGGTCCGGCAATAGTGCGTCGAGCATCTGTAGCTCCTAGAATAGAAAACTTGGGAATTTTGTTTAAGTGCAAACCTAAAGTACAGTACGTCTACTGGATTTGTGTCTATGAAAGGAATGCGGACAAAAAATATTTAAATAAACAGCAATTTATTTTATACGTCAACTTAACGAGTACGTCACCGCAAATCGCTCTGCCCACTCATTTTATTGGCTACTTGCAAATTTGTTGAATTTTTATTGATGGTAGGCGTCGTCTATTTTTTTACGAAAAACATCGAGAGCATATCGTTTCCCCTCTCACGGATACCCCGTAGCTACAGAACGAACAGACGTACTGTGTACCAGGATGTATTTCCGGAAAATATTTTAACTTCTATAGGGTGGCTCAAAAAAGTGTTAGTGAATCTGGATGATTTTTTTTAAATTGAACACCCTGCATATTACTGCATTTTTGGCTTCCTTTCAGATCACATTACATAATTCTAAGATATGAGTAAATCAATTTAGATAGTTATAAAAATATATATTTTTCAACCCTTCTTAAAAAAAATATTAAAAATACTTACTTATACTTACGTGTACTTACTTTGCTATAAATATGGTAATCGTAAATTATACAGGATGTTCAATATTCTACACCAAACTTTCAAAAATATAAAATAACTTTTCTTCGATTTTTTAAATGGAACACCCTGTATATTATTTTTTTATTAGATGGAGAATTAAAAAATGAACATTTTTTGTATTTAAAGTATTTCAAAATTTTTAATAGTTTTCCGGATACACGCAGTACTATTTCATATGGCGCTTTCAATGGTAAAATACGAGAGAAAAATCGTTGGGTGACTGATAAAAATTTACTACTGAAAATGCCATATGAAATGCACAACCGGGAATATCTTCGAAACCGTTAAAAATTTTGAAATACTCTAAATACAAAAAATGTTCATTTTTTAATTATCCATCTATTGAAGAAATAATATACAGGGTGTTCCATTTAAAAAAAACGAAGAGAAAATTATTTTATATTTTAGAATGTTTGGCGTAGAATTTTGAACATCATGTATGATATACGATTTTCATATTTATAGCAAGTAAGTGCAGACCATCTAAAGTAAATATCTAATATAGTTTTGATTTCAGGACAGTTCTTGGTATTATTAATAATTTTTTTAAGAAAAGCTGAAAAATATATAAATTTTATATATTTATTAATATCTCTGAAATTATCGAAATATATTTACTCTTGTCTTGGGATTATGTAAAGTGACATAAAAGGAAGCTAAAAATGCAATAATATACAGGGTGTTCCATTTAAAAAAAATAATCCTGATCCACTCACACTTTTTTGAGCCACCCTATAGAAGTTAAAATATTTTCCTGAAATACATCCTCGTGCATACTTTAGGTTTGCACTTAAACAAAATTCCCAGGTTTTTTATTCTAGGAGCTAGAGATGCCGGACGCACTATTTCCGGACCCTGTATAGAACGTTAAATGCCGAACGCTTATTTTGGTACTTTTTCGGACTATAGTAAAATAGACTCTTAAGAGACCTAGAAAAAGATCTAACTATGGGACCATGATACTAGGAAATTACCAGGAATAAGTTGGACCCGCATATCCACCAATAGACAACAATGAACCCAATTACAAAGAGATTATCTAAATATGTAAACTATAACTGGAAATAAGCTGCAGATAATGATAATGATGTACCTATAATAATTATTATTTATCATTAATTATTCCTTGATACCTATATTTACCTTCGTCCACAAGAAGAAACTGTTTCATTTAAGCAAGCTACCACGCCACATTGTTCAATTCCTCCATAGTAAAATCCAGAGAAAGTTCTAACTCCGCTGAAAGCTACTAATAAATAAGTATAACTGTCATAATCATTATTATTTTCTATCTTCTCGTTCACTGTAACTGATACATTAAAATTACAGCACAGAACATTTATTTCATCTCCATGGCAAACCGTTTCCGTAACGCTATTTTCGTTAGTGTTTAATACTTTAAAATTATGTTCTAAAACGAAGAGTAATCTATACATTAAAATGGCCTTAAATATAAAACCTAAGAATTTGATTTACCTGCAATCGTTGGGTCTACTAACATAAAAAAATCATCCAAGGTTTTGGCAATATTGTCAACGTCAGTATCGTTAGTACCTTCAACAAGAGATATATTAGTAGATATGGCATCTTTTGAAACTTGATGTGAAAGTATTTTGGTACTGGAGTTGCTTAGAATGACTTGTTCCAAAGGACCATTTTTTCCTACAAATTGAATAATTTAATGGTAATTAATGATATATGCCTAAATAAAAAATATCCCAGATAAGACCACAGCCCTTCACTAACCATCTTGATATAGATACCGACTCAATATCTGGTTATTATTAAAGGCAATAGCACAATAGAACGTAATAGAGAATTGTAAACTCAGTTAACAACGATAACCAAAAAGTAAAGGGGCAACAAACTAATGAGGTTCTTGAATGTCCAGATTGCGGAAGAGAGGTAACATCACCTATGTATAGGGCTTTTCAGACACAGAAAAGCTCATGAAAGAAAACGCCTTGCTTAACCATCTTCTGATGCGTGTCAATTACTCATCAGCAAGTAAGCAAGTAAGTATTATTAAAGGGTATACCTTGTGTGAGTATACCTTGTGTGAGTGTATACTCACACAATACCATAAAGGGTAAGTGGTTTTAGAAAAAAATACATATCAAAGATTCTTTCTGCCTGTGCTCTAATATTTGGATGGCTTATGGTACCTTATGGTAAGTGATTTTATATGGCTAGACGGAATGTGATTAATGATTGTTGTGTATTTTTCTCTCTAGAGAATGTTGTCTTACATTTAGCATGATTGATGTACTTCCTTTTAAAAAAACTGCTACATAATGTGCTTTGTTATTTTTAATGATGTTGCCTAAACAGTACCTCTCTATAGTTGCTCAATTGGGACCAGTACGATTTAGGAGAGTAGCAGATATAATAGAGAAATTGTACAGGAAAGCTGTAAGTATAGCAAATGCTTATGCATTTTGGTGGTGTAGAGAAAACCTTTGGTCTACAGACCAAAATGTCTACACGATGGTGATTTGAGGTACAACTGAACTACAAATTGAACTATAGTAGAGTCGCCAAAGAAGAGAAATATTATGATTTGAAAAATGAGTTTATTAAGATGATAGCTTGATGATGATATTTATTACAAGTCAAAACCTGATGTGATTTTCTTAAACCACTCTATTAATTATGGTAGTAATGAATATGTATGTAGATATGTTTTAGATATATTTCAGATGGTAAGTACATGCACCGAATAATAATATAACGGTTTAATAACGGTTTTATTATTCAGTGTTAATGGTTTTTATAACGGTTTTATTATTCGGTGGTACATGGTAAGTAGGATACAGATAGCATAGGGGTACGACTTTGACAACCGGTTTCCTGAATCGTACCATTTGCAAGGCTTTTAAAAAACTGATATATTTCTGTTTAAATAATGTTAATAAAAGTATGAAATTTTTTTATAAGGTATTAAAGAGATCAAACAAAATATTCGTCATAGTCACAACCATTCAATCAGAAAAAATTAAAAAAAATTTTAACTTTTTTGCAAAGCAATATGGTTTAAGAACTTGCCTCTATATTTCTATATATCTTTTCTTTATTTGTTTTCTTTATAATTTTTGTTTCTATGTCCCTTCCATTTCTGGCCACAATTTCTGGTTTTAAATTATTTGCTATAGTAAAGATTATTTTTTAAAGTATCTAAATTTAAGATGACTCTCCACACTATGGATCAAATGTCCTCCAACGTTGGTTCCAATATTTGCCATAGTAATATGTGCTTTCCAGTGCGTTTTGCTTACCGTATGCTATAAGCTATATACTGCACGGATAAATTAGGTGTATTCGCCTTATTTTACATAGAAGTCATAGAATAGGTAATTTTTTTTAATACCTACCTAAAAATATCCCAGATCCACCAGCTCCCCTACTAGGATTACTAGATCCAGAAGCCAAAAGCACCACATCGAGCTCCTGTGCCCACATCTGTTCAGTTTGCAACGCTAAATATATTTATAAAAAAAATATAATATACATATAGGTATTCAATGAAATGAACTAATACCTGTTAAAAAGGGTAACTCTGATATCCAATTCAAAGGAAATATGATATTTTCAACCTGATGTTGACGTGTTAGATTGAACGCTGGCGTAGTAAACTGAATGTCAAAGCATGTCATGAGTCCAAATGAGGAGTTTCGAATTTTGAAGATTGAAATATCCGGATAAGCAGGTTTGCTCTTGCCATATTCTCCAAATAGGTTAAATTTTCGATACCTAAGAAAGATAGAAATAAATTATGTATTGCAAAACACATTTCTGCGCAAAAATTGAGTTACAAATAAGTACACACAGAAAATAAATAAGTACAAGGTGATTCAAACTTCCCGTCCTTGGCTTATAACAGGAAAAGGAAAACTGCAAATACAAATTTCGAAGATAGGATTTGAAAGGCTGTGTGTAAGGTATATTTTTTCGTATTTAAACATTTTTGAACTTTTTTGAAAATGGTGAAAATGACGTCAAAAAAATATTTTTTTCACAAAGTCGTCATTTTTTTCATATTCTGAAAGAACATGTTTTTTTAAACAACTTTCATTAAAAAAGTTTTTCGCTATCTTTATTTGGTTACAAGCTATGGGACTCTAAATTTAAATTTTTTTAATAAATCTCAACTCACCCCGTGATAAGAATTAAGTCGGCCAGGTACAGTTGTACAGATATAGGAATAGACTTGGGGATAGCACCGGTCGCCGTGTTATTTTATATTTCTCACGTCTTTAGCTATACTTGTTAAGTTGTAACAAATGATCGTTTTAAGTTGATTAAACCAAATAATATTTTGTCATTAGTATCTTTTTTTGGTAAATTAACATTATTAACAATTAATGCAAAGTTATTGTTTAAAACAAAAAACGACATAATGTAATAAAATAAAAAAATTGAAAATAACATATTAATATTGCAATGAATTTGGCTGAAGGGGTAAGTTGAGATTTATTTAAAAATTTCATCTTTAGAGTCTCATAGCTTGTGAAGAAATAAAGATAAAGAAAAACTTTTTTAATGAAAGTTGTTTAAAAAATATGTCCTTTCAGAATATGAAAAAAAAAATGATGACTTTGTGAAAAAAATATTTTTTTTGACGTCATTTCCACCATTTTGAAAAAAGTTGAAAAATGTTTAAATACGAAAAAATATACCTTACACACTGCCATTCGCATCCTGTCTTCGAAACTTGCATCTGCAGTTTTCCTTTTCCTGTTATAAGCCAAGGGCGGGAAGTTTGAATCACCCTGTACGTTACGTAAATAGTACTGGATATGTTAAGCAATGTCTTTTTAGCTGCTTGAATATTTTTATAGTCTAGGAGGCAGTGAATTTTTTTTGTATTTATTTTCCCAGTGGGAAAATATACAGGGTGTTTCAAAAAACATGTGCCATCTCTCGTGGGGAGATTCCTCACGTAAAAATAAAATTTATTTTTCATATCAACATAGGTCCGATTCTGCTTTGTTTCGTAGCTACAGCGTGTTAAAGTCTTAAAATTTTTTCGATTTATTGTAATTTTCTACCAAGTCCTTTTAGAGTTTTGAATGAAATTTTGAGGGTAAAAGTTACTATAAATGCGACATATTTTAATGCTAAAAAAGTGTCGATATATTCACCAGGGACGTGGATATGGGTTATCACTTGAATATTTTTCTAAAAAAAAACATGTACGCCACTGTATTCTTTCTCTTGTTATCGAAATAGTGTAAGCAGTTTAATGCCGATTAAAATTGTCCCTTGATATTTTGTCGATTTCGGCCTCCTTGATGAGATAAACGCTATTTTATTAATTTGTTTTGATGAAAGCCTTAAAAGCAACAATTTAAAAATTTTAATATTATTAACTTGCGAAAGTTCTAAATAAGTATTCATTGATTCCTCATCAAAAAATATGAAAAAAAGTTCCTATAAACATGGGTATGGAGATGCATAGTTTTAGAATTACAGGATGTTAAAACTTTTTAAAATTAGGTAGGTTTTTTGTAATATCTTAAATTCTTAAATACCTGTATTTTTTTATTTGAAATTTCTGTAGGTTGGGCTAATAGTAATAATAATTAATAGTAATAATATTTAATAATAAATTAGTTAAAATATATAATTTATTAATTTTTTAAATTATTAAATGATTAATAAAATTTCGTTTATCTCATCAAGGAGACCGAATTCCACAAAATATTAAGAGGTAACTTTTAATTGGCATTAAACGGCCTACACAATTTTGATACAAAAAGAAAAAAGTCACAGGCGCATATGTTTTTGTTTGAAAAATATTCCAGTGATAACCCATATGCACGTCCCTGATGAATTTATGGACACTTTTTTAGTATTAAAATATGTAGCACTTATAGCATAGTATAAGGACTTATAGTAACTTTTACCAAAGCTTTTACCCTCCAAATTTCATTCGAACCACCAGTGGCGGACTAAGAGGGGGCGGAAGGAGCGGTCCGCCCCGGGCCCCGTTTTGTAGGGGGCCTCCAAATCTCAATAAGTAATTTTTTATTCAACTGGCAAACAAGACCAATATGTGTTCAGTAGTTATGAAGCAATTTGTAGGTGGAGTATTCAAAATAATTAATATATGTATGTAAAATAATTATCAATTATCAGGCCCCAGTAATTCTCAATGGCATTTTCTATTTAGGAAATTAAATCAAGGGGTAATTTTCTTTGTTTGAAATATCGAATAATTTTTATTATTTTTTATGATTTTAAAGATTACAATAATTATGAATATAAACTTGAATTTATTTATTTTAGCTTTTAAGTTATATTTCAATGGTTTCATTATTTATTTTTACTAAATAAACATTTTAAATTACAACCAGTGCACAGCATAACTTGTATTCTAGCTTTCTAACCGATGCGCGATGGTGAGTACTGCCGTCTTTAGTATAACGAGGGCCACGAGTCTGAGACAGCGAAGGGGCCCCTCGAATCTGATATTTTGTAGCGGTGTTTCCCTGGAACGGTCGCGAAAGTAACGCGGCTAATTTGTGGAACCGGTATTTCCATCACTTTGTCATCATAAGTTGCCATTAAATACATGCGAACATTCGCTTGGGGATTTCAATAATTTAATCCCTTTAATTTATTACAGTTGGGGTTGGAACATTTGGTGTTACAACAGCAAAATAAAACACTAATTCACCACAATACACCAAAACACTTTATTTTTGCACTATAATACGCCCATTTCGCTAACCATGTTAATATCATGAGCAGATGATTATAAATATTAGAGTTTTGTGAATTATTATTTAATTATTTAATTTTGCCACCTCTACTTTAGTCGACTATTTAGTTTTATTACATCAAATTGCATTCGTTTATCGATTTAAAAGTATTATTATAAGCTTTAAAAAATTGATGTAATCGTTTTTGAGCTTTTGAGTTAACACGAATAATTTGAATTTCTTATATTATAAATACTGCTGCTTTAAAAGTTTAAAAAGTGTATTTATAAAAATATATCTCGTATTTTCGATCTTTAGAGATATCTAATAGTTGATATTATTAATAATATACCATATGATCGAAAAAAAAACAGCTCAAAGTTGGCTTGGAAATAATGATGGAGAATATACTGATTTTTGAAAAAAATTCTACAATATGACATGGTCAGATCTCAGATCTATTGTTTTATATTACTTGACGTTTAAAGTCATAGGCCTACTGGTTAAAATCAAGAAAAATATATGCTTTAAATATATATGTTTTTAACTAAATCTTAAATAACTTAAGAACGATTTATTTTCGGTATAGGAATATGTATAGTCAAAAAGTAACTAATAAAAAAAGTGGATTTCCATTTGAAAAAAATGATTTATGATAATTTTTTAATCGCTCAATTCCATGACCGCTGCGGCCATTATTATATGACATTCGGCCACAATAATGCTTTATTCAGATACAATTTAATTTTTGAAATAGATAGCCACATGTCTTCTCTTTACGGCACAGTGGCTGTGGTAATGACTAAATTTGACATTTAGGCTATACTGGCTATACACATACTTTTGATAAGAAGTTTTTTTTGTCCAAAAATTATAAATATTTTTTTCTCAAAAACAGTTAACGTTAGGTATAGAGTGTTTAATATTAAAATTCATAAAATTTTACAGAGAATTTAAGTATGTAAAAAATGAGGGCACCCGTTTAAAATAAGAAAGTTGCTGTCAACTTCCGGTACCCGGAATTGCCGCCATATTGAAAATGTTTTTAATCGATAGATCTCGTTGTGAAACAATGATGTGCAAAAAATCTCCGATCTAGATATTGTAGTTCTCTAGAAACTTCTAATGCACGCTCAGACTGGGACACCCTGTATAAATACTTGAATTTTGTCAACCATTATACGTATGTTATTTCATCTTTACAAAATTTGCATTAGAAGTATATCATTATCTAAACAGACCGGGGGCCACATTTAGCTTCGCCGCCCCGGGTCCCCGACAGGCTTAGTCCGCCACTGCGACCACTAAAAGTACATGGAAGGAAATTATAATACATCGAAAAATTATTAAGACTTTAACATCCTGTAGCTACGAAGCAAAGTAGAATCGGACCTATGTTCATATGAAAAATATGTCTTATTTTTATGTGAAGAATTTCCTCACGAGAGATGGCACATGTTTTTTGAAACACTCTTTATAAAAGTATGTTCAGATGGTGACATTAAATGACAATTTGTGAGTATGGCTAAAATTTTCTGATGGGTCGCTAGATAAGAAACTAAAAACTTCCACTTATTTTTCCAGTCATAAATATTTGCCATTTCTTAAAGTGAATCATTTTATTAATGAAAATAACAGTCTGGCACATCCCAAGCGGAAGAAAGTCAGCCTGTGTGAAAATTTGCGGATGCATAAACTTGACAGATTCTTGAAATCCGTACCTAACTCTTATTTTCCCATTCTTGAAAATTAACGTATCATTTGATACTATCATAAACTATAGTCAAAAGCAAGCCTGACTGATTTACAAAATTGGCAAATGAGTCTGGCCGTATTTTTATTAATATTTTTACACATAGAGCAAAAACTAAATACAAATAAATGTTACCTAGCTAACAGGCTACCGTTGGTACCAAACACAACGTTGGTATTATAAAATATGTGATCAGTTTCATCGCAGTTCGTGCTAGTGTCACATTTATCTTTTTCTGTTAAATTGATAACAATTGTAACGTTGTATTTTATTGCTGCACAGGAAAACTCTTCTAGAAATTTCGAATAGCTGTCTTCACTATAATTGCATAAAACTACGTCGTATAAAGGTGGTAGTGTGGCTGCTGTAGTGGCATAACTGTTAAGGTACGTTAGTGTAGATTCTGGAAAAATAATTAGATCCATATCCTAAAAATTTACAGAATTTTAGAGATTTATTTTTAATTTTATTTTTAAATATTGACAAGTGTTTACTATGGTCCTGGCTGTAGTGTCGTGGCCAGTGGACTTCGAGTTGGCGAGTTACCAACTAGGGGGAGGAGGGCCATGGTCAGGTCCTTACAATAGGAATTGACCTCGAATCCGAGGAGGCAATAGAAAAAGAGAGATATACCATATGTTATAGATTTGGGACAACACCAGTATACGGTATCAGGTCTAAAGAGAGACCAAGTTAAATGCAGAAAATGGAGACAGATCCTCCTGCCTCCATCTCGAGGGTACCTGAGCCGGAGACAAGCGCCTTGACTGTGAAGGTGATAGATGTCCACTCCTCGGAAGATGAACAGTTATTGTCAGAGGAGGATGGGAAATATGCTGTCTCCCCTACAACAACAAGATCCCCATGTATGATGAGTTATAGACTGCATGATGAATTAATTATAACTGAAGAAAAAGGATCACAATAGATCGTGGTGATTAACCCCCCTTCCACTCATTCTATATTCTACAAGTGTGATACACCATTGTTTTAGGAAGGCAAAAATCTTTTAAAAGAGGAAATAAAAAATCCACGTCCGTATTTAAAAAAAATGAAGTAGATAATCTGTTGATAATGATTGCTAAGAAACAAAAAGTCAGATTAAAAATCTAATAACATGAACTTGTAGAGCAGGAAAAGTAGCATTAGGAATGTGAAATTTGAATTTTCATATCTTAAAATAGAACCAGGAAAATATAAAAAAGAAATCGTAAAAAATATCCTAAGATGTAATAGGATTTTTTTGGAGTAGAAGCTCTCCCATTTCATTTGTTATTATACATAATACTAAATACTTATTTTTAGTACAACATTTTATATGCATAAGTATAGGACACCGTGTAGTATGAAATATGCGCATATTTTAAGCACACATATCAAAGAACAAAGAAATATTCCTTTATTCTGTTTCATACAATCAGATTTTATAATAATCTAATATTGGAGCAAAAATATTAAACAAAAAATGAAATAGAATCTCCCCCATCTCATTTACTAATACACATAACACTAAATATTGACTTTTAGTACATTATATTTGCATAAACGCAGGTATACCATATCAAGCAACATAAAAACATTAATTGTTTTCTTAAAATAATTAAAACGTATTTTTAATTTCTATAATAATTGCTGTTTTGAATGCAGGTCCAACGTAGTGGGCTTTGCAAACGCGTCACCTTAGCAACTGTCACTAAAGTTTAACAAAAAAAGTTAAATAATATTTTTCTCCGCGCTCAACAAAAAGATATGTACACAACACGTGATTTCTTAATAATTTCTTTTAATTTAGTGTTAGTTTCTCTGAATTTACTAGAATATTAAAGGGTTGTATAATATAGTAAATATAGTGAAAAGTGTAATTGACTTTTAAATTAGTGGTAATGGTGTTTTCAGAGCTGTTTGATTAAGGTAGGATAGTTTTTATTTTTTAATACCTAATTAAAAAAAATCGTAAACAACTACATCGTTTTTGTATTCCTGTATTTGACATTATGTTAATAACTTTGAAATGTACCCATGTGGGACTTAATTAGGATAAAGTTAAGAATCAGATAACCAAAAATTGGCATTTATAGGATAATTTAGAGTACCTATAAAAAATATTCTCTTTGAGTCTGTGCTTGTCTTTGAATACAAAAACCTTATTTTATTAAAAGCGTTCATTGAATAGTTAAGTATTATAATACAGGGTGTCCCAATTATTATATTCCGTGTACAGAATCTCTCAAATTCACAACTTCTCGGAAATTAGAGGAGATCAGTTAAATGGAGGCAAGAAAAAGCAAACCTTAAAATTTTGCAAAAAAAATTCCAAATACTTCCGAAGATTTTTGAAAAAAAAACGGGATATTTTTGCGATTTAATTTCTATTTTTTTATAACTCTATTTGAATTGATATGACAAATAAATTTCACATTCTCATGAACTTCTTTTGTTCTAAAAGATGGTCTTATCAGATTTTAAACCGACGTTTTGTCTTTGAGCTGCTATCATCATTATTTTTTTTAAATATGCCTATATATATGATTTTTTATTAAGAATTTTAGGTCCCGAAACCTATGATGTATGGCACTTATTTGAAAAATTCATATTAATGACATATTCCATAAAAAGTAAAACTCATTTGTTAGAGAAAGAAAGAGAATAGATTTTTGGTTAGACCTTATTCCAAATATACAGGGTGCTACAAATTCGAGGTACGAGCATTGGCATCTCGGAAACCGTAATAGATACGAAGATGGTTAAATTGGGGCAAAGTTGCTCCTTGGCAAGTTCACCAAGATGCCATAAAAAAAGTTTTAAAAATTTCGAGGATTGCTGAGTTTTTTGGAAAAAACGGATTTTTTTGAAAATCAATTTTATTTTTTCCTGTCGTTAATTTTTAGAGAATCAAAAAACTAATTGCACATTCTCATAACCACTTTATTAGGGTATTTTTAGATTTTCAAATTAGCTTATAATTTGTGAGATACAGAGGCCAACTTAATTTTTTTAAATACCTGCATTTTATATTTGAAGTTTTGAAAGACTTCGGTCTCCGGAGTACAATGATATGCCATACTTGATACTTTTTTTTGTTTTGGATACCTTAACAATAAAAAAAACTATTTAATTGTTATTTAAAATAATTTCAGCTTTTTTAATTTATTTAATCTGATTATATTCAGCACAACAATATTGATCAGCGTTAATTAACATTGAATAAGGAAAATCACGTCTTGCAAGATTCAAATAATTAATATCCAGGTCAGCAATTTAAAGATATCAATTATTTTTAACTTTTTTTTATTGTTAATTTGAAATCCCAGTGTACGATCTAATAATATGCGTAATATTAATCTTAGTTATTATAAATTTCTACAAACTAGTTTGTAATGCTCTGCATGTTCGAAAGGGTTACCACCATATTACTCCATAATGCACAAATTTATTTTTCGTTCAATCTTTTTTATAGCTCTTTGAACAGATCTTCTTATACTTCCGAATGCATTTTGTACTCTTTAATTGTTTTTATTACTCGTTAATTGTTTTTGTACTCTTAATGTTGAAATGTATTGATTTCAAATGTCCAAAATTATTTTTATTGGTTTTCTTTATTCAATGTAATTAGCGCTGATCAATATTGTTGTGCTGAATATAATCAGATTATATAAATTAAAAAAACAGAGTAGGATTTGAAATTATTTTAAATAACAATTAAATATTTTTTTTTATTGTTTTACCAAAAACAAAAAAAAAGTATCAAGTGTGGCATATCATTGTACTCAGGAGACCGAGGTCTTTTAAAATCTGAAATAAAAAATGCAGGTCCATATTTAAAAAAAAATAATTTGGCCTCTGCATCTCACAAATTATTAGCTAATTTGAAAATCTAAAAATACCATCAGATAGCCCTAATAAAGTGGCTATGAGAATGTGCAATTAGTTTTTTGATTTTCTAAAAAATAACGACAGGAAAAAATAAAATTGATTTTCAAAAAAATCCGTTTTTTCCAAAAAACTCAATGCTTGAAATTTCCAAAACTTTTTTGATGGCATCTTCGTGACATTCTAAAGCGCAACTTTGCCCCAATTTAATCATGTTCGTATCTATTACGGTTACCGAGATACCAATGCTCGTACCGCGAATCTGTAGCACCCTGTATACATAGTCAACAGGGTTGTTTACGCTATTTATACTTCATCTTTGAAAAATATTTACCTTGTTTTCTGTCGCTTTAGCAATAATATCAACATAGTTTCTTGTGTTAAATTCTAATCTTTCTTCAGGAGATAAAGAATAGTTTAGATTGGGTCCATACTCGACTACAGTAACAGTATATGTTGAATCCTGAAAGTCAAAACCTTGTCAAACATCTTTGAATTTAAAATTCTAATATGCAATCTATAATAAAAAACATATATTTTTTCTGCGCCAAGAAGATTTATAACACTTATTAATTTTTAAAAATTATATTATGATCCTAGATCCTATAACTTCAAAATTAATAACATCATTAAAATGCCAGTATTTACTTACCTGCGCAAATATAAATTGAATATTACAGAAAACGTTAAAAATAAAAATACATGTTATGCTAAATTTCGTGGAATACATTATTACACTACCTTAATCTAAGAATGTAATTAACTTTTCGAGTAATGCTAGACTCAATAAATAATTATGTTTATCTTTAAATACTTCTGTAGTAGATTTATCTGTCTGTAATTTGATACATCACCATCAATAACAATAATAAAAATTTACAATTCTTATCTTTAAAAATCTTGTCGCTAAGGAATATCCTTAGGAATTTCGTATGAAAATAGGAACTATCAAAATAAAACATCTACAGTTTATCAAAATAGGATCATATTTGGTAATTCTAGCGCATTGACGCAAACAACAGAGTGACAACATGTTCAGCATAAAGGAAAAGTCAAGTACGCTGGACAATCTCGTAAACATACAGGAAGGATAGTGTAGTAAAAACATATATACCGGGTGGTGCAAATTCAAATTTTGAACTGGTCAAATATTGGCTGACCCGTTGATTTCCTATGTTTCCAGCGACGATACAGACCACCCGGTAACCCCTACCAACTTCTACCTTGCAAAATAAAATACTAAATCACCACAGTACACCAAAACACTTTTACTTTTACACTGGACGCGCGTTTCGCTAACCATGTTAGCATAATCAGCAGATGATTATAAACTAATGAATGAATAAAGAATGAAGAGGTGTAAAATTCTTAGGACTTGTAGATAACTCGTTAAAATGGGACTTGCTCATCAAAGCTTTATCAAAGAAACTAAGCGCTGCTTGTTTTGCGCTAAAACCAGTTTCTAAGGAACTTAACTTATCAACCTCTAGAATAGTCTATTATGCCCTTTTTGAGTCGCACGTTCCTTATGCCCTTCCATTCTGGGGTACTTGCTGCGCGATAAAATTTGATCGTATTATTTCAAACTTCAAAAGAGAGCCGTTCGATATTTATTGGGCCTGAAGCCTGAACAGTAGAACTCACTGCCAGAATTTCTTTAAAGATTTCAAAATACTGACTCTTCCTTCTTTATTCATTTTTGAATCAGTTTGCTTATAATCCGCAAGCACATATATTTGCTATTTCCGAAAGGCCACCTTCCAACTATCCACTTGGGAATGGGGAGCATGATCTTTATCCGCCAACCCCGAGCTCAGAACTGGTTAAAGAAGCTCAATACTGTACAGGGTGAGTCAAATTCGACGTTTTTAAATGGAAACACCCTTTCTATAGGAGATAGGCGAAAACTAATATCGGTGTCTGGAGCTCAATTTTCATCAAAAACATGATGGTGAAAACCGTACATCAATGTCTGTTACCGTTTCGCAGTTACGGGGTGTTTTTAAAAAATGTGCATTTTTAACAAATCGCTGTAACTTTTTTGATATGGAAAATTTTGTATTTCTATGAAAACATTTCCAAAGCACCTTTTTACGTAGAATTTAATGGTTTAAGTATAATTTTTTTAAAATTAATAATTTAAGAGTTATCAACAGAAAAATTTATTTTTTATTTGGGACACCCCCTATATATTTAATTAACTGAAAAGAATTTAAAATTACCTTTCGAAAAATATAGCACACTTGATATTTTGTTATAATCCCCTTCGAAATACAGAATTTTTAAAAGTTCGCCACTTTTAACTGGTAGGCTTTGGACCCCATATTGATGATATGCCCTTAATGGAGCTCGAAAGCATATTTTTCCAGCAAGGCGACGCACCGCCTCTGAACGCTGAAGTTATCAGCAAATTTTTGCAGCCAATTTCAAGAATAATTGAAGAGCTAACCAAGATCCCAGCCGTTAGCCGTCGACGCCGCCTGACTTAGTGCCCATGGATCTAATCCTATGGATATACCTATTTGCGGGAGAAGAATTAGAAATACTTAGCAGTTATGAGAGTCTGTCCATAATAGAAGACTGTCGATAAGTCAAACACCTCTGTAGCAAAATCTCATGTCTTGGTTTGCTATTTATTTTTATTGTTATTAAATATAGTTTAAATGTGTTGATGTTGGTTAAAATTATTTTAAAATGTTATAAATTGTTATAAATTGTTATAGAATTCTGCGTCTCTCATAGCAAATATTATTTTCGTTTTAATTGATGCTCACAGCTAGATTTTTTTTGCATTACAGCCGGTGCCGTTCAAATCCTACTGATTTAAAGCGGGCGAATTTTTATATATTCTATATCTCGAAGTGGAATCGAGTAAAATATCAGGTGTGTTATATTTTTGGAAAGGTAATTTTAAATTCTTTTCAATAAATTAAAAATATACAGGGTGTCCCATATAAAAAATCAAATTTTCTGTTGATAATTCTTAAATTATTAATTTTAAAAAAATTATACTTAAACCATTAAATTGTACGTAAAAAGGTGCTTTGGAAATGTTTTCATAAAAATAAAACAGTTTCCATAGCAAAAAAGTTACAGCGATTTGTTAGAAATACATATTTTTGAAAAACGCCCCGCAACTCCGAAACGGTAACAGATATCGATATGTGGTTTTTACCATCATGTTTTTGAGAAAAATTGAGCTCCAGACACCGATATTAGTTTTTGTCTATCTCCTATAGAAAAGGGTGTTTCCATTTAAAAGTGTCGAATTTGACCCACCCTGTACAATGCCAAAAAAATGTACAATCATCTGCCTTTGGATATCAAGTCGCTTTCATTCTTTACCCCATTTCGCAAAGCTCTGAAATCGTACTTACTGGAAAGAGCCCTATATGCGGTAAACGACTTTTTTGTTGATCTTGAACAATTTTGAATTTTAAAATTTTGATCATCTTAAGGTGGGTATACACATGCGAGCCGAGCGGTTCGCGAACCGCTCGTTACCAAATTGCTTTTGTACGAACCTTCAACGATCCAAGGGAAAAGCGCGAACGCCGCAAACCAACCGAAAACATGCAGTCATTTTTGCGATACGCGTTTAATTATGTCTTCGCGAGAAGAGAATTATGTTCTGTTTGGTTTGGTTTGGTTTGGCACTAAAACACAGGTTTTAGTTTGACACCTATTTCCCTCCAAGCGCCCTCCTTTAATTTTTTTTATAATGTTCTTTATGTTTTGGATCCCATAATAAAGCTTTTTTTCGATAGAGATCAATTAAATCTAAAATGATTACCTCGAACCACTCCATATTTAAATAAACCTCTCTACCTCTTCCAACCAGTAAACAAAAACTAAAAATTGAAAACAGTGCGTCTGGATTGTCTAAAGGTTCGATGCAAACAACGAACAACACACGAGCCCGTGCACCGAGAGCCACGAATCCCTTTGTGTTGGTCAAAAAAACCGACATGAGGCGGATCGCCGAGAACGGTTTGCGAGCCGTTCGTTCGTTGCTCAAAACAACGTACACATTTGCGAATTATAGGTTCTCGGCTCGCATGTGTATACCCACCTTTACACACTGGTTAAAAATCTAGTATTATTTATTATTTTATAACTCTTAAATGATTATATCCATTTACAGTTTTCCTATTGTAAAATTTTATTGAATTCTGTAATGTCTATGTATGTTCTATTTGTAATTTTAATGACGTAATTTTTTTTGAATTCTATAATTTGTATTGTATGATATTTTATTTTATTATTTGTATATTTTTTGTGCTTTTGTTTGTTTTTTAAATGTTTTGTCGATGAAGCTATTTTGACATTAAATTTTGACATTACTATTTTGACAATAAAGCGTTATTTATTATTTATTATTATTATTAATTTGATATATTAGTATATGACATAAAATAAGACATAAAATTAGCAGTTACTTGAGGAAGGAATCATCCTATATCTGACGAATTGTATTATCGTTTAGGTCTAATACTTTGTAAAAATAACATTCGCCTTTAAACCGTAATCACCAGCAATTAATTAATTTAAATATAATGCGTTTACTTAGTGCTTAAATATTAATAATACCGAAAGTATTTGTGGTTTCGCAATATCACGTGTTTCTCAAGCTTATTTTTATGTAATTTTTATACATAATTTTAATCTATAAGCCTATATAATCTATAAACCTATTAATATCTATATGCTTAATAACATAAGTGGGGAGGGGGTCTCGGAAGTAATTAAAAATAATGACAGCACCAAATATATTTTGTATTTTAGTATAGTAAGTTTTCAAGAAGGAAAGTATATAGTAAATAAAAGCAAAAATATACGAAAAAGTTTACAATTATTTAATTATATAAGTGAATTTTATAATTGATTAGTTTACTACAAGTAACGTGTATTATACCGGGTGCGTCTCAAAAGGGGCTCACCTCTATAACTTCCTTAATTTTTCAGTTAAAAAAACTAGATTTGACATATTAGTATATGACATAAATTAGGATTGAATGACGTATTCAATTGTTTTCGGTCACTTCCTGTTTCACCGGAAATGACTACTACATTTTTGATTTTTAAATGGCACCTTCGGTATTTTTTTACTTTACTCGATAGAAAATAACGCTCTGAATAGAATGACATACCATATGTCAACTTTTAACATTTTCGTATATGTTTAATTTGAAATTATAACTTGCGGTTCGTAACGAAAATTTGACTCGAAGTACCAAAAGTGTGTGATATCAAATTATTCGTAAAAAAATTATTTTTCCTAATATGCTAATGAGCCACCCTCGTTCTATTTGAAAAATTTGAGATATGATTGAAAAAACGATTTGAGCATTTTCTAAATGGCAAGATACTAAAAACATTAGACGATCAAATCTATTTTTCCAAGGCTCTTTGATTAAGAATTAGTGTTTTTAACATAGCCATATGTTAGATTGAAATTTCTCAGCCTGAAATATTCCAGGATTTATTACAAAGGAATTTATTGTAAAGTCATACAGAATAATACCTCGAGAATTAATAAATTACAGTTTTGTTTTTTTTTAAGTTATGAATTTGACTTGATCATAAGATTCATATGTAGCCCAGATAACGCAAACCACATGCATCACCGGAGCCAACAGGGGTATACATTCGCTAAAATCCACCTCTTCCAAAGCACTTATGTGCTTCTTAAGGGGTGTTAGATGCAAATAGACATCTTTGGGACAAGACACTAAAAACATTAGAAGATCAAATCTATTTTTCCAAGGCTCCTTGATTAAGAATTAGTGTTTTTAACATAGCCGCGGCACTCTAGATTGAATTTTAAAATACAATTTTTTATTAAGCGAGAATGTTAAAAGTTGACATATGATATGTCATTCTATTCAGAATGTCATTTTCTATCGAATAAAGTAAAAAAATAACGAGGGTGCCATTTAAAAATCAAAAGTTGTAGTCATTTCCGGTGAAACAGGAAGTGACCAAGAATACGTCAATCAATCCTAATTTATGTTATATATTAGCATACCAAATCTCGTTTTTTTATCTGAAAAAATAAAATAGTTATAGGGATGGGCGACTTTTGAGACGCACCCGGTATACTATGTTATAAGCAAAAAGAAGACGTAAACATATAAGTATACTTTAGTTTTCATTCACTTCTTCTTTCATATCTATACAGTATGTACCTGGATTGTACATATTGGAAAAATTTTCATATCGTTTTAGAGATAATTATTACGTCCTGAAAGTCAATAACGTTTCTTTGTTAATATAACTGCGTTTTCATACTTTGATAGATTGTTATTCATATAATAAAATATAAAGAATGAAATCGAACTTATTACCATAAAACACCTTTTCGTTTTTAGGACTCTTTAATTTCTCAAAAACGGTATAGAAATTTGGAAAAGTATAAACGGGTATTAACCAAGCAAAAATGTTTATATAGAATTTATTTTTCACAAACTGTCCATAATAAAAAAGTTTTTCCTCTTGTAAAGACAATTCGGGGACATACTGTATAAAAGGTTTTATATTTATATTAGGTTACTAAAAAACAATACAAACACAAAATAAATAAAATAAATATATATTAAATAATTTAATAATACTTTGAAGCACATGATCTGTACAATAAATCATTTATAACATTGATATACGTATAAACATTTAAAAATTGGACTTAAAAAGCAAAACACAACAAAAAAAGAGTCAATATAAAATTGTTTTTTTTTAAGTTAAAGTTCTTTTAAAATACTTAAGTACTGTGCAATACTTTTTCTTATAAACTTTTGGTCCAAGCTAATGGGTCCTCTTGAATATCTTTCCTGTATAGTTTTCTTCCTTGGGCAAGTCTTTCGGCGAATTTAGAAACTAGAGGATCCATACCTAAGAATATAAAAATACATGGTCAAGGTGTGAAAAAATTGTATATTGTTTCATACAGTAGTTTAATACAGGTACGGATAAAAAGTTATTACACTTGAAAAAAGATAGAACCCATGTAGGTGAGCTCCCCTACAAGTCGGAATCATATTGACGTCGAAATCAAGTTGACAAATTTGGCAAAACATGACAAAAAACACCAAGACACCAATTTTCATCCAAATATCGACGCTAGTTCAGAGATTATTCGGAAAAAAATCGAAATAAAAATGAAACTTCTACACAAAGGTAACATTAACGTTAACGTTATTAGGTACTCTAAAGGATAAAACACCTCCACTGGAAAGGTCGGGTATTTATGAAATTTCTTGTAAAGATTGTAATCAGAAATATGTTGGGCAAACTAGGAGATCAATATTAACTAGATTTAAAGAACATTTAACTCAGATAAGATATGGTAGACCGGATAAATCTTGCGTTGTCGAACATATTGTTGATAAAGAACATTGTATAGATCTTAATAATTAAAAAAAAATGATTAAACAAGTCTCAAATTACAGGCAATTAGATGCATATGAAAGCATCAGAATTAATAAATGTAAAGATAGTATGAACAGAGACAACGGTCCAATTCCTTCAAGTTCTTTGTTCCTACTACTCTAGTAGCGGAAATCTAACTGTTACGCTCAGTGGGCTCTGACTCGGTTGGCTAGAGTTTGCCACGCCCACTCAGTGCCCACTGGGTGAGTATATAAACGCTCAACTTGTAGATTGTACTTTAGTTTATAATCATCTGCTGATGATGCTAACATGGTTAGCGAAACGCGCGTCCAGTGTAAAAGTAAAAGTGTTTTGGTGTATTGTGGTGATTTAGTGTTTTTATTTTGCTGTGTAACACCAAAGGTTCCAACCACTCAACTGTAACAAAAATTTATACAAACTTTTTAATTTATTTTTATCTCCAGAATATTAATTATTCGTCTCCACCACTAGAATTTCATGTCGAAAATAAAGTCGCTGTTAATAATGTACCGGGTGGCCAACTAAGAATGGACGCCGGCTGTATCTCAGAAACTACTGATTGTATAATTTTGGGAAAAAAATTCTAATAAGTAAATCGACCAAGAGAAATCGCTGGAAATTATTTTCAAGTTCGAAAAACCTCCGCTAGAGGGCAAAAATATGCAGGTGAACAGGTATTTTAAATATTACTATTGTAATCATCAAGAAATTTATAATTTTTTTGATATAGAGTATTTTGCTCTTTCTTTATCTCATGAAATAAAGTGGTGGGGAAGGTTAAGCTTGCTTTTATTAAAATGAGGATAACTCTGGTTTAGGTTACCCGATTTAAACAAACTAAGGCTCGTTTAAAAGAGCTTTTCTTCCTTAATGATCTTCAGTATAAATTTTGTTTCCATATTAATTTTCGTGGTAGCTAGAGGGCGCTGTTTGACATCATAACAGATATTGCGCTTTTGCATAAAAAATTAAATAGGAGACTATATTTCTCTTTGCACATTTAAATATAGCACAACATTTCCAAAACATCAGCGCATACCGCAACGTTCTATCTTCTCTCTAACCGGAGATATTAAGAGAACAAATCATGTTAGGCTGTCGCTTAGTATTATATGGTCCAAAAATTATAGTAGTAGGCTAGGAAATAAAAAAGAGGTAAATTGGTTCGTTTAAGTTCAGTTTTCATGCATCCGAATTTCGGGCGTTTTCTTAAAAAAATCACGTCATAAATATTTAAACATGTTTATGTAACATTATCATCCATCCATATAATTTTTACGAATTTCTTGGTTAATTATACATAGGTAGTTCTCAGATTAAAATGTTCTAAAGTCGAACAATCAATAATTTTATTAAAATTTCTAGGAATTTTGTGCCACCATATTGCTTTTAACAGAAAACAGCCGAATTTCGTATGGCCGAAAACTAGCGGTTAATTTCATGTATATCATTTAGTTATTTATCCAACTTCGTCCTTGATTTCACTTGTTTTCGTGTTTTACCTGTTGTTTGTGTTATTTAGCCTAAGATAGAAAATTGCGGTTTGCGCTGATAATTTGGAAATGTTGTGCTCTATTTAACTGTGCAAAGAGAAATATAGCCTCCTATTTAATTTTTTTATGCAAAAGCGCAATATCTGTTATGATGTCAAACAGCGCCCTCTAGCTACCACGAAAAAAATTACGGAAACAAAATTTATACTGGAGATCATTAAGGAAGAAAAGCTCTTTTAAACGAGCCCTAGTTTGTTTAAATCGGGTAACCCAAACCAGAGTTATCCTTATTTTAATAAAAGCAAGTTTAACCTTCCCCCACCACTTTATTTTATGAGATAGAGCAAAATACTCTATATCAAAAAAATTACAAATTTCTCGATGATTACAATAGTAATATTTAAAATACCTGTTCACGTGCATATTTTTGAGAAAACCCCTGTTTTCTGATTGGCTATCAGAGAAACGCCCTCCTAGCGGACATTTTTCGAACTTGAAAATAATTTCCAGCGATTTCTCTTGGTCGATTTACTTATTAGAATTTTTTCCCAAAGTTATACGATAAGTAGGTTCTGAGATACAGCCGGCGTCCATTCTTAATTAGCCACCCAGTATAGCAAATAAAAATATAAAAAAATTAAAGAAAATATAATAAAAATAAGAAACTTACCACACGACGTGGTAGATACAACTTCGTCGCCTTTCAAAAAGTATGCCATAAATTTCAAATTGTCTACATCCCCAGCGTAGATGACGTCATCGTATGCTCCATGTCCGGCATATCGGAAACCTTTCCCGAAAAGCATGGTCCAGAAGTATGGTACGCTCTTGATGGGTGTCTGCTTGCCCAGCATATTCAAAGCGGCCATTTTACCGTGGTAGTGGGCCAAACCATAATGTCCTACAATAAAAAATTTCCTGTTTAATTGAATCAGCTCATTCTTGATGGACACCCATAACTAGACTTATAACAAAATTAGAAAAAAACCAGACTTATGAAAAAGTTTGGTGTTTATTTTTATACACTCAGATGCAAAAAAGCGCAACAGGAATGTTTTTTTTGTGAAATTTAAAACCTATAATTATATTTTTTTTATTTTTAACCCAACTTTCATGGTTTTTTTGGCAAACTGTATATAAATATATCAACTTTAATCCGTAAACTCAGTTTTTTATAAAGTAACTGGGCTTAATTATACAGTGTTGATCGAATGGTTCATTTTTCCTTAAATTTAAAACACCCTTTGCAGTAATTTCGTAAACAAATTTTTCTAAAACATTATTTTTCTGTCATCATGTCACCTGGGCATTTTGTTATCATAGTACTAGCCATAAAATAATTAACTAGAAAGAAGTGTCAACTCTGTGTTAAATCGTGGAAACACGATACGCCACCGAAAGCCTTCGTTGTCGTCTGGAGAACTAACTTTCCAATTGACAGGTTGACATGATAAGGACATGATGGCTTAATTTTCATTTCCGTTTCCGGTTATTCAATGGCGGGCCCTCTTTCAGTTCAAATGTATTTTGTATTTTTTCTTTTCATAAATAAAACCAAAAAATAATTTATTCACACATATTTATTTGAAATATGGAACAACGTGACTAAATAAATATAAAAATATAGAGGATTGTATTGTTTCAATACCAATTAGTTAATTATATGCACTTTTAACGTAAATTAGTTAAGATATAAGCATGACTTACAGTAATTTGTAAATAAACACACGCATTCGCAAACTTCAAGGACAGAAAACGGACACAGCAATATGAAAACGGGATCCTTATACAAAAACCTGAAAACAGAAAAACAATTTTTTTATACTAAAATTAACAATGTAAAAATATCAGTAGGTATAAAATATAAATATACTGTTTAAAAAAAGCGTCCATTATTCTCAAAGAACCTGGCTTCAAAAAGATGCAAAAAGAGACTTTTAGTCGGATAACATAATCAGATTATCAGTCCGATTTATTGCATTATTGACAATAAATCGCACATACTGGAGATAACTAATGTTGGCTATAGTTAAAAATGATCTTACCTTGCTGTAGATTGTTTCCATTTTCAAAAAAATCGCCGGTCAAAGAGATTATGACACCATTTTCTTGCATCTAAAAAATGTAAAAACAGTGTTTATTTACTACCTATTTTTCATATACATGGTACATACCTACTACTGTATAAACGTCATTTTCTCCAGGATTCTTCATGTAATATATATTTTATATACTTTATATTCATTTCAGCCGAAATATTAAATTGAACTTCCAAAACGAAACTAAACGGAATGAATTAAAATGGCGTCGAATATTTTCGAATTTGTTCTAGAACAAATCTGAAGTTGTCTCTGAAACTGAAATCTGTCAATTCTAAACTCTGAAGTTAGACAATAGTTAGACACAAACAATGCTGTCCTTGTCTAGGCGGCCATACTTGTCGTGAGGAGAATGACAGGAATGACACTAATGACTGTTTCCAATTTTCCTATTTCACTGTCACCCCCCTGGTACTAGCAACGCACGTCGGAAAACAAGTATTTTAAGACGTCTGGCTCTTTGATATATCTTTTACTATGCTCTCTAGAACAGCATGCGGCCCGTCCGGCTGCCGGTAAACGTTGCGTTCCCTACTGCGGATTGAAAGAAGATCCTATATTTTTATTAGTCGTTTAAATTCTAGTATTGAATATAAACCGACCGAGTCTCCATAGCTCAGCGCGTAGAGGTTTCGCCTATCAAGAGTCAGAATTCGAAGACAAAAACTTTTTTATTTTATTTTCGTTTATATTCTGATAGTAAAGTACTAAATATTTGTTTTTTTTTGAATCACCAGAATTATTTAATACTTTACTATCAAAATATAAACGAAAATAAAATGCTACGTCTTTGCTGTCACTTGGATTCGAACTCTGAATCCTCGGTTCGTAGTCGAAAACTCTACGCACTGCGCTATGAAGACATGTTCGATTTATATTCAATACTAGAATTTATAGGACTAAATTAAAAAAATATATAGGATCTTCTTGCGATGCGCAGTAGTGAACCCAATGGGTATCGGCAGCCACAAGGGCTGCATGCTCTTCCAGAGAGCATAGTAAAAGATATATCAAAGAGCCAGACGTCTTAAAATACTTTCTCGAAAACGTTGCTAGCTCTTAGACTATGATGTCAACACATACCTTGGTTAATTTTTGAAGTGAACCAAGAATTTGAACTTTTTTCAATTATTACTTTTTGATATTATTCAATATAACGACTATTGGTGACTATTGTGGTAATGTCATATTACGCTGCATTGGATACTCTATACTAAATAAAAAAACGCCCAAGAGTAATAATACAGTGTAATGGTTTTAAACATTAATAACCATATCAGAACTAACAATATTAAAGAGAACAACTGTAATAACCAACTATACAAACAGAAAATAACTTATTAAAAAGTAAAAATTATAATACTTTATTGTATTGCCTGTCTTGGCTGAATAAACTGTTTGTAGACGTCCATTCATACTGTCAGTGAGTTGGTGATGATAACAATATAAAAAAAGTAATTTTAACGCCTAGGCATAAAAGTAAAGCACTTTTACGCCTAAACATAAAAGTACGAAAATATATTATTAAACTAACATAAAGTGTCAAAACCAACGAGCGTAATCATAGTTTCTCGATATATAATTACATACAAAGTAAGACTTTTAAATCATTTTATATTATTTGAAACGTTTAAAATTGTTTAAAAAATAATTTGTGGCTTTGAAAATAAAAATAACATGTTCTATTCGGAGTAAAAATGACTTTTTGTGCCTCGACTGTATGTCGGACTCGCTAACGCTTGGCAAACGTACAGCCTCGCCACAAAAAGTGTCATCTTTACTCCTAATAAAACAATATACTATTTGTTCTATTTGAAAGTAAGAAAAACATTATATTCAAAAATAATAAATTAAATTGAAACAAAAATTTAAATAAAAATTGTTATTAACTCACCAATTGCTACTTTTCTGTCATGATAAGACCACACTGGCGAATAAGCGATATCACCCCCTGCGTATACGTCAGGAATATTTGTTTGTAAATACTGGTTGGTTTCTATAGACCCGTCTGGCTGTAATTCGACACCTGATCCCTTCAAAAATTCGGTGTAGTAACCGCTACCTATACCCATAAACAGAATGTCGGCTTTCAAAATTTGACCGTCGTTCAATTCCACACTTGAAATAGCGCCCTCTCCGTTGTCATTGATCTTTTTAATGCCTGAAAGAAGATAGAACGGTGAATACGGGATCCTGCATCTACTGTATCGGCAAAAGGATGTCTTGGGTTAGTACCAAACAATGGAAAAAAATGCGTCAAAGATGGGTGAGGAGTGACAATCGATGATAATTTTGACGAGGTGAAGACGTTGCATTTAGTGTCAGTTGACCTTAAGAAGATTGTAATTTATTTTAATATTAAGTAAACATGCTTTTTAAATGACGTAGTTTAAAATTCGAGAAAAAATATTTTTGTAAATAGATTTGTGTGTCTGGAAACGTTCTGTCCATTTTTAATCCATCTATAAAATTAGTGGTAATTTTTAATAAGTTTTAAGTTATTATCGATTGTCTTTCCCCAGCCGTCTTTGACACCTTTTCTTTTTCGATCATACGGTACCCGCCTCACTTTTGAAAAAATGTGCAAATCTGTAGCGGGATCTGGTTATTTGGAAAGGTTATCTGGAAAGTTTGCCACTAAAATAAGAAACCGCCTATTGTTAATGCTCTGAGGGATTATTTTATAAAGAAAAAGCTTTCAATTAAAATTTTATTTCTTTGTTGAAGATTTTGCGATATACTGGTTTAGTTTTAGTTGGCATGGTGTGCTCTACATTTGTAGCGCATTCATCTCTACAAAAAAGTCCACTGGGTATTTCGCCCACTTGCAATCTAAAGGCTGTCGCTCACTAGACGGAAGCGCGCCGGAGCGCAAGGCAGCGCGGCGAAAAGGAATTTTTATAATACATAGTTTTAAATAGAAGCGCGCTCACTTGGCGGAAACGCAGCGGTCGCCAGCGAAACGATTTAAAACATGATTTAAAACTATGTATTATAAAAATTCCTTTTCGCCGCGCTACCGTGCGCTTCGGCGCGCTCCTCTCTAGTGAGCGCCAGTCTTAAAGCTTCATTCAGAACCGCACAATTAGTGGAACAAATTAGTGGTTTCAATTACACTTTATACTTTTTAGTTTACGATCATTCACAATGTTTAAAAAACACAATTAAAATTAATACAATATCCTACCAACAGCTTGTGTTCATAGAGTATCCATAGAGAAAGTCTAATATTTAGCTTATAAAACAATCAACTTTTGATTTCTAACCTCAATTTCTCTTGACGAAAGATAATCAAAGGTCAAGTTGACATTTTTCGCAAATTTTGAACTATAATTAGTGGCAAAGTTTGATAACTTTTTCTACTAATTGAAAATGTCTACCACTAATTTTGACGTTCTGAATGCTTACTTTGGAATTAAAGGAACAAACTTCTACGCTAATGAAAACCACTAATTTATTCCACTAATTGCGGGGTTCTGAATGAAGCTTTAGTGTTTTATTTTGCAGTCTAATTTGTAAACATTTAAAAATGACATCGCGTTTTATTGAAAATTTCAAAATTTCTCAAGGAACTCGTTAAATAAAAAAGGTCGAGAAAGCATAAACCCTACTTACCACTATTAGGAATAAATTTAACTCCCTTGTTCTCAAACATCTTCAAAATGGCCAAACCGATTCGCTCTCCCCACATATTTATAAAAGGTGCGTTACTTCGACCGATCACAGTGACGCTCTTCACTTTGTCAACGCAATAGTTTGCCGCTTCCATTCCGATGAAACTCGATCCAAGAACGACAATTTCTGCTTCTGGATTAAGTTGTGAGTAGGCATACCTAAAACAAAACGATATTGAGCTAATAGTATTAGATTAGATTAGATTTGATTCTTAGAGGTGGCTTCCGGCCTGATCCACTGCGACCTTCTCAGATCTATTGTGGTCCTCTTCTGATCCTTAGATTACATTCTCCAGTCCTATCCTTTTCACAAAGTTTAGCAACTTGGAGACTGAACCCTCCATGTAGCTCCTTGGCAATGGCCTATCATTGCCTATTACCGGGAACCGCACATTTGCCAGGCTGTCACACCGACATAAAATGTGTTCTCACGTTTCTTCTTCAGATTGGCAGAACCTACACATAGCTTCGTCTGTCAATCCCATCAGCTTTAGATGCCTATTTAGCTTACAATGCCCTGTTAGTAGACCTACTACAGCTTTGACTGTCTTTCTGTCCTTGCTTATCAAGTCTACCGTGAATTTTGGCGAATGTTCTACAATGAACCTTTTCGCCTGTCTCTGCCCTGGTGAGTTTCTCCACCATTCTAGAGATTTGTTGGCCACCCATCGTTCTCGTGACCGCCTTTGCAACACCGCAGAAGGGTTCTTGGTCCTTTTATCTGCCTTTTCGTTACCCTTGTGACCCTCGTGCCCTGGCACCCAGGCCAACGTAACAGTGCTACGTCCGCCTAAAGTATTCAGAGCACGCACACAGTCCCACACTAGTCTAAAATTGACCTCCGCGGAGCCGAGTGACTTTAGCGCCGCTTGGCTGTCTGTGAAGATGGCTACAGAACGATTTGTTCTTTCTTGCCTTAATATTTCTTCTACACAATAGTGGATTGCCGTTATTTCTGCCTGGAAAATTGTGATATCCTTAGATAGGCTTACTTGGAAGGATCTCCCTTGTTTCGGCCCTACTATCCCAGCTCCTACGCCTTCTGACGTTTTTGAGCCGTCTGTATACCAGGTTGCCTCAGCTTGAATGGGTACACCTTTACTCCAGTCTTCCCTTCCTGGTATGGTTATATTAAATTTGTTGTTGAAGCTATACCTAGTAGCTGTTGCATCAATTGGTAATCCCAATACTTTGTCTGCTTTTAGCTCTTCGATTAGCTTCTGGTTAGCAGCACTATGCGTTTGGCTTATGTGCTGCTGACCGTGAATTAACCTGTGCATGACAGATCTGGCTTCGTCTTGTATGAAAATATGTAGTGGTGGTAAGTTCAACAAGACTTCCATCGCATTGTAGGAGTGGTTTTTATGGCCCCAGTTACACACAGGCACGCAAGCCTTTGTGTGGAACTTAACAGCCTTACCGCACCCACTTGCGATGTCTTTGTCTTCCACGCCACCGACCCGTAGGTTATCATGGGTCTTACTACCCTTGTGTATAGCCATAGAGTCATTTTAGGGTTAAGTCCCCAGTTTTTTCCACACATCCCTCTGCACCTACCTAAAGAGATGGCAGCCTTCTGTGTTGCCTTCGCAATGTGAGTATTCCATGTAAGCCTTTGCTCAAAAAATATCCCAAGATACTTTGTTTCTTTGGCAAATGAAATCTCCGTTTCTCCTAGCACTGGTGGTTTTAGGCCTTTTGGTGCTATCTTTTTTGTAAAATTGACAATTTGTGTTTTCTGAGCATTGACTGTCAGTCCCTCTTGTTTGCACTACTTGTCAACTTTGTTTAGGGCTGTCTGCATTCTTTCTGATATCATACCGAGCTAATAGTATAGGATCCTGCAGCCTGCAGGATTACTACGCTCATCATGTATATTTGATATCAATTAAACTTTTCGAGGACGTGTTTTTTGAATTCATCTTTGGTCAACCATGGAGATATCCGCGCGGCGCCGGGCTGACTAACTGCAATTTAATTTTCCCGCAGGGGATTCAGGTGGTAGCTCTGCTGTAAAAATGTCAAGTTGCCACATTTATTTATTTATTTCCTGACATTGTCATTCGTTTTGACACTTATTAGTTTGTTCAGTCTTTAAAAAAAATAATCAGTAGTTTTATACAGGTGCGGTTGAAAAGTTATTAGTCTTCAGTTAAAAAGTATGTAGGTGGCGCCTTCTACAAGTAGGAGCTATATTGACATCGAAATCAAATTTCTCATGTCAAAAAACACCCAGATACCAATTTTCATCCAAATATCGTCAAACGTTAGTTCAAAAATGATATTGAAAAAAAAACGAAATAAAAATAAAATTTCTACACCCTGTATGTCCGAAATTACGTATTTTGGGACATACATTAATACGAATTTTTTTACTTATTTTTATCTGCAGAATACGCGCCGAAATTTCCCGACTACAATTCGAACAACCCTGTATATAAAAATATAAATTACATTTTTATCAAATTTAAAGTAACGTTAGATTATGTCTCCAGAATAATACTTACACCGAGTCTGAATAATCCTTCAGAACTAAAACGTTTTTCAAACTAGAACCTGGATTGTTCAATTTTCTCGGTTTGCAGCCCGTGGCTACAAATAACTTGTCATAAGGGATCTGTTTTCCATCAGATAAAGATACTGTTTTCGCCGATGTGTCCACTCCAATAGCTTTAATACCCTAAAATCATTCATAAGGCTTAAGAAATTAGAAAACACATGTAAAAACGTAGAGTAGAGAGAGAGAGAGAGAGAGAGAGAGAGATTTTGAGTAATAATATAAAATGACAATGGACACTCATGTAACTACTCTAATAATTTATTTACATCATTAATGTCACGTATAATAAATTTATAAGAGAACAGTTTAATCACAGGTTTCATCGACATCCCCTGCTACAATATTTTTTGTCCCATCCACTGAAGGTATTTTTTATATTATACACGTATCTGTATGTCTGTATCTGTCTGTGTTTATTGAGGAAACTCGAACATGTGCCGATTTCGAGTGAAAGGCGTTTTTTTGACAAAATAAACTGAACTCGATTGACAACAACCGTCAATTTATAAACAGATTATTAATACAATAGTAATCTGGCAACAAACAATGTTCCTACCAGCAGCGTTAATACAAATATACCGGAAGATTAATAAATGTAACATTTGTATCTTTTTAAAATGGGACAAAATATACTAAATTCAGTAAGAAATATAATAATCTAGGTACCATGGGAATTATAAAGTGTTGATAACATCGGGCAATTATTGAACTTTGCCCTCGGTAATTAACACCCTTATAATTAACTTTACACATAAACAACCATTACCTTCAAAACAGTAATGTCATGATCCTTATAATACTTATCAGTTCTAAATTCTGCTTTCTCTATCTCAAAGTCCATAGCTTTGCTAACTTTAACTCTATCATAAGGCAAGTAGTTTTCTCTACATACTAAAGTAATATCACCTTGAAATCCTGAAAGAAAAACAAAACGTAATATTTCAGCGAGGTTTGCCATACAATTTTGCGTATAAAATGATAATCATCTTCATTTCCATGCCAACTCTGACGCCGTTTTTTTTTCAAACGTAAAAGTTAACAAGTATTTCTTACGCTTCGTTTCTTTCTTTAATGTGAATTATCACGTTTATAACATTGAAATAATCACGCTAAAAACCACATACTAAGTTTTTGCGGTTTAACGTGTTTAAATACTCATTATAATAACCGCAAAAATTAGTTATAAAACTGATATATTTATACAAGGTGTCCACGATTACAAAGGTAAGTGAATTCGAAAATAATGAATTGAAATCTTCTAAACCTGATGACATTCTCTAAAAAATGAAAACTGAACATTTTTAGAATTATTACTTCTTTTTCGGCCAATCAAAAAATAGGATCTTTCTGGATGATTCATGCGCAGGTAAAAATCTGTTAATCCCATCAGTTTTAATGCTTATTGAGCTTACAATGTTCTGTTAATAGATTTACAGTTTAGACAGTTTTTTTTTGATAATGTCGTTATAATTAATTATAGATAAAATCAACTGTATTAACTAATCATTTTTGAGTAAACGAGTCTAGAATTTTTTATATACCTAATATAGGTATGTTGTCTAAAGAATTCATATTATTTAATATCTAATCTGTCGAAACAACAATAATACACTTCCTTAATTTATAACATGATTTCATATACCGGGTGTTTTTCAAAAGTGGTTCACACCTATAACTTTTTTATTTATTTTTTCAAATAAAAAAACCAGATTTGGTATATTAGTGTATGACATAAATCGGAATTGATTGACGTATTCAGATAGTTTCGGACACCACCTGTTTCATCGGAAATGACTACAACTTTTGCTTTTTAAATGGTATTCTCGGTATTTACTTCATTTGATAGAAAATGACATTCTGAAGAGAATGACATATCATATGTCAAGTTTTATAACATTTTCGTTAAAAAAATAGTACCGTATAATTGAAAAAAAATTGGTCAAGTGTGAGTCAGACTCGCGCACGAAGAGTTCCGTACCATTAATTATCTATAGGGAAATTAAAATAACTTTCGTTGCACATCATAATACGACCACCAGCAAACTCGATAAGACGACGCATGGTGTCATTGATGACGTGCAACGAAAGTTGTTCCAATTTCCCTGCATACAACATTAGACACTATATTATTATTATAAACTTTTTTTTCCGATTTGGCTGAAATTTTGAATGCGCGTATAAGTAATTTAAAGAAAATGAAGAAACACTACTAAAAATTGTATTAATCAATAATATAGGATGTCCCAGGCTGAGCGTGCATTAGAAGTTTCTAGAGAACCACAATATCTAGATCGGAGATTTTTTGCATATCATTGTTTTACAACGAGATCTATCGATTAAAAATATTTTCAATATGGCGGCACGTCCGGAAATACCGGAAGTAGAACTCTCTTATTTTAAATGGCCGCACCTATTTTTTATTACATACTCAAATTCTCTGTAAAATTCTATGAATATTGATGTTAAACACTCTATATCTGAAGTTAACGGTTTTTGAGAAAAAAAAATATTTAAAATTTTTGGACGAAAAAAAGTACCTGGCAAAAAAAATTTGTATAGCATAAGAGTCAAATTTAGTAATTGCTACAGCTACTATGACATAAAGAGAAGACATGTAGCTACCTATTTCAAAAATTAAATTGTTCAAATGTCATATAATAATGGCGGTAGCTGTCATGGAATTGAGCGATTAAAAAAATATCATAAATAATTTTTTTCAAATGGAAACCCACTTTTTTATTTCACTAGTGAAAAGATTTTACAATTCGTTACTTTTTAACTATACATGTTCCTATACCAAAAGTAAATAGTTTTTAAGTTATTTAAGATTTAGTTTGAAAACGTATATTTTTCTTGATTATATCTAGCTTCCTTTGACATTAAGTGTCAAAAAGTTAGACAATTTATTTCCATCTGTCAGAAAACAAATTATTTGAATTTCCTATATTGTAAATACTGTTTCCTTAAAAGTTTAAAAAGTGTATTTATAAAAATATGTCTCGTATTTTCGCTCCTTAGTGATATTTAATAGTTGATATTAATTATATTAATAATATACTGTATCCCCTGTAAACCCTGAAAAAAAAACAATGCAAAGTTGGCTTCCAAATGATGATCGATAACATATTGCTTTTGAACAAAGTGTCACAATATGACATAGCCAGATCTATTGTTTTACATCACTTGACGTTTAAAGTCATAGGCTACTGGTTAAAATCAAGAAAAATATACACTTTAAAACTAAATTTTAAATAACTTAAAAACGATTTATTTTAGGTATAGGAACATGTATAGACAAAAAGTAATGAATTGAAAAGCCTGTTCACTAGTGAAAAAAAAAGTGGGTTTCCATTTGAAAAAAATAATTTATGATACTTTTTTAATCGCTCAATTCCATGACAGCTGCAGCCATTATTATATGACATTAAAACAATTTATTTTTTGAAATAGATAGGCGCATGTCTTCTCTTTATGGCACAGTGACTGTGGTAATCACTAAATTTGACGTTTAGACTATACACATATTTTTGACAGGCAGTTTTTTACGTCCAAAAATATTTTTTTTCTCAAAAACGGTTAATGTTAGGTATAGGGTGTTTGATATCAGAATTCATAAAATTTGACATAGAATTTAAGTATGTAATAAAAAATGGGAGCACCCATTTAAAATAAGAAAGTTGTCGTCAACTTCCGGTATTTCCGGAAGTGCCGCCATATTGAAAATATTTTTAATCGATAGATCTCGATAGATCTCGTTGTGAAATAATGATGTGCAAAAAATCTCCGGTCTAGTTATTCTGGTTCTCTAGAAACTTCTAATGCACGCTCAGCCTGGGACACCCTGTATATAGGTAAAAAGTAAAAATAAATATGTAAAAATATGTAAAAATTAAAAAAAAAAACGATTAAAAAAAAATTCGCCTTGACTAGGATTTAAACCTGCCTTACTACGGCTCCAACGTCATAGCAGCGTAAAGCCCTAACGCTTTAATCCACGCAGCCATCGAGGACTTCAAAGATTCTATGTAAAATTCTTACTTAAAAGATAATGTTTAGTGAAAGTACTTTTTTATTTATAAACATTTATTTAATTCTGTTTTAGTATTTGTTCTTATAGCGGCAACATAGACACATTATCTGTAAAAATTTCAACTGTCTAGCTATAACGGTTCATAAAATAGACCTTTGTGACAGACGGACGGACAGCGAAGTCTTAGTAATAGGGTTCCCGTTTTTACCCTTTGGGTACGGAATCCTAAAAACGGCGTCCAGTTGGCTTGGAAATGACGATCGATGACATTCCCCATTATTTCATAGCTATCGCTGATGCCGTTTTTTTTTCAATCTTATTGTATTTTAAATTTCTTTAAAGTTAATTTTTAAACTTTTGGCGAAGTTTGTTCTGTCATATTGTTGTACGCAAAAAAAAACTAGGCTTAAGCTTAATGGTGAATTTATGCATGGCATCCGTAATGCGTCGCTCGTCGATCCATCACTCCAATCATATTTAAGTAAGAGCTGTCATTTTTAAATAAACCAATAAAATTGCATAAAATTAACGACGGACAACGCATTACGGATGCATAACTCACGTGTGCCCACACTAATAGTTCAAGAATTCAATATCTTCAATTTTGTTGCAATTTTTTGGTACACACTGTAGGTTTTAATTATTTCAAAATCATAAGAAAATGAGTTTTATCTCTCACAAGTATTAAACAAATTGATATCAATAAGATTATAGTAACATGCTGGTATTTTATTTTTATAAAAACTACAATTCATGCCCTCACACTTATTGATTGATTATTATTGTATTGGTTATCCTAAAGAAAAACTGCTGAATTACTTATGTTGTTATTAAATTACTAACTTCCTGTACAAGCAATGTTAATAAACGGAATAGATATATGCTTATATCGGCAAATTACTAATGAATCCAATAATTTGATTGTACTTAAACTAGCAGTAAATTAAAATACTTGCTTGACTGATATCTAAATGTGCGATCCATCAGGATCATTCATTTATTATTTTATCCTTTCTGAACATGGATATTTATAATTATAAATAACTAAGAAGTTAATAATACATTCAAATGAATTAATGATCGTGCATAAAACCCTAAAAATATATTTTAAAAACTTTTTAATTGGAATGTTTAATACAGGGTGAGGCATCTATCGCTCCTATAATAAAAAAAAACTTATTATTTTCACTTAAGTACAAACATAAAGTATGTACTAGGTAGGATGTATTTCAGTAAAATATTTTAACTTCTACATGGTGGCTCAGAAAGTGTGAGTGAATTGTGTTGAAAGTGTTGAATGTTTTTTTTTAATTGAACACCCTGTATATTCTTGCATTTTTGGTTTCCTTCCTGAGCACTTTACATAATCCTAGGATACTATTAAATATTTTTTTGATAGTTTCAGAGATATTAATAAACAAACAAAAAACATATACAGGGTGGCGCACCTCATTCGCCTCGGTTGATTATACGAAAACGGAAAGATGTAGAAACAAAATATTTTATGGGTATATGTAGGGAGGCAATGTGCACAATTTAAAATTATTTTGAAATATACAGGGTGTCTCAGAACTAAGATTCATACCAAAGTTATATTTTTTCTTATGGAACGCCCGGTATTTTATTTCTTGGGCCCAAAAAAAGGAATTTATTATAAGGATTGAATATGTTTAAAATCATTGGTTTTTGAGATATTTAAAGATATTTAAATATTCATGCTACAGGAGAATTGAGTATCAACCCTGTACGTTATTTTTCAGAATTAATTCTTGTGCTGAGTTTAAAGGTAAAGAAATAAACTTTACTGAAAAATGTTATTGTTTCCTTAAATTTATACAGGGGTACCAAAAATTAGTGACCTATTTTACGGGTTTATTTTACATAAAAACTTTGTTATTTCAAATGCAATACCCTGTATTTTTTTAAATAAATCGATGCCGATTCAAATGCTCTTTCAGACTATATTAGGGTTTCCTATACCTATCTATCTCAGATTTTGAATAAAAAGCGATTTTTAAATAAAATGGCAATCAAGATCGTTGGTATCGCCATGGCAATTTTCTAGTGACAGTTATTAGGTATTTTCAAAATCGACATTAGTGTATGGACATTATTATTTAAACAGTTTACTAAATTTTACCCACAATAGTTTAATAAGTAAGTATTCTTTATTTTATGAAGAAACATAAAGCCATATCTGGTGGTGGAACGAATGGATATGTTACTGGTATAGTCTATAAAATGAATAACTTTGAATTTTGACCGTTATTTTTTACCAACATGGCAAATATAAAATCCCTCTATCAAAAAAGTTACTGATATTCATTAAATTGAGTGCCTGGACTTTGGCCTGAACGAATCAGATAGGTAACTCTTTTTACTTTCGTGAAATAGAAAAGGAAAATAATAAAACAAGTGACAATTTTTCCTCTGGAAGTGAAGAAATTGAATTTGCCGTAATTGGCTCTTTATAAAAAAATCATATATCTACAGTTTATCGTTAAAAAAAAACTACTTCTTCCTTTTTCTTGGTAGAATAATAAATACATATTAATAAATATCATTTATTAAACTATTGTAGGTCAATTAAATAAAAGTAAACTGGTATAGATTTAAATAAAGTCTATAAACTAATGTCTAAATGTCTAAAACTAGAAAATTGCCAGCCATCTTGATTGCCATTTTATTTAAAAATCGCGTTTTATTCAAAATCTTAGACATAAGAAACCCTTATATAGTTTGAAAGAGCATTAGAATCTGCTTCGATTTATTTAAAAAATACAGGATGTTGCATTTGAAATAACAAAGTTTTTATGTAAAATAAATCCTTAAAATAAATAACTAATTTTTGGTACCCCTGTATAAATTTAAGGTAGCAATAACATTTTTCAGTAAAGTTTATTTCTTTGCCTTTAAACTCAGCACAAGAATTAATTCTGAAAAGTAATGTACACTGTATTGATAATCAATTTTCTTGTAGCATGCATATTTAAATATCTGTAAATATCTCAAAAACCAATGTTTTTAAACATATTTAACCCTTATAATGAATGTCTTTTTTTGGGCCCAAGAATCTAAAAATGAAATAAAATACTGAGTGTTCCATAAGAAAAAATATAACTTTGATATAGATCTTAGTTCTGAGACGCCCTGTATATTTCAAAATAATTTTAAATTGTGCACATTGACTCCCCACATATACCCATAAAATATTTTGTTTCTACCTCTTTCCGTTTTCGTATAATCAACCGAAATGAGGTGCGCCACCCTGTATTTCAGCGATTTTTGAAAAAAATATTAAAAATGCAAAAAATGACCTGAAATTAAAACTATAGATACTAAGTATTTACTATAATTCGTCTGTACACAACTTTGCTATAAATATTGTAATCTTAAATCAAACTGGGTGTTTAAAATTCCACGCCAATAGATTAAATAAAATAATTTCTCTTCGTTTTATAAAACGAAACACCCTGTATATTATTTTCTTGTTAGTTGCAGAATTTAAAAAATGAATATTTGTTGTATTCAGCATAAGCAGACCTTTAAAAAACCTATTTACGACTCAGCTGAAAAATTAATAGGGCAGCCAATATTTGGGCAGTTCAAAATTTGCATGGGATTTCCTATATTTCCAACGACGATGCACCACCCGGTATATGCCCTTTCAACAGTAAATTTTTACTAAAACCACTGATGATTTTTGTCTGGTAGTTTACCGTTGAAAGAACCATAATACCGCGAATATCTGCAAAACCATTAAAAATGTTAAAATCTTCCAATCATCCCAATTGTCCCACACTTCTACCCACAATGTAGAAGTTAAAAAAAAATATTTTCCTGAAATAGGCCCTCGTATATACATATTTTGGGTATGCACTTAAATAAAATTCCTAATCCTATCTTTAAAATAAATACAATAAATTATTAGAATACCTTCTTGTCTCAGTGTCTCAACCAATGTAGCACCTGCAGGACCTCCACCGATAGCCACAATTTTCTGTGGTTCCGCAGAACTTTTCAGAACCATTGCTTTTTCTCTTTTATTGGTCGACAGTTCAGACTTCCTAGCTCTAACCTTAACATTGTCATCTTCAATAGTAACTTTATAGCAAGGCAAGGAATCCAGCCCTTTAAATAATTGACATCTTATTTTAAAACTATTATATAACATTTGAAAAACTATAAGTACCTGGAAAATCCTCAATATCTCCTGTAGCCAGACTGAAACATGCTCCATGCCACTGACATCTCACTCTGCCATCTCCCAGAGCCCCGTTTACTAAAGGAGCACCATAATGGGTACATTTTGTTCCGAGGGCACTTATTTTACCATTCTGTTTTACCAGCAATACCTTTTGTACATTCAGTTCGAAGGTTTTCATTTCATTTTCATTAATATCTTGCACTTTACACACCACATCTTCCACAAACTCACTGTCATCGTCCTGAGTAGTTACAGTTGCTAAAAAAAGTATAATGTTGAATATTAAAAGGAAAACATAGGAATGCAGATATATTTTCTATGAAACGCGGTGAATTATTAGTTTTAATGAATATGGCACAGTAATATTTAATAAATTTAAAAGAAATTTACACATTCTGTATCTCGATATTCGTCTGGGTATGTCAGAAAACAGAAATTTGAAAGAACGTTTAGTAAAACAGGTAAGAAAACACATCTTGATCTTGATTTTAGGTTATGTTTATTTTGCCTGTTCCGTTTACGGTCTTTCGGACAGGTGTTTTTGACATTAAAAAATCAATTGCGATTGTCAGTTTAAATGGTCGGGTACTTACATTTTGCAATTTCGAGTTTAGAAGAATTACATCCCATGATTGCCGAAAAAACTTAGAATTTAAAGAGCCACAAATCAATACATAAGGCGTGAGACCTACAAACACAAACACTAAACGAATAGTGAAAGGAATAAGGAATTTCTTAATTCCAACTCCATTTCTAATTAGGATATCTTGCCAAGGTTGTATTGCATCATAGATATGATATGACGACATGTTCCGGCGAGGAATTTCCAAGGAGATTCTTACCCTGCCCATTTTTTAAAGAAAAAATGTTTATTTTGTTCTAGTCGTCGCTTTAGATAAATATTAATAGAAGATAATGAAGAGCTAAAAAATATTTTGGATTTAGTTATGTTAAAAATGTTTCTTTTATGGTAGTTTATTGTTAAAAAAGGATTTAAATTTTATTCATTTTAAGTATTTATGACAAAATGGCGAAGGCGAATTTAAAAGAAGAGATTATTTAGAATATTGAAAAAATAAAAGTTGTTGACTATTTGGTGAATGATTAATATAATTTAAAATGTTTTTTTTACAATGCTTTTTTTAGGAGTTTTAGCTAGAGGTCACCAATAAGCATAATAACAAAAAATAATCGTAAAAAAAACGGAGTCAAGTTAGCTTAGAAATGACGATCGTTAATGACTCTTGTTTTATTGATAATACCTTGATGAACGAATTAGAAGAAAAATGGGCTCAACTTGTCTAAAACACGCCCTGAAGACTATAGTTTTGATGTAACATATTTCGGCTATACTAAAGTCCGAAAAATGAAAATGATGCATTTCCGCAGGTACAAATATACAAAAATATTTGTACACCTAACGCCTTCTAGAACGCATATATAAAGTATTTTTTTATAACAGATTTCGGCTAAACGAAAGTTCACCCGAAAAATGCGATACAGACTCACCCACCAAGGGTTCTGTATAAAGACTATATTTTTATGATTTAATTTGATTTATTACAGTTGAGGGTTGGAACCTTTGGTGTTACACAGCAAAATAAAAACACTAAATCACCACAATACACCAAAACACTTTTACTTTTACACTTTAAAACACATTATAAACTGATTTAAAACAATTCAGTTTATAATCATCTGCTGATGATGCTAACATGGTTAGCGAAACGCGCGTCCAGTGTAAAAGCAAAAGTGTTTTGGTGTATTGTGGTGATTTAGTGTTTTTATTTTGCTTAATTTGATTTAATATAAATTGTATAGTTTCAGAGTTTTTTCTACACGCCGGTTTCTAAAACGGTATTACTTGCCAAGTTTCATATAACTTGTACTTGTCAGTCAACGGAAAATAAAAATATACATTTTGATACTGTTGAGAGTGTCGAAATATTTTTTTTTTGCGGCATAAACGGCCGTATTTTTTTTACGTTAACTTAGAAGTTCGATTTTTTCACAGCTTTAAGGAACTCTTGACCTAAGTATATGGCTTTAATTTCAATTGGATATATCCACGCATTTCCGAGATAACTGTCTTGACAGATAGACGGACGGAGGGACAACAAAGTGATCCGGTAAGGGTTTCGTTTTTCCTTTTGAGGTACGGAACACTAAAATAATAAGACACTTCAATCATTTTTAAAGCGAATTTTATTTATGTAATAAATTGTAAACGAATGTCGCGAGAATGTTGAAAATTCTAAACAATTTTCGATATTCTCGCTTTAAAAAATGGTATTATATCAATCTAGAGTGCCATGGCTGCCTTAAAAATTCTAATTTTTGATCAAGGAGCCTTGTAAAAATAAATTTCATCGTCTAATGTTTTTCGTGTCTTGTCCTGGTTAGCCTCCGATTAAAAGATGTCCAAATCGTACTTTTAATCAATCTGATTTTTTTCAAATGGAACGAGGGTGGCTCATTAGCATATTTGGAAAAAGCAAGGAAAATTTTTTTACGAATAATTTGGTACCACACGCTTGGTATTTTGAGTCAAATTGTCGTCACATTTATGGTCATGGCACTCGAAATTAAAATTTAAACTGATACTTCTTTTTAGTTGAAAATGTCAAAACTTGACATATGTCATTCTATTCAGAATGTCATTTTCTATCAAATGGAGTAAAAAATACAGAGAGTGTCATTTAAAAATCAAAAGTTGTAGTCATTTTTGGTGTAACAGGACGCAACCGAAAACAATTGAATGCGTCAATCAATCCCAATTTATGTCATATGCTAACATACCAAATATCGTTGTTTTATCTAAAAATTTAAAAAAGTTATAGGGGTGAGCCACTTTTGAGAAACACCCGGTATGTAAAATAAAATTCAATTTTTAGTACAAAAAATCTTTATTTACAGATAAATTTCTTCTTACATACTAAAGTACATATATTATTTTCCCCAGCCTCCGCCATATCCACCTCCAAAACCAAAGCCTCCTCCAAATCCGCCTCCACCTCCTCCGCCACCTCCACCGCCACCTCCTCCTCCGCCCCCACCTCCGTAACCCCCACCACGTCCATAACCTAAACCTCCTCCATGACCGCCTCCGTAATGTCCTCCGTAACCTAAAACATTTAAAACGGTGATAAATTCCTTACATCTTATAATACCTAGAAAAATGAAATATCTTCTAAATTTCTTCAACAGCGGTGACGTAAGTCAAAAACTTAACTAACAAAAAAAAGAAGTAATAGTAAAGAAAATATATTATACAGGGGTGAGTCTTAAATAAGTAGAAATATTTTTGGGGTGGTATATTTCGACCCCAGAAACACGTCTATGAGTTTTTTTGTTCACACATTGAAAATCGTGCATTTACTTTTAAATTTTCCTGTATATTTTAAAAAACTTTTTAGGACTGCCTCTGCACCGAAAATTTTCCCACGGTATAATTTCTTAATCTCTGATTACCATGGTTACGGCTTTACTCTATGGATACGACCAAAGACGATAGGTACGACAATAAAAGGGATGCAAATCAGTGATGACCTCTAATGCAAATACAAAAAAAAGAATCCGGTGGCTCTCAACATTTTTTAAAATAAATATTTTTTTTTCAAACGTTATAAAATTTTAATTTTTCTACGTGATTGACAATATAAAAGTCTAGGCAAAAAAGTAAAGCACTTTTACGCCTAAGCATAAAAGTACGAAAATATATTATTAAACATACACGCATGCAGACATAAAGTGTCAAATTCAACGAGTGTGACCATAGTTTCTCGATATACAGGGTGGTCCGAACTGTATTCCGGAAACTTCGGCAGCATGTTCTGCAGATAAAAATAAGTAAAAAAGTTCATATAAATGTATGTCCTAAAAGGCTTAGTCTCGGAGATACAGGGTGTAGAAGTTTCATTTTTATTTCGATTTTTTCCAAATAATTTCTAAAGTCTAAATAAGTGTTAATAATATTTGGATAAAAATTGGTGTCTGGGAGGTTTTTGACCTGAGAAATTTGATTTCGATACCATTATGGTTCCGACTTGTAGAGGGCGCCACCTACGTATTTTTTAACTCGTTTAATAACTTTTCGTTCGTACCTGTATAAAATTAGCTAGTTAAAAAATATACATTTGCGACATTTTTTACGTAAAAAAGGTCTCTTGGTAAAAATCGCTACGAGTAATGGTTCTCGAGATATTTGGAATCGAAATTACAAAAAACCTGTCATTGACATAAATTAAACATGTTGACTAATTAGTTATTAAACTAAAATCATAAATTTGATATGTTTTTGTGCCAAATGTTCAACAGAAACTGGTCTATCATCATTTTTTCGAAGAAAAATTTATGATTAGTTTAAAAAAATAAAAAGTTCCCAAATTTCTCATTTCAATCAGATAACTATCTACTCAACATGTTTATTTTTAGTCAATAATGACAAGTATTGACTATTTCCATTGTAAATATCTTGAAAACGGTTGCTCGTAGCGATTTTTACCAAGAGACATTTTTTACGTAGAAAATCACGGAAATGTATATTTTTTCACTCAGTAATTTTATACAGGTACGGACAAAAAGTTATTACTCTTCAAAACAGTTAAAACACATGTAGGTGGCGCCCCTTACAAATAGGAGTCATATTGACATCAAAATCAAATTTCTCATATCAAAAAACTCCCAGACACCAATTTTTATGCAAATATTGACGTTACTTCAGAAATTATTTTTAAAAAATCGAAATAAAAATGAAACTTCTACACCCTGTATCTAAGAAACTAAGCATTTTAGGACATACATTTATATGAACTTTTTTACTTATTTTTATCAGTAATATATGCTGCCGAAGTTTCCGGAATACAGTTTGGACCACCCTGTATAATATACAAGGTATGACTTTTAAATATGTTTATATTATTTGGAACGTTTGAAATTGTTTAAAAATTTATTTGGTGGCGTTTGAAAAAATAGCATGTTCTATTTGGAGTAACTATAACTTTTTGTGCCTCGGCTGAATGTCAAACCTACAGCCTCGCCACAAAAAGTGTCATTTTTACTCCTAATAAAACACTATACTATTTTTTTTTTATTTTCAAACTGAATAACTTGGTTATTTTGGACTTTGAAAAACGGTAACGAGAACATAATAATATATTTCTTTTATAGAGATCTACCAGTCCAGAAAATATTTGCCCTTATTTAAGACTCACCCTGTATAATAAAAATAATAAACGTAAAAACTTTTAGAAAAACTTATAGTATAGATATATGCGTTATAAGTCCGGTAAATCACACAACAATTACAGTATGAGTGAGATGTTTATTATATGAGTACAGGTGAGATGTTTTAGAGTCCAGCATTTCGAAGGCGAATACTGTAAAAGTTAATTGCAGACAAATGACGTACAAAAGTTTATTTCATGCTGTTTGGACGAAAGCTATTTTTTTTTAAATAATAAATATCTTTTAAACCGCTTATTATGTATGTTTTGGATACAATTATTGTATCTACTGTTGGAGGTTGGAGACATTATCAGTACTCATATAAAATTTGAATTGTAGAATGCTTTTGGATCTCCACGTAACGCAACTGATCTATACAGGGTGTCCCAGAAATAAGTGCAAGTATTTTAAGGGGTTGTAGATCTCGATAAAAGAAACATATTTTCTCTTTATCGTTTTTCAAATAAGTCCAAAATAACGGAGTTATTTTACTTTGAAAATTTCTAATAAAAATGATTTTTGGCCAAAAATTTTGAGAACCACTGGATCTTTTCTGGATTTTATTTCTTGTAAATTTAATCTAATACCTATGTTGCCATATTATCAAGAAATTATGTTTTTAACTAAAAACTAAAACAAAATTCCAAAAAATTCGAATTTTCAAAATATTTTCGCGAAAAAACCATGGGCGTGTTTCTGGGGTTAAACTATATACTACCAGTTAAAATACTTGTACTTATTATTTTTGCGACATCCTGTATAATTTTATTTACATCAGAGTAGAATCGCTTAAAAGTTAGTACTCTTGAAGAAATTATTTATTTAAAAAAACCTGATAAAATGATGAAATAAATCTAACCTCCCGAGTGTCCTCCTCCATATCCGCTGCTATACACCTTTTTGACCACTATCACAGTAGCCGGCCTTGAATAGTATCCTCCACCATGACCTCCGCTATATCCCCCTCCGTAACCTCCTCCGTAACCTCCACCGTAGCCTCCACCGTAGCCACCTCCGTAACCTCCAAATTTCTTGAACAAGGTCGGACTGCCCGAGACAGATGTCAGGGCAAGGGCTAGTACGAGGAATATCACAGCCTGAAACAAAAAAAAAGTTATAATAGTTTACAAACATACTTTCTCCATGCTTTTTCTAAATATGCTAACGAGCCACCTTCGTTTTATTTGAAAACATTGAGTTAAGAATAATACAGTTATAAAAAATTATTATTGGCCAAAAATAAACATGTCGAGTAGATAGTTATTTGACTCAAATGATAAATTGGGGAACTTTTTATTTTTTTTTTAAATTAATTATACATTTTTCTTCGAAAAATGATGATAAAACAGTTTCTGTTGAACTTTTGACACAAAAATATTTCAAATTAATTATTTCAGTGTGATAACTACCGTATGATCGAAAAAAAAAACGGCGTCCAGTTGGCTGGGAAATGAACATCAATGACATTTCCCATATAAATTTACATATAAAATGACAGCGATCTTCATTCCATAGCCATCGCTGACGCCGTTTTTTCTCGATCATACGGTATTTAATAAACGCATGTTTAATTTATGTCAATGATGACAGGGGGGTATTGATAATTTCAATTCGAAATATCTCGAGAACCATTACTCGTAGCGATTATTAGCAAGAGACTTTTTTTGCGTAAAAAACGGCGTAAATGCATATTTTTTTAATCAGCTCTTTTGTACAGGTAAGGACGAAAAATTATTACTCTTCAAACCACTTAAAAATATGTAGTTGGTGCCCTCTACAAGTAGGAATTATATTGACATCAAAATCAAATTTCTCATATCAAAAAACTCCTAGACATCAAATTTCATCCAAATATTAACGTTACTTCAGAAATTATTTGAAAAACATCGAAATAAAAATGAAACTTCTACACCCTGTATCTACGGAACTAAGCATTTTAGGACATACATTTGTACAAACTTTTTTACTTATTTTTATCGAATAAAGAATATTATGCTGCCGAAGTTTCCGGAATACAGTTCGGACCACCCTGTAGATCTGGATTTTCCCTATTTACTTTGTTAAAATCTTATGATCTCCTAAATACAAAATGCAATTGTATGTCATTGTACGACATTTATTCATATTTAGTATTTTTATTTCGAATATTTGTTTTTATTCTCTCATCAATTGAATATTTTAGAACTTGGTAGAAGAATATTAAAAATAAATTGTGAAGTCAGCTCCTGGTTATTTTTTGTTATTATAATGGCAATCAAGCTGTATTAAAAAAACATAAAGTATTTTATAGTATTGTTGTAATGTAATTTAACTCAAAAAAAGTATGTACGTGACTGGCTACAACACTACAGATATAAAAGTTTTTCATCTCAAGTGGTAATTGTCTTGTATCTTATTATATTAAAGAGTAAACAAAAAAATATAGTTTTTTTATCTTGTATTACGATATAGATAAATAATAATTGCATGTAATTAAATATTATTTTCATTCATTAAATAAATATGCAATATTTTTGATCTCCAACACATTATAATTACAAAAGATATCAGATATTAGGACGTTAATATTGTAATTATTATGATTAGGAAAAGTGGCAACCTATTAATTTTCTGTATACATCTGGTTTGTACAAAATTAATCATATGTAAATTCTTATAAAAAAACATTTTTTGTCGAACATTTGGCACAAAAATTTATTATCAGTATAATTACTAGCTAGTTATACCGGGTGCGTCTCAAAAGTGGCTCACCACTATAAGTTTTTTATTTTTTCAGATACAAATACGAGATTTGCGATATTTAGTATATGACATATAAATTAGGATTGATTGACGTATTCAATTGTTTTTGGTCACTTCCTGTTTCACCGGAAATGACTACAGCTTTTGATATTTAAATGGCACCCTCGGTATTTTTTTTACTTTATTCGATAGAAAATGACGTTCTGAATAGAATGACATATCATATGTCAACTTTTGACATTCTCGCTTAATAAAAAATCGTATTTTAAAATTCAATCTAGAGCGCCATGGCTATGTTAAAAACACTAATTCTTAATCAAGGAGCCTTGGAAAAATAGATTTGATCGTCTAATATTTTTAGTGTCTTGTCCTGACCAGTTAGAAAATGCACAAATCGTATTTTTGATCATATCTCAATTTTTTCAAATGGAACGAGGGGAATTAGCGTATATCGAAAAAGCTTTTTTTTTACAAATAATTTGATACCACACACTTGGTATTTCGAGTCAAATTTTCGTTACGAACCGCAAGTTATAATTTCAAATAAACCATATGCGAAATGTCAAAAGTTGACATATGATATGTCATTTTATTCAGAGTGTTATTTTCTATTGAATAAAGTAAAAACATATCTAGGTTGCCATTTAAAAATCAAAAGCTGTAGTCATTTCAGGTAAAACAGGAAGTGACCAAAAACATTTTAATACGTAAATCAATCCTAATTTATGTCATATACTAACATACCAAATCTCGTTTTTTAACTGGAAAAATAAAAAAGTTATAGGGGTGAGCCACTTTTGAGACACACCCGGTATAATATGTTTATTTTTTTATCAATGATGACATGTATTGATTATTTCGATTTAAAATATCTTGAAAACGGTTGCTAGTGATTTGGTTTGGTTTGGTCCCCTCAAGAGAAACGCTGGAAATGCAGATTTTTTTCTGTCAGTAATATAATACGGGTATGGACGAAAAGATATTATTCAAAAGAGTTAAAAAACATGTAGATGGTGCCCCCTCCAAGTAGGAGTCATATTAACATCGAAATCAAATTTCTCATATAAAAAAAAATACGGATACCAATGTTCACCTATAATACAGGGTGAGTCTTAAGTAAGAGCAAATATTTTTAGGGTTGATAGATCTCGATAAAAGAAACATATTTTCTCTTTACCGTTTAAGTCGAAGTACTACTTGTTTAAGTCCAAAATTTGGGCCCCCCTTAAAATAAGTTCTTGTATCCGCGCCTGTTTCCGATTATAATTCGGATCACCCTTTAGATTACAGTAGATCTGTCAAGATAGCTGGAATAACCCTAGATCATATATAACGTATATGATCGAATAAAAACGGCGTCAGCGATGGCTATGAAATGAAGATCGCTGTCATTTCATATGTAAAATTATATGGGAAATGTCATCGATCGTAATTTCCAAGCCAACTGGACGCCGTTATTTTTTTCGATCATACGGTACTTATACGTTCTAGTCCATCCAACAATTAGTGCGACAAACTGAAAGGGGTTCTAGAGGGCATCAAAACAAGTCATTTGAGTTAGGAACCCATATCCGGAAATGTGCCGTTTTGGCAGAAAGGTGGAGTGAAACGTAAATTTCAAGTTGCATTATTTATTCAAAACATTTACAAAAACTGCTCAAAGCCGTCCATTCTGTTGAAGACACAAATGCACACGCCTGTTCGCTGTTGATAGTAGGGCGTGCAGTCCGTGTTGGTACCTTAGTGCACGTCCAGTCAAGTTCCTTCCGCTCATTTTAATAATACCGGACGTGGGTTCCTATACTCAAATTACTTGGTTTGATGCCCTCTACAACCCCTTTCAGTTTGTCGCACTAATTGTGGGCAAATTGGGGGAAACTGTCGCAAACATATTAACGACTTCCGTTTATCTTCTTTTTTTGTTGCACACGTGGTGCTTCTACTCTATCTATCCTTGTCGAGGACCTATCGTCCACGCGCCAAATTTAAACATTAATTTTAAAAATTTAATTTGTAAATGCGTATATTTGAACAATAAATTGAATGTTTACTGTCACAAAAATTCAATGATATAAAAAATACATTTTAGTCACTTCGTACGAACATCAATATTCTTAGGAAATCTAACCAGAAAGTATCCATGTGGTTTAATATAAATAAAAGAACAACTGAATACTTTAGTTGCCTATTAAAAGATAATGGGGGACCTTTATATTAAAACTTCCACACACCAAACACTTTCTAGTCATTTTTACGGGTATTTAGAAAGTCCAACGACAAAAAAATTGAAATATAGTTGCCCAAACTTAGAATTCGCTTAACTTAAACTTAAAATTCTCACTGAACACACTTGCATCCTTGGCTATATAAAAGCGGTCGATAAAAGAGTAATTAATACAATTTTTAAAATAAAAAACGCAAAAAACAAGCGTCGTTACACAATGGAAATAAGATTATGACCATATTATGACATATGTTTATGACAATATGATGACAATGAAAAGTTCGTTTCCATAACAATGTATAATTTGTACTTTCTAAACCTTTAAAAAAAAGAAATAGAAATACGTGCAACTTTTAATGGCGCATGCGCAAAGTAAGGTCCTCGGAAAAGACAAACCTATTGAACGTTTCATAAGTGCAATAAAGAAGGTTTGAAAATGGCGTGATGTTGGAGACATATTTTCTAATGCTAAACTTATGGTGTTGATTTATTCACGTGTGTATACCGGGTGCGTCTCAAAAGTGGCTCACCCCTATAACTTTTTTATTTTTTTAGATAAAAAACGAGATTTGGTATGTTAGTATATGACATAAATTGGGATTGATTGACTTATTCAATTGTTTTTGGTCACATCCTGTTTCACCGTAAATGACTACACTTTTGATTTTTAAATGGTACTCCCGATATATTTTTACTTTATTCGATAGAAAATGTCACTCTGAATAGAATGACGTATCATATGTCAACTTTTGACATTCTCGCTTAATAAAAAATCGTATTTTAAATCTCAATCTAGAGTGCCATTGCTATGTTAAAAACACTATATAATTCTTAATCAAGGAGCCTTGGAAAAATAGATTTGATTATCTAATGTTTTTAGGGTCTTGTCCTGGCTGGTTAAAAAATGCCCCAATCTTATCTCAATTTTTTCAAATGGAACGGGGGTGGCTCATTAGCATATTTGGAAAAAGATTTTTTTGGCGAATAATTTGATACCACACACTTGGTATATTACAAGTGAAATTTTCGTTACGAACCGCAAGTTATAATTTAAAATAAACCATATGCGAAAACGTCAAAAATTTGACATACGATATGTCATTCTATTCAGAGTGTTATTTTCTATCGAAT